TAAACAACAGTATTGTTTTATTCTCGAAACAAAACCAAGTATGTACATATTATTTACGATATACCTGGGTTACACGCCCAACGACGTGACGCCGTCTACATAATCGAGGCCGCAACCCGCAAAGTTTAATTTACTCTAAGAAAGATTACTAGCGGAGAACCCTCTCGGAGTAATGATGAGATAAACTCTACTATGTATGTGCGACAAAGGATATAAAGCGAAATTACTTTAGATGTTATGAGCACTTCATTAAATGTTTAGGAAAGCAGGGTGCGGTCGGGGCTTAGGACTTGATACTGTCTTATATTTTGTTAATGTGACAAACATTAAAATTTTAATTAATAAAGACGCCACTAGATAGTAGTTTAAATTATAGTATTTTTTTTTGCTTCATACGAGTCAAGACATAAATAAAACTACTTTTACGATTTAATCTAGTGTTTTTTATTGTCATTATATAACTTGCCTGACGTCTAAATCCACGATTTTGTAAACTGTAAAGTGTTCGACTCGTCAGGGATAATAGAATAACATTAAATAAAAAACGAGATTAAGCCGTAAAAGTAGATTTAATTATACTTTAAACTACTATAAATGTCAAATCCAACGTAAAAGTAGATTTAATTATACTTTAAACTACTATAAATGTCAAATCCAACGAGAATTCCTGGAAGAAAGTTAATGAATGATTTTACTTAGCATTGGTTAACATTTAAATGTTTGTAAATTATCTTTTAAATGTATAATTCTATTATTCTAGGAATAATCTAAAAATACATTTCAATATAGTCCTAGTCCAAACTCAATAACGTATCGGTAATTTAACAGTAACATAATAGTTTTGAGCGCATATTACAAACGTTCTCGTCGAACCCGTCGCTTCCGACGAAGGGCTCGGCGAGTAAATTAACTCACAAACACAGTCCACTGAGTTTCTCGCCGGATCTCCTCAGTGGGTCGCGTTTCCGATTCGGTGTTAGATTCTGTGAAGCACGGATCTTGCCAGGGTTCGTGTTAGCAACATCGTCAGGTTTGAGCCCCGTGAGCTCACCTAATAGTCCGGAGAGCCTGACATGGTCGCTCTTAGGTAGGATTAAGTTTTATCTTTTTTTGCGACATACCATCCGACTTTAGAATGAACTCCCCTCCACGGTGTTTTCCAAGCGCTATGATATATCCTTCTTCAAACGAGGCTTGCGGAGAGTACTTAATGGTAAGCAGCGGAATGGCTCTGCCCCTGACATTTCTGACGTCCATGAGCGACGGTGACCACTTACGATTAGGTGGGCCATATGCTCGTCTACAAAGGCAATAAAAAAATAAATAAAAAATAACAACTGTTATAACAATATAGTCACATGAACTGTTGTGACTAATTATTATCTAGAATGGAATTTAGACAAATAAGTACTTCGTGGAAATGGTAGGTAGGCTGCATAATTTAAAAAAATCATATTAATCTAAGTAAATTAATGTCACTTTCAGAACCCGGTCCCTCGTTTGTTGGGGGTGGCCGGCGCGTTAAGCCGGCTTCTGCCCAACGTCGTGGGGCCTGACCAGGTGACGCGCCGTCTCTATACGGGGGTGGTGCGATCAATGTCCCTATACGGGGCGCCTGTGTGGGGCCAGTCCCTGGCCGTGTAGGTGGCGAAGCTGCTGCAACGGCCGCAACGCACCATCGCGGTCAGGGTCATCCATGGTTATCGCACCATCTCCTTTGAGGCGGCGTGTGTACTGGCTGGGACGCCGCCTTGGGTTCTGGAAGCGGAGGCGCTCGCCACTGACTATCAGTGGCGGGCTGACCTTCGTGCCCGGGGCGTGGCGCGTCCCAGCCCCAGTGTGGTCAGAGCGCGGAGAGCCCAATCTCGGCGGTCCGTACTGGAGTCATGGTCCAGACGGCTGGCTGATCCTTCGGCTGGTCGTAGGACCGTCGAGGCGATTCGCCCGATCCTTGTGGATTGGGTGAATCGTGACAGAAGACGCCTCACTTTCCGGCTCACGTAGGTGCTCACTGGGCATGGTTGCTTCGGTGAGTTCCTGCACCGGATCGGAGCCGAGCGGACGGCAGAGTGCCACCATTATGGTTGCAACTTGGACACGGCGGAGCACACGCTCGTTGCCTGCCCCGCATGGGAGGGGTGGCGCCGTGTCCTCGTCGCAAAAATAGGAAACGACTTGTCGTTGCCGAGTGTTGTGGCATCGATGCTCGGCGACGACGAGTCGTGGAAGGCTATGCTCGACTTCTGCGAGTGCACCATCTCGCAGAAGGAGGCGGCGGGGCGCGTGAGAGACGCACAATCCCGCCGCCGTCGAGCGGGGGCCAGGCAGGCGGATCTCGCCCAAGCCCTGGCCCTCTAAGTGTTTCGGGTCCCCCTCACATGTCGGTCTGGGGACCGGCGATGGGGGCCTAAGAAGACGACGTGCAAGCTGCTCTGCACGCGTTTTACGCAAGAGCATCCGAGTGATGGAACGCCGGCTATCCTCGACCCACGCTGGTTCTGGTCCAGCGGGGTATTCCGTAGGATAGCTCACTCTAACCGGCGCCATCTAGGCGGGCTTCAGATAGCCTGCGGACCGAGAGGGCTGGTGGTCGTGGTGGCCAGTCCGGCGTCCCGAGGGGGAGGGTGATGGGAGAGATGTGCTCCGCACTAAACGCTTCACTTTCCCCCCTTTGCCTCTTCATGAGTTCTGTCTCATGCGAGGTTTGGACGTTGGTTGTTGAACGACAGGAGGTTTTAGTCAGTTCGACTCTGACACACCCCACCCTCCATCCCCAGTGGAGGGCGGAAGTCCGTCGATTTCCTCTTGACCAAAAAAAAAAAAAAAAGTAAATTAATGTAAAATTTCATTACTAATTGAGTGGAACAATAATAAACAACGTTTATTAGAACAATTTGTCGTAACAGAACCGAGCAACGCTACTCTGCGGTTATGTTTGTGGTTTGGCTATGATAAAAGAAACTTCATGAGATATCTGCCATGTGCTCCGATTACAAGGACAAGGTACAGTTGGTGTTTCAGACTGGGCTGTGTTCAAATCTAATTGATTTTTTAACGTCAGGTATGTACATTAAAACAAATCGATATATTATTAGGCCAAAATTGCAGTAATAAATTGTGATATTTTCGTATTTTGGTAGTAATAATTGCAAAACCGGGCAACCGAAAAAAAAACGGATGAAGCAATAGTACATTGTGCACCAAGGGAGAAAAGTTGGAACCTTTATCTCGCGGTGCACATACTATTTTTTCTCTGGGTGGGGGCAGGGGGGGCAGATCCCCCCCGTACTCAAAAAAAAACAATTTAACTGTTTTTTTAATTTTTAAATAAACTACTACTAATTGAATAAGAACTGTCTGATGAACTCATCTTTGTTTAATACTTCATTAGTAAATTTTATTGCCTTTTGTTTATTTCACTTTTACACTAAACAGAATATTGCAAATTACCCGAGCACAACAATGGCGGAGAATTTTAGGTGCGTGAGAGCAGACGTAGACACTTAACGCGCATGTGCACTTGTACCCAGGGAGAAAAAGTTACACTTTCTTCCCTGTACAGCGGGACGAAAACCGAACTTTCGGCGTAGGTAGGAGAAAAAAGAAATACCATAAGTTTCTTATTTATTTTTTACTGCTTAAATTGGTGAGCTCGTCTTACGGCCCATCTGGTGATAAGTGGTTACCGGAGCCATCTAAAACATAAATGCCGCCACCTAAATGATTCTTCTTTACATATTATGAAATAAAATAAAACTGTAACGAAGCCGAATACACATAAATGCTTTCGATGTAAACTCAACCACATTAGCTACCAATTTCTGGAAACTGATGATTTTTTAAAAAGAACATCGGAATCTTATTCTTCACAGTGAAAATGATTTTTGCCTAATGGCGGACCCACTGAAGAACTTTGCGATAACAAAGCTCACAGCTTGTCACATGAAGTTCAAGCCTCGTCCTTGCTCCCCAAAGGTTCAAAAAACTAGTGATTAGGCTACATAAGTGGCCTGCCAACTAAACTGCCGTAACAGCGATCAATGAGAATTCGGCATTCATGTGTTCCCAGGAAATGAGGGTTTTGCTTAAAAGTCTCTTTACCAGGCTTTACCATAACATCTAAAAAAACCGGTTTCTGTTGGATCAGTTGGATGTCATTTGTGGTGTAACATCCATGTTTAAATGTGCATTTTTTATATCTTGACCTTAGGTCTTAGTTAACAAGTCATAAAATCCTATAACAAATAGCATTTTTGATATTTTGTAAAGTTTGTAAGACTTTTTGGCGGGAGCGCGAGGATTGAAGTTGTGTGATTTGTTTTATTTTGTCTATTTAGTGTATCTTCGGGTTTAAATGTGTAATAATGGTGGTTTATTAACAGTTTAATATCTGTGAAAGTGCACAAATGTGGGAACATTAAATAAAGCCGCTGGACGTAACTTCTCTGGATCCTCCAAAAAGTCACTGAAAGTCTCAGTAAATGACCACCATTTTACTGAGATTATATTTCATCCCATATCATCTCATCTCATTTCATATGATTTCATTTCATATGATTTCATCATCATCATCATTATCCTGCCCTTCTCCCAGTCACCTGGGGTCGGCGCAACATGTTTTCTCCTTCCATACTCTTCTATCATATACCATTTCTTCGCTCACTCCCCTCCTACCCATATCGTCTTTCACACAATCCATCCATTTCTTCTTAGGTCTACCTCTTCCTCTAAATCCTTCCACATTCATAGTTAACACTCTCTTAACAACCTCATTTTCATTCCGTCTCATCACATGTCCATACCATCCCAAACGTGCACTCCTCAGCTTCTCTGTCACAGGTGCCACTTCTCATTTCACTCATTCACTCACTCATTTCATATGATTTCATTTCATTATATAATTTTTCATATAAAAAATATATAAATAAAAGGTTAGGCTGTATGGTATGATATCTTTGCCTTTCCAATTGGAAAAATAAAACTACTACTAGTTTTTTTGTAAACAATTAACAGAATTGAATTCGGTACCGATCAATAATAATTAAAAAATAATATTACCCACACAGTCATTGTAAAAAGTAACAGAATGAACATTTCTGAGGTACTGCATAAATACGTTATAAATAAAATTATTTTAATTTAATGAACTAAGCCAATACATAAATAATACACAAAATCTAACATTCAGTTGTGCATCTTAATTTATAGTATAAAATTATAGACAACTAATTGTTAAAATCATTACTATTCTACCATAATTATAAAAATACCTAATTAAAAGAAACGTTCTAAGTTCTTATACCGACCATGGTACTTACAATTTCTTCTTAAGATATTGAAATGTTTTATTCATGTTATTTCAGCTTCCTGGTGATGACGATTCAGGGCCTACCTGCAGAACATACGTCTTCCGAAATGAAAGCCATACATTAGGGAATTCATTAAAATGTATTATAAACAAATAGTAAGTATATGTACACATATAAGTCACAAACAGCCAAACATTCACAAGAAACTTGTGATATAGCTTATGATATTCCAATTTTAAAACCAAAAAATATGACATTAATTGCACACACTCAACAAATGCTATCTAAAACAAGAAACATTTTAATCTTTTGTTTCTGAATAACATTTAGTGGCTGTTACCTCGCTTCCTACCAATACAAAGTCATGTGGTTTCCTAACTTATAGAAACTATGAAAATTACTGCCTCATTTTAGTTATGAGTGTAATTGAGAAAAGTTTCAGTGGCCCAAAAGGTTTTTTTAAAATGTTTCCCAGTGAAAATAAAGAGGATCAAATAATAGCAAATTTTGTGTTTTCTTATCTAGTATTCACTGCAGATTCAGCCCAGCAGAAAATGTAGTGCAGATGATCATAGGCTAATTATAATATACAGAAGCTTACCACATTATGCTTATTAGCACATTATTTTCGTTATTATGTTGATATTTGTTAATCAATTTTCCATATGAATACTTTATGAAAGCAGAACTAACAAAGTGTGCTGTGTAGTGTGTATCGAACTTTGCCCTTGATAATTTAATAATGGAATTCTAACCAAAATTTTATTGAACATGCTATTCAGTTTTTTTTATTTAATCATTCTATTTTCAGTGATGATGTTGAATTCTGTGGATATACTGTTCCACACCCAGCAGAATCAAAAATGCATTTTAGGATACAAGCCAGAGAAACACCTGCATTGGAAGTTCTAAAAAGAGGTCTGAAAGATCTAGAAATGGTGTGTGATCACACCATAAATTTATTTGACAAAGAAGTGAAAAGATTTAATAAAGTATAGAATGCAAAAAACATTATTTGAATCTATGCAATGGCTGTTCTCACATCTGGAGCCCTGTACAGAACTTAAAAGCTTTTCAAAGTCACTTTCCTTGACTGATCCTTGAACATCTTCAAATTTTGTGCTCTTCTGTAAAAAAGGCAACCAGTGCTTCTTTGGGCAACCAAAGACGTGCCACAGGACTGTACGACACTTGCAATATCAGGACTGTCAGTTATCTCAAATTAAATTTGTTATATCTACAGGCTTTGGCAACTGCTTAACACCAAGTGGACCATGAGCCCACGTATGCAATAAAAAATCCAGTTATCCAATGTAAATTGGATATTTTTGCTGGATACATTACTGTAATGTAATATTTTTTATTTACAACTGCAGTAGCTACTCATGTCAAACTTTTGTTCAATGTCAATAGTGTCAATTGCATTATACAGTTCTACAGTTGAAAACTGAAGATTACATTGCAACAGAAATGTGAAGGTAATGACTGGAAAGGGAATCTGTGAGAGCTTAAAGTATGTCCAATCAGTAAAAATGTTCAGTAGGTGATCAAATTTAAATGACTATCAGGCATTTGTCAGGAAAATAGGAAGACTACTTTTGATATCGATTTTATATATACCTATTGACAATTGAAATATTAGCTAAGCTAAGCTGTCGAAGTCGTGGCCTAAAGGATAAGACGTACAGTGCATTCGTGTTGAGCGATGCACCTGTGTACAGATCCCAGGCGAGTACTAATTTTTCTACGAAATCGTACTCATCAAATATTCACGATTGACTTCCACAATTAAGGAATAACATCGTGTAATAAAAATTTAAACCCGCAAATTTATAATTTGCGTATTAACTGGTGGTAGGACCTCTTGTGAGTCCGCGCGAGTAGGTACCACTCCCCTGCCTAATTCTGCCGTGATGAAGTAGTAATGCGTTTCGGTGTTTTGAAGGGTGGGGCAGCCGCTGTAACCATACAGAGATCTTAGAAGTTATATCTCAAGGTGGGTGGCGCATTTACGTCGTAGATGTCTGGGCTCCAGTAACCACTTAACACCAGGTGGGCTCGTTGACCCATCTAAGCTAATAAATAAAAAAATCTTGAAGACTCAACTTTGAAAGAAATTCAAAGCTAAAATGACATTATTATTTTTTAGGGTACTTATTATTAGTACTTTATTTAATTTATTTCAATATATTAAATAGTTTTAAGCTAATTTTATAGTTTGCAAGTGAAGTTTATATCTTTTTAAGCTTATTAATCAATAAAAATCACAAGACATGTCCAGCAGCAGATGTCTCTGTGCTAACAAAATAGAAAAAAGAAAATATTAATCAATAAAAGTACAAAGTAAGACAAATTCTTTTATTCAGTTGTTATACAATGACTGTCTTAGACTTTGAACTCTGAGTATGGAGACTTAGTCAGCGGGATATCCCTCCACAAGTCAGGAGTGAGGTAGGCATATGTCTTGGCAATGGCAGCGTATGTGGCTTTAGCAAAATTTCCCAAGGTGCCAGTTGAACCACGAGCTGACGTGTAGCAATCCTGTACACCAGCCATCTGAAGAAGCTTCTTAGGAACTGGCGCAGACACAATACCAGTACCACGAGGGGCAGGAATCAGCCGGACTGTTACGGAACCACACTTGCCGGTGACCTGAAAAAACAATTGTTTGTTTGATTTATTAAAACGATCGAAACCAATTTTATGTTTTCATTTCACAATTAAATTAATTCAGACGTTCAAAAGCTTCACAGGATAAACCTCAAGAGGATACCACGAATGAAATGATTAGAATGTTGTCATCATTTATACAATTTAAATATTTTTTTAAATATAGAAGTGGCATTTACCTTGCAAGGGACGGTGTGTGGCTTTCCTATCTTGTTACCCCAGTAACCTCTTCGGACTGGTAGAACTGACAGCTTAGCAAGGATAATAGCGCCTCGAATGGCAGTGGCGACTTCCTTGCTGCACTTCACACCCAAACCAATATGACCGTTGTTGTCGCCAATGGCAACAAATGCCTTGAAACGTGTGCGCTGTCCGGCACGTGTTTGTTTCTGTACAGGCATGATCTTAAGAACCTCATCATTCAGGGACGGGCCGAGGAAGAAATCAATGATCTCGAATTCTTTGATTGGTAAAGAAAACAAGTAAATGCTCTCGAGTTTGTCGATTTTTCCTTCGCGAACAAGACGGCCGAGTTTGGTGACAGGAACCCACTCTTTCTGGTCTTCCTTGCCGCGCCCACGACCACGGCCGCGACCACGACCGCGTCCACGAGGACCGCCACGGCCTCTATCTCCACCGCGTGATCCGAATCCGCCGCGAAAACCGCCACGTCCACCGGCTGGAGCAGCGTCCGCCATTCTGGAATTTATAGTTTATCTTGTTAATAATTACTAAATTATGGACAATTTACACAAAGAATAGCTATTTATCAGACGCATAAAGGCCATCACTGTGCTAACACTATGGTAGATACCACGAATGAATTAAAAAAATTGTGTCATCATAAACCACGTGGTGAGGGGTTGAAAATTGAAAAGAGATCCTTTGGACGATGGACGCTTAAATTGAGTCTTCTCAGTAAACAAAACACTTGCATAACTAAAAAGTTAAAACTAAAAATAATTGGGATATTAAATTCATTTAACTCTAAAACTTACGTTGAACGATGGGCTCTGATAGACAGTCAAGCACAAAATGGCCGTTTGAACTTATTTAGTTCAATAGAGCCTAACAAAGTATCGAGAAAATCGAATGTGCTGTCATTAGATTATCGATGTTTTTTTAAAACCCTCGATTTTTTTAAAAACTCGATCCGAAAATGGTGTGTTTTAATTAATTAGAAACCTAAAATATTTTTAAATCAAAATCTCAAGTTTTATAATGATTAATAAGGACTAACTAAACTACTAACACATCTTTCTTCTAAATGCAGTTTTTTTTTTAATAATAATATATATATGGATAGCTAAGACTATCTGGGTACACGGTGAGGTTGGATTCCTCAATTATCGACGTTATTAATAAAAAGATGCATAAGAAAGCGGATAGAGAGAGCGGTAATTGTTGAGTCAGTGCTGAGACCAAGAGTAATGAGTAATAGAATAACTTTTTCACTATACTTTCGCAATAAGGCACATTGTGCTTTGTTGTGCAACAATGTGTTGCGTTGAATATCTTTGATCCTACTTGAATCTTCAAAATGTTTATGTAACTATTTTTTTGTGTTTATTTAATTCAGTTACACGTGATTCGATCTGTATTTCTGATAAGATTTAAATAATAAAGAGAGCCAAATTTATCTATATACACCAACCTAATTAAATTTTCAGAAACGTCGTATCTGTACAATCATAAGTACTTAATCTAGTTGGACATAGAATCATCCTAGAAAAAAGTCGAAACCAATTCGTCAGATAACGCTGACATAGCCTCTCAATGCTATCAGCAAAGGTAAACGAAAAAAAAACAAAAAACGACACCACTTTACTTAATTTCAGTCGACAAACTCTCATGCATCTATTCTATCATTAAAGTAGTTCGTTTAGAAATAGTCTCGTAGACTGAAAAAATCTCACATTTCGTAGGGAGTGATTTGTGCTGCGTAGCTCTAGTCGCTACGAAGCACAGACCATTTATTTATGACCTAAAGGTCTTAGTTACCATGTCGAAAGATCCCTTAAAAAAAATTATTTTTTATTTATTATTTTTATTAAATCTTATAGCCATAGTCCATACACGTAACGATATACTTGTGCCATAACGTCTTCCTCCGGGTGGCCACGTCCCCTGGATTTTCTTTTTCATTCTCAGCAGGGGCAAATCCTATTTATAATTTCGCATATTATTATGCCAAACATACGTTTTTGACAGTATTTCAAATCCCACTTTTTGTGGTCATTTGCAAGATTTTACTTTAAAGAATTCAATCAATCTACAGTATCTTCATCATTCTGTGCACCCATGTGAATTTCAAAAGCTTCTACGTTTATATTCTCGGTGTGTTTTATATTTCACGATTTTACGCTATAAAAATATACGAAAAGGCAACATCAGGCTAGAGACTATAAAAACGCAGTAGTAGTATAGTAAAATCTTAACACCAGGTGGGCCATGAGCTCGTCCACCCACCCAAGCAATAAAAAATTAACATTGAGTTATTTTGAGTAAAGACAGAGAATCAAACAAGACGTAGTAACTTATACTTGTGGTTTAAAGTCAATTTACATTACAATCGTCTCGCCGGATCTACTTAGTGGGGCGTGTTTCCGATCCAGGGGTAGATTCTGCGAAGCACGGCTCTTGATAGGGTTCGTGTTAGCAACGTCGTCAGGTTTGAGCCCCGTGAGCTCACCTACTTGTTAAGTTACGCTGACTTAGCATCTCAAGGTTTAGCAAGGCTTGGCAAGCTTAGGGAGGCAAAAAAAAAACATTTTTTTTGGCTACCTATGCTAACAGCCTTGTGAGGCTCTATCAGCGTTACCGGACGAAGAAATAATTACAATATTTTTAAATACTCGTAGGTAAGCGTCGTTTTGGCGAAAATATTATATTACTGGTGGTAGGACCTCTTGTGAGTCCGCACCGCTTATTTCTGCCTTGAAGCAGTAATGCGTTTCGGTTTGAAGGGTGGGGTAGCCGTTGTAACTATACTGAGACCTTAGTACTTATATCTCAAGGTGGGTGGCGCATTTACGTTGTAGATGTCTATGGCCTCCAGTAACCACTTAACACCAGGTAGGCTGTGAGCTCATCCACCCAGCTAAGCAATAAAAAAAATATTTAGCGCTTTGTTTTTTTTCATTTTCTCACATTTGTGCACTTTCACAGATACTACACAGTAGATAAACCACTGATATCACTTCAAGCAACATATAAAAGAATCTGGCAACGTCGCGTCGCTTCTCGCGCCCCCGCAAAAAAGTCGAAAACGATAATATGGAGGGTAGAGATAAACGAGAAGAATACATAATAATGGTAGCCATACACGTAACGATATACTTGTGCAGGGGATAAGCGTAAAGCTGGCTAATCTTCGGTAGGAAATGGTATGGGGTCAAGTTTTGGATCTTGTGATGATAATCACTTTTCTTTATTTGAGATTAACGTATAATTATTCCAAAAAGATATATAATCTATACTAATATTATAAAGCTGAAGAGCTTGTTTATTTGAACGCGCTAACCTTAGGAGCTACTGGTCCGATTTGAAAAATTATTTCAATGTTAGATAGCCCATTTATTTAGGAAGGCTATAGGCTATATAACATCACGGTAAGACTAAAACAAGTGGAGCACCAATAAAGAATATTTCAGAATAGGGGTTTGAATAGCTCCTTAACATTCTGTAATTCAACAATATTTTCACTTTCTACGTAAATGAAGTAGGGGGTAAAATTAAGCGTTATGCCGAAGTAATTATTCCACGCGGACGGAGTCGCGGGCAAAAGCTAGTAGTAAATATATATTTATTCATAAAACACAATTATTATATTTAATTATTATTAATTAACTACAAGATACGTTAACAATTTGATAGGAACTATGTTTTTTATCGTATACAACATAAGGGAACGTGTTTATTCCGTGGCATGCCGCTCCGTATTCGCCGTCATTCTTCAGTGCAACAACTGCTCCCATAAAATCCGGATAATGGGACGCTATTCTCGCAACTGCTGTTTTAGCTGCATCAGTAGGTGAAGAGCCTCGGCGCATTTCTTCTACTGTTAAAAAACTGAGAGGAAAAAAGGTAAATAAAGTAAATTGCTTTTTAAATCGGCACATTGACAGACAACTATCCCATCATAAATTGCTAAGCGACTGCCAACCATTTTCGTTATTGATACGGGTCTAGACTTCTCTAAGTGTCTCGACAATGACTTAGAACCCAAAATATACAACTAACACAAAACAGTGTGCCTTTGTTGATAAATCATAATTTGCACTCATTCACTAGGTACCTGTCACTGTATTGTTTTTAAATAAATTGGCATTTGCTTATAAACAGCTTCTTTATAATTTGTACGAAGAACTCAACTTAGTATAGGTATTTTCTAAAGAAGGAAAGAGAGAGAGAGAGAAATTTAGCAATAGAGAAATTTTACAATAACTTCACTGCCTATTTCTGCCGTGAAGCATTACCTAATGCGTTTCGGTTTAAAAGGGCGGGACAGCCGTTGTAACTATACTGAGACCTTAGAACTTGTATCTCAAAGTGGGTGGCCCATTTACGTTGTAAATTTCTATGGGCTTCGGTAACCACTTATCTAAGCAAGAAAAAAAAACAAAGATGTGTGTACCTTGGAAGGAATCGCAACATCACATCGCCGTCGCCAGTCGCCGCAGCACCGCCTACATCATTGTCAGCATAAGCGCCGGACCCAGGAATCGGCGAATCACCTATTCTTCTATGAAAAGCATAAATTGGTTGCTATTAAAGCGGTAACTATGAACTTCGAACGAACGGCGCGACACGATAACTCAATAATTTCGTGGCCGCCTGCAACGATACACTCGGTCCAGAGAACCAAACGTTAAACAGTGGCCTTTTTTTTTTATTTTCCTACCTAGCTGAGAGCCTTGAGAGGCTATTTCAGCGTAACCTTAACTAGTAGGTGAACTCACGGGGCTCAAACCTGACGACGTTGCTAACACGAACCCTAGCAAGAGCCGTGCTTCGCAGAATCTACCACCGGATCGGAAACGCCACCCACTGAGAAGATCCAGCGAGAAACTCAGTGGGCTGTGTCTGAGGGTTAATTTACTCGAGCCCTTCGTTGCAAGCGACGGGTTCGACGAGAACGACGACCGGTGCTTGATGTACCTAAAAGCACCGTTAGTGAATCGGGAGGATGCGAAATGATGTTTTGGGGCGACGTCGACTGTTCATTCTGTCCGCAGGATCGGGAATGAGTCGCCGTCGCTCAAAACACGTCACTTCGAATTCTCCCGATTCAATATCAGTGCTATTCATAGTGAGCAGGTAGCTATTTTTAAAAATAATTTTTAACAGTCCATCTATGATTCCTTTTACCTTTTTGCTGGGATCTTTTTTTTTATTTCTTCAATCGTTGAACGTACTGGAACAGCTTCCCTTCGTTTGCCACTAGAGGCGCTGTTCCAACTCCATACATATTTGAGTTAACTTTTACGCGATCGAGAAGTTAAATAACTCGCACTAAGCACATTGGTCGTCGAACTAGTCGTAGATGAGGTGTAGGTACCCAAGCAGATTTTTATTAAGCTATATCACATCGTTGAATAAGTAATAATAATATATAACTGCCTGCAAGACTTAAAAATCGGTTCATTTGACATGAGTATACTTTACGTATTATCCACTACGTCATGACGCCATGACCTTTAGGCCAATGCGAGTTCTACCGTGACACTGATCTCAACTGAACGACCCATCTGGTGTTAAGTGGGTACCGGAGCCCACAGACATCAACAATGCCACATACAGTTTGAAACACGAGTTCTAATCTCCGTTTTTACAGTACAACGGCTGACTCACCCATCAAAAGCATTACTGCTTCACAGCAGTACAACTAGAGCAGTGATACCTGCCCCCGTGGACTCACAGTACTTCCTACCACCAATAGTTACACAAATGATAATTTTGCTGGTTTGATTTTTATGACATGAACTTTTGACTAGTACTATTTCAACAGAAAAATTTATACCTGTCTGTGGGATTCGAACACCGGTCATCACACAGTCATATCACTTGATACGAATGCACCAGGCGTTTTATCCTTTAGGCCACGACGGACTAAATTTTTCTCTCTTTTACCATTTTCGTTTAACTACATCTTTTGTACTTTTTTTTTATTGCTTTTAGGTGGATGGACGAGCTCACAGCCCACCTGATGTTAAGTAGTTACTGGAACCCATAGACATCTACAACGTAAATGCGCCACCCACCTGGAGATATAAGTTCTAAGGTCTCAGTATAGTTACAACGGCTACCCCACCCTTCGAACCGAAACGCATTACTGCTTCACGGCGGAAATAGGCGGGGTGGTGGTACATATCCGTGTGGACTCCCAAGAGGTCCTACCACCAGTAATTACGCAAATTATAATTTTGCGGGTTTCATTTTTATTACACGATGTTATTCCTTCACCGTGGAAGGCAATCCTTAACATTTGTTGAGTACGAATTTCATTAGAAAAATTCGAAGAATTCGAACACCGGTGCATCGCTTCATACGAATGCACCGGACGTCTTATCCTTTAGGCCACGACGACTTCAAATGTATGTATGAAGGTTTTCAAGTGTAAATTTATCATACTTTAATCATAAACATTATACTTAAGTGATTCTCACAGTGCTGTATGTTTTCCTAGCATCTTAACCTTTGGTGTAATATTTACGGTTGATCCTAAATTGGGTCCTTAGAAACAATATTAAAAAAGTACTACTAAGTGAAATGTCATTACTCTACTAATGAAAAGAATAAAAAGAAATGCAGGGTCACTTTAGGACAGTAATGAAAAGTTTTTTTTTGCACCTGATTTTTTTGAAATTATACATGTAATATTACCCAGGTATTTTATATTTAGCACCATTTGTTGAAGTTCCAGCTGCAATATCACCATGTTGATCAATAGCCACCATACCTATCGTGTCATGGTTGAACCGATCCACATTAAGATGGCTCTTCTTAAGTAGATGTTGAGAGTACTCATGTTTCTGATATGGACCACAGTTTCGAGTGGGATCTGGACTGACATTCTATGATAAGATAAACATAAGATCAGTATCATAAAATTATCAGTAAAATTATCATAAATTTTGCTATACAGTTAGATAATACAATTTGTTATGAAATTTATGAATTAAAAAGTAAATAGGTATTTGGGTTAAAAATTATACATCATATTGTAATCAGTTTTTTTTATGTAATTTTTTTTTAATATTTATTTATTTATTACTTCTTATACTAGAAAGTATAAAGTATATATTTTTTCTTGGAATTTAAAATTTAAAATACTTTTGCACAAATGCAAATGTAAGCTTATTTTTAATTTGGGAGGCTTTAACAATAAAAATTATCAGAAGTATTATGAAGCCTAATTAAAACTACTTTCAAAGTCTAATATCTATCATCAGACTGCAAAATTATCATACTCGCCCATTTTTTTAGCTCCCTAATTCTTGCTAAAATTATCCTATTATAAATACTGGCAGTACAGCGAGTTACAAGTTAATACAACTGCTATTATACATTATATATAATAGAAATGCTATTTCTGATTTTAAAGCTGCAACAGGGACTTTGTTATGATATCAGACAAAGGCAGATAGGGGAGGCCAATATCCAGCAATGGACACCATACACTGAGCAAAAAAGGTTTACATGATAGGTACTAAAAGTAATTATTGTTTTATTTATAGATGTCAGCAATACCAGGTACACAACCAAACAATCTAATACTAAACTCTTTTCAATACTCAGTTGATTATGGACATTTATTAGCTCCAGTAATCGCTTAACATTAGTTATGCTGAGAACTCATTAACTCATTTTAAGCACTGTATAGTTACCAGCCAGAAATTTGGTTGACAATGATGTTCATTATGCCATTTCATCCATAGTTTTTTTGATACAGAGGTAGTGAGGGATTCTTCTTGAAAGCCCATTTCTACTGCAAATTGGGTGGCAAGCTCACCAACTAAAAAGGAATGTTTTGTGTGGTCCAATACATGTCTAGCAACAGATATGGCATGTTTGATCCTTCTCAACCCACCCACAGCTCCAATATTCATAGTTCTCCTGAGTAACAAAGTTTAACCATTTTTAAACTATAATTATAAGAATAAAACTTGTAAATATGAAGGTTTACATAGTAAATTACTATTACCCATTCATAATAAGAGCATCTAATGTAGTTTCTCCGTTTTCATCCGGACTTCCACCATATCCTACAGTACCATCACATTGTTGGTCTTCACAGACCGATGCGCCCTGCTCTACGGCATCTAATGCCGTGCCTCCGTTATTTAGAACTTCCCAAGCTAAACAAAATATGACTTATTACATTTTCGAAAACTGAATTTTTCATAAATTCAAAACTATTGCAACCTTTAACCGTTGAATTTGTGAACGACCAAGTAGTAATTACTATGGGAATATTTGTTTCGGAACAAACATTCGTTAAATAAACTAATACATAGGTTAAAAATATTCCTATTTGGTTCATTTTATAATCCGCTAAAACTTTTGATATGCATACATTAAACCTATGCTTTTGGTCTTGATTACACTCTAAAATACTCTAAATATTAAGACTATCCATATCATATTTCCATTTCTTTAATTTCTCGATGACACTGATGACATTGACAGCTTCTAACTTGAACGTTTTTTTTTTTCCTACCTAAGCTGATAGCCTTAGGGGCTATTTCAGCGTAACCCTAACGTTTGTAGGTGAGCTCACGGGGCTCAAAACTGGCGACGTTGCTAACACGAACCCTAGCAAGAATCGTGCTACACAGAATCTACCACCGGATCGGAAACGCGACCCACTGAGAAGATCCGGCGAGAAACTCAGTGGGCTGTGTCTGAGAGTTAATTTACTCGTCGAGCCCTTCGTCGCAAGCGACGGGTTCGACGAGAACGGTGACCGGTGCTTGAAGTACCTAAAAGCACCGTTAGTGGATCGGGAGGATCCGAGATGACGTGTTTTGGGCGACGTCGACTGCTTTCCATTCTGTCCGCAGGATCGGGAATGTAGTTACCGGCGGCCACGATGAGAGGGTTCTCGTGTCGTGCCGCTTTATCGAAGTGGCGCATCGACGCCGACTGAAGATACTTATTGATGGACTCTAAGTCCAGGTCGTCATGGAGGTAACTTGAACGAGCGTCTTTTTTACATTATGTAGGTACCGGTAAAATGGGGTGATTCGGGACAAATTCCAACTTGATGAACAATTATAAGGTAGTTGTTGATGTTTAAAATGCTATATCAGGATCAAAATGATTGAGTCTTGGGGCTATTTTTGTTATCCAATTTAAAACTATGCAATTAGCATTCCAGCTTAAGCAAAAAAAGCAAAAATAGATGTAATCCCTATTTACAGGAAACTGCGGTTAATGAGGACGAAATGAGGAATTTGCTAGGGTTGGCACTACTTGGTTTTAATTAATTTATTTATTTAGTTGCACCAACAAAGTGATCATCAATAAAAAACATTGTAAAACTGATAAATGACAAAAGTACAAGTCAGATGGCATGAATTATAGGTACAATCGACAGTGCATTGACAACAAAAATAAAAGTATATAACTAAAACTTGATTACATTTAATTACATACTAGCGACCCGCCCTCGCTTCGCTTCGGAAACATTAAAACACATATGAAACCAAAAAAAAAATTAAAAAAATAAATAAAAAAGTAGCCTATGTTCATCAGGGACAATGTCGGCTTCTAATGGAAAAAGAATTTTTCAAATCGGTTCAGTAGTTTCGGAGCCTATTCGAAACAAACAAACAAACAAATCTTTTCTCTTTATAATATTACTAGCGACCCGCCCTCGCTTCGCTTCGGAAACATTAAAACACACATGAAACCAAAAAATAAAATAAAAAAAAGTAGCCTATGTTCATCAGGGACAATGTCGGCTTCTAATGGAAAAATAATTTTTCAAATCGGTCCAGTAGTTTCGGAGCCTATTCGAAACAAACAAACAAACAAATCTTTCCTCTTTATAATATTAGTTATAATATTATATATTAGTATAGATATAGATGATTAATTTATATTTACTTAGGAAATTATCCGCGACAGATTTTTCTTGTAAGTTGTGAGACAATTGGAAAAAACATATATTTCATCACTTAAAATTAGTTTAGTGCAATCGGACAACTCCGAATGAACATTGACGGAGACCGCGCTACCGTGGAAATTATTGTAGTCCCAAAGGATTCTGTTTAAGGAGAGTAAGCACCTAAATTCGAACGAGTGGGCTTTCTTATAAGCGGTTTATATTTCTTTGTTCTTAGTAAGTACTTAGGGGCTGATATTTTTATCTGGGTTAAGAGATTAGGTGTGTCCGTTATTCCATGAATTAATTAAGTGGATACCCCCACTCTGAACAAATAATAATATATTTTATTATGTATTACTAACACATTTTTGTCCACCTTGAGATTTCATCGTTCTTGTTACATGTCTGTGCAAAACCGACTTACTTATGGTAAATTGCTTAGGTATTTCAACTAAAGACTTATTCCTAATTTCATAGGCTTCTATTACTGTTTTTAATATTAAGGGATCATATCTCTTGTAAGGATTTGCACTCTTTGATACGTACACGCGAGGCATATCTAAAAATAGAAAACAACATGTAGCTGATAATATAAATATTTGCCAAACAATAAAATAACACTGCATTGATAATTTTGAATAAAAGTTGTAGACAAAAACATCATGAGTAAACCAGATTCTTACCAACAAATTTAAAAAATATTGTTATAACTACATACACAACCCTATAAACCTGTACCTATTTATACTTAGTTCGTTTCCATTTTACTTATTCTCAACCCAATTGACCCCTTTTTCGTTATCCCCAAAAACAACAGATTTTTACATGTATTTTTATTTCATCAAAAACATTAAAATATTAATAACAACTGAGACTTACCTTTAATTAATATATATGATGGTTCAAACACAAAATAACATTTATAAATCACAGTCGTCTTCTATTATTATCAGATAAATACAAGAAATCAAAGTTTCTAACACTAAAATAATTACCACCACAAGAAGTTCATTTGAAATGCGATCTTTTATAAGTTAGCAGCTATTATCATGCATATTCAGAGTTGTTTTGTGAACTTCCAACGTTCTACTATTACACCACAAAAAATAGAAGATTTTGCAACGATTAAAAACTTCGATCATCAATAGTAACTATTGTTGATCGAAGATTAAAAAACTAATATTGAGCGTCGAAAGATTTTCCTGGATTTTCCCCATTCGCCTCTCAATCTGTAATCGCCCCTTTTTACGGTATTTTAAAATTAAGAAATTATGCAAAGCTATAGGAGTTCATAGATATTAAACTTTATTTATTTGAAAAACGCAAAGCTTCTTTTAATTGAGTCTTTCTTGTCATGGATCTTAATTTTTTCTGTAAGGAATTACCTAAAATAGTACGTATTATTAATTGAATTTTATGGGAATTTATGAAATATAAACATTAAACCTTAGATAAAGTCTTATCCAAAGCTTTTAATTTAATAATTTTCAGGAACTTCATGCACATTTAAATGGATCTTTGAGCCAAGCAACTATGCTTCAGCTTCAAAGGTATTATGTCGACGCTGGCATATCTGATAAAACAAACACATTTCTCGACGAATTTCAAATAGGCGCTGGAGATACAAGAAATTTATCAGAGTAAGTTCCGAGAGAAAGCTTTTATAATGCTCTTTTATATGTAGTATTTATGTCCTAGGATAAATATTTATTTGCACTTTATTGTGTACAATATGTAATATAATAAATAACTCATAATTTATAATACCTACACTAAGTAAATATAAGTCAAAGTTTTATAGAGCTTCTCCAGCTGTGTTTGGCACGGACGTCCGAGAACGGCCATCAGTCGTGGGCCGTATGCTGTAGTTAAAAGCATCAAAATATATAAAAACATTTTTTTTCCTGCAACTGTTTGAATTTCAGATGTTTCCAAGTATTCAGTATTGCACATTCATTAACAAGCACGTCTGAAGCATTAGTAATGGCTACAGAACTGACACTCCAAGAATTTCAAGAAGATGGGTGTTGTTATATTGAGCTGAGAAGTACTCCACGTGACACACAGTACATAACAAAGAAGCAATATATTGATAGTATTATAAGGGCTATGGAGTAAGTAATTAAAGGCATCAGCATTTTCATTTTCTAAATAGAAAAATTATGTTATGCAATTTGATTAATCGTATAACATATTTGGACAGTAAAGCATATAAGCCCAGATAGTTGATACCTATTAGTGGAACCTTAAGGTAAACAGCATTATTCAAATTCGAATCCCAGGTCTCAGATTACTTAAGATCAAGTGGGCTAATCATCTGTTTATATTTACTTTAAAAAAAAAACAATACTAAATTACTGCATTTTACTTATTTCAGAAAACCATCAATAAACCTCTCTATCATATCTAAATTGATTATATCAATAAATAGGGCATCCCAGCTACAAGAAGTGGAGGAAATAGCTGATATTGCAATAGAAAGGCATAAAATACACCCTGACACAGTTGTGGGAATAGAATTAAGTGGTAACCCAGCAGTGGGAAATTTTGGAGATTTTATACCAGCTTTGAATAGAGCAAGACAATCTGGACTCAAAGTAACTTTTACTTAATTTGGATATAAAGGAACTTTTCATTAAGTTATAATGCGTACAATATTACTAACAAATACTGAAAACAGTTAAATTCAGTGAGCCAAAGTAGCTGGTGGATTCAATCTGCATCACTTGTGTACCTGCTTTAATTATTTTTCCATTTAAAATTTATTTAAAAATCAATCATCAAACATGTTATGGGTGACAGAACATGTATTCAAGACAACAAAAAGTATTCAATATCCAGACATACGATTACTAACTCCAGCAAACTCAAACACACGTGCTGCAATCACATACAAAAAATACTAAAATGTCAGTAGTTAGTAGGCTGTGGCTTGGCTCTGCCCTTGGCATTACTAACGTCCATTAGCGACGGTAACCAGCTACAATCAGATGGGCCGTACGCTTGTCGGCCTAGAAGGGCAGTATAAAAATTTTTATGAACTTTATCTCTTATCTCCTTTTTTAGAATGGTCTGTCTAAGCTAACTCAGTTAACTGCCACCCAAGTTAATCAGTTTTCTGGAGAATTGAATGGGCATGGGCTGAAGGATCGGCTTATTCTATACTACGCACCTAAGTCAAGTCACAAATTGCATTTGTTAAATGAACATTATACAAAAAGCATGAAAAAATAGTCCCTAAAGAAAAATCAAAGCTTAAATTAACAGGTAACACTGCATTGTGGAGAAGTATGCAATCCTGAGGAAGTACTGGAAATGTTAAATTTTAAACCTGAAAGAATTGGACATGGAGTTTGCATTCACCCTAAATATGGGGGGACAGAAGAAACATGGATAGCACTTTGCCAATCAAAGATACCTGTGGGTTAGTCTTGGTAACATTCAATATGATTTATATATGAGTATTCACAAGAGCCGTATACAAGTGTATAAAAGCCTTAAGAGTGTATTATTAATATGCCAGTTTGTAGTGGTTTAATTATGTTGAGGAGTCAAAAATAATATTTTAAATATTTGTTAGATTTATCCATACTGTTCTGTATCATTCTTTTAAACCATTTCCAGTGGCACTGTTATTTACTGGATTTCGGAATTATACTGAATTCGGAAAATAACAAAACTGCTAGTGTATTTCGTAAAATAAAAAGAATATAGCGAAAATAGCTACCGTCATTTATGTGTATCAGTTATCTAATACATTAAATGTATGTATTAATGGTACATATTATTTAAATTCTGTTCTAATACAATTCATACTCACTACCGCCACCACCAATATGCTCCAATGAAATCATTTCCGTTTTTAATTGGAGTTCCGTAACGATATTTCTAACCGAACCTTAAACCGCTTCACTTATTTATTATACCATTTTACTGTTCTTAACAGAAGTCGCTAATTTTCCAGAAGTATGTCTGACAAGCAACGTGAATACAAAAATAACGCCTGATTACGAGTCTCATCATTTCAAAGAACTTATTGAAGCTGGATTGCCTGTTGTACTTTGTGTAAGAAAAATAATATTATAATGGGATGTGTACATACATACATACCTACCTAGTGTTTATGTGTTGATTTTATTTGTCTATCTATATCGTTGTTTGTTTGTTTGTTTTAGACTGATGACAAAGGAGTATTTGCGACATCTCTGTCTCAAGAATACAGGCTATGTGCTGAATCATTTGGACTTACACGGATTCAAGTAGCAAAATTATCTTTAGACGCAGCACAATACATATTTTCAGAAGCGAATATTAGAGAGTTAATCATTGGAAAGATTTTAAAATTTATGAACGATTATGCCTCATAATTCTCAATAAATGTTTTCAGTAATTGAATAAACAGATTGTCTTATATACTAACGATATACTAGTGAATGGGTAGGCCCAACACTCAATATTCACAGCCCGTAGAAAAAATATCCATCTGCCCTGGTCACTAATCGAATTCTTCTGCAAACACTCGTACGCTTAACAGATGCACTGACTCACATAACACATTTTCTTAGTGCTACAGAGAACTAGTTTTTTTACACAGGAACACTGTAATAGTATTTTTTTTATTACCCCTGTAGGCAGACGAGCATACGGCCCTCCTAATGGTGAGTGGTTACCGTCGCCCATGGACTTCAGTAGCAATGCCAGGGGCAGAGCAAAGCCGCTGCCTACCGTTAAGTACTGTCCATAAGCGTCGTTTGAAGAAGAACATGTCATAGCACTCCGGGAACACCGTGGAGGGGAGCTCATTCTAAAACCGGATGATACGTGGCAAAAAAGATCTCTGGAAACGCACTGTGGAGGAACGCAGTGGCTCCAGGTAGTATGGATAAACTACTCCGGTGGCGGGCGGTGCGATGGTAAAAACGAGATGATGGAATCATCTCAAACAATTTCTCAGAGCACTCCCCATACATATGGTTCAAAATACAGAGAGAAGCGTAGTCCCTCCGCAGATCCAGGGGTTTCAATATACTTTATGCGACATGCATATGCCGGACAGTTTTGCTTGTTTTTCGACACTGCCGAATCATTCAACGCCGTCGAGGGAATTCGTGCGTCTCACCGTTTAATCACGGCCGGAGGCAAGACTGCTCTCTCCCTGCTGCTACCACATTCCCCTGTCGCCGCCGAACAAATAATATTGCTTTGCCGAAAACACAGCTGTACTACGCCGGTAGAAACAACTTCTTTATACCGTAGCCGGAACCCTAGGAGTTAATTTCACAAGTAGCGCATAGAAGTTGTCACTAAGAAAATACAGCTCGGCTTTTTCAAAGAGGAAGCTCGAACACAGGAATGTCGCCTTCCATCATGACCTTCCGTCTTAGTTGTAAAGTTAGTTCGTGTAGCCTCGTTCATCCTAGGCTTTACCCTATGATCTGCAAGTGGAGTTACTCGGAGTTCATTTGTAGTAAAGTGACCTTTAACAGAATTTGAATAAATTCAAACATCACATTTGCGACTGTGGTGTTAGCTCACGTGACACGCACCCATATAAACCCCTTTAAACTTCAATGTAGGTGTCGGAACACCATGACGGAACACACATACAAAATTCCTCAGAGAAATGTACATCTCGAACTTTTGGAAAAGATTACAGACGTGTAATTTACGACAGCGATATAATGTGATAACCCACTTACTGTGGCCGCCGCTAACTATACCCCTTACTAGACAGACTTGTTGGATCCACTTTTTTTTTTTTTTTTTTTTTTTCCTACCTAAGCTGATAGCCCTAGCGGCTATTTCAGCGTAGCCTTAACTTTAGTAGGTGAGCTCACGGGGCTCAAACCTGACGATGTTGCTAACACGAACCCTAGCAAGAGTCGTGCTTCGCAGAATCTACCACCGGATCGGAAACGCGACCCACTGAGAAGATCCGGCGAGAAACTCAGTGGGCTGTGTCTGAGAGTTAATTTACTCGTCGAGCCCTTCGTCGCAAGCGACGGGTTCGACGAGAACGGTGACCGGTGCTTGAAGTACCTAAAAGCACCGTTAGTGGATCGGGAGGATCCGAGATGACGTGTTTTGGGCGACGTCGACTGCTTTCCATTCTGTCCGCAGGATCGGGAATGTAGTTACCGGCGGCCACGATGAGAGGGTTCTCGTGTCGTGCCGCTTTATCGAAGTGGCGCATGGACGCCGACTGAAGATACTTACTGATGGACTCTAAGTCCAGGTCGTCATGGAGGTCGACGTTCCTGACGAACCACGGGGCTCCGACGGCTATCCTGCAAAAACGGGATTGAATAATTTGAAAGGATTTTAAGTGTATGCGGGCCGCGTGAGCGAACACTACACTTGCATAGGTCATGACGGGGCGTATGCAAGTTTTGTAGAGTGTCACCTTATTTCTAAGGGACATTTTACTTCGCCTACATATCATCGGGTAGAGACGTCCTAGAATGAAGGCGGCACGGTCGCGTACCGTCTTGATGTGGGGGCGGAATGTCATCCTACTGTCGAGGGTGACGCCTAAATATTTGACCTTCGGGGCCCACGGTATGGGCTGGTCGAACATCGTGATTGGGCGAACGGCGGGGGCGGGGGTGTTGACGCGCCTAGTCGGGAGAGGGATGCTCAGCGTGGTGTTCGGAGGGCGACCCCTTTTGAAGAGCACCGCTGTGCTTTTCGTGGGGTTAATGTCGATGCGCCACTTCCGGAACCACTGTCCCATGGTGGTAGCTGCGGTCTGAAGTCGTCGATGAAGCAACGCCTTCTTCCTACACGAGTAGTAGATGGCGGTGTCATCGGCGAAGAGCGCCAGATGGGTCTCCGGAGACCGGGGTATATCGTTGATATACAAACTGAATAGTAACGGGGAGAGGGCGGAGCCTTGCGGGACTCCGGCTGTGACGTGACGGGGCCGGGAACGCGTTCCCTCGACTCGATATCGGAACGAACGGTTCGACAAGTAGTCTCGTATGATGAGCACGAGTCTGTCTGGCACTCCCATGTTATACAGTTTGTATATCAAACCGTTGTGCCAGACTTTGTCGAACGCCTTCGCTATATCGAAGAAGAGGGCTCCTGTCGGAATGGGTTGGATCCACTTGAATCACTTTTAATGCAGTCGGGCGCTACTAGTTGTAACGTTAGCAACAGCCAAACTACAGCTCACCGTATTCATCAAAGAGTTCAACATGAAACTTATTTAGTCCATAGTATCAGCCCAGCGAGTATCTTGCCGGATCTTCTTAGCAGCTCGCGCAGAATATTCTCTGTTAGGCCTGTACATACACATAGATGCACTCGAATTGAGTGTCTATGCCTAGTTTTAAATCCTGTGGCTTTTAATATGTGAAATTGAATTGATGAAAGAATGAATTATATAAAAGCATCGAACTGTTTTCTGGTGTCTGCTTGATAGTTAAACATTCGCTGATAGTGCAAAAGTGGGAATATAAAAATTGGCATACTTTTTCTCAAAAAAGTCCATTGATCTCGGTAAATTCCCTTTTAATTGCATTTGATTTTATTACACATTACATTTTACTGAGAGGCGACTTTTATTTGAATCATCTAACACTAACAGTGTTCTTTTATCTTATCTCACTTCATTATTATCAGCTTCCAGATGCCCACACCACTGCTGGACATAGGCCTCCTCAAGGTCCGTCTCAATGATCGGTCTTACGCGGCCTGCATCCAGCATATTTCCACTACCGAAAATTTGGCGCTGTCCATCTGCTAGATTTCGATATTTACTGGAGTATAAATCGAGATTGTATCTAAGGCTTTAGATACAAACTTTGTCATGTCCGTGTTCATAATAAGGTTCACCTCATTTAACCGCATTCAAATTTATTTCATTCCGTTTTATGAATTATACATGGCTTTTACTTTAATAACAAAAATTTTGTCGATAATGGTCTGTGTTTCCTTTGCCTGTCCAATAGATGAATTAAGCAAGAAATAGTAACCTCAAAACTTTACGTAGTTTGGTGGAATTTTTCAGATTTAAAAATACAATACTCAACAAAAGACAAAAATGAGCGACATTGATTTTCCTAGTCCAAAAGGTGCAGATTCCGAACTTCAGGATTTCTTAATACAAGAAAAACAAAAGGCACAATTTCAAGCACAGGTAATTTAACGAATATTGTTTTATTGCAATAGGAATCGCTGAATATCTACTAGATACCAAAAATATTTTGTTTCTATATATAATTTTAATATTAATAAACATGTCGCAACAACACTGTTAAGTTAGAGATATGTCCAAGTAGAACAAAGAAGTTTCGATTAACTTTAGATGATTATGTTGTGTTTTTCAGATACACGAATTCAATAGTTTCTGTTGGGACAAGTGTATTGAAAAACCTGGAGCTAAGCTGGACTCTCGGACCGAAACATGTATCACAAACTGTGTGGAAAGATTCATTGATACCTCACTATTAATAACAAATAGATTTGCACAGATGCTAGAAAAGGGAGGCGGAATGCATTGATGTATAAAATATCTGAAACTTTTAGTTTCAGTTCATAAAGTAATACAATGAGAACTATAAATTTATATTAGTGTAATAGTAGATTAGTAATTACTGTTGACGATTGACTGTTTCACTGTTGTTGTGTAATAATAATTATTTTGCATATTTAGACTTGGGAAATCTGAATTTGAGCATGTAATTGTTGTTTGTAATGCACAGGCTATAATGCATATCCGTGCTAGTCTGACGTAATTATCTATTTCCCTCTAATACGTGTTGTACTTTGATAGCTCCAATACAAAATTTATGTGGAAAAAGCCTTTTAGTTCAAGCTTGAATCTTATTGGTTCAGAACAGATATCTAATATTAGTTCAGGTTAATTAAATAGGTAATTCTGCTTAATTATATGTTAGAAATATGCAACAAAGATAGTTTTTGTAATAATAAATATTGTTGCCTCAATGTGTATGACCTTCCATTTCCCTTAATACAATAAATTGATTTTTTTTATAAAGATCTGTGAATGAACTCACAGCCCATCTGGTATTAAGTGGTTACTGGAGCCCATAGACATCTACAATGTTAATACATGATGAGTCCTGGCAGGCGATGCTCGACTTCTGCGAGTCCACCATCTCGCAGAAGGAGGCGGCGGAACGGGAGAGGGAGAACTCTTCCTCCCTCTCGGCGCCGTGCCGCCGCCGTCGAGCCGGGGGTCGGAGGAGGGCGTTTGTCCAGCTCCGGCCCCTATGAGGAGGCAGTCTCCTCCCGGTGATGGTCACGGGGCGACCTAAGGGGGCTGAGACTGCGCCGCACGCTACCGTCACTCTAGCGCGCTGGCACCAGGAGGACGGGACGACGCGTCGGCGGCTGCGGACTGCGATGCGGTCCGCATTTTCGTCGTCGCTGTCGTCGCCGAACATACTGTGGAAGAGCAACCCGGTCGGCGGTGTATCGCGTTCCGACCCGGCAGGCTGGTTCTGGCCCAGCGGGGTATCCCGGAACACCAGCGGCATCGCCCGGGCGGCCTGAAGGGCCGCCGTACCGCGGAGACTGACGTCGTTGGTCGTCGACTATCGCCTCGACGACCCGTCGGTCGGGCGTCCTCGGGGTGGCGCCGCGTGTCTGGTTGTAGTGTTGACCGCGGGAACCCCCCTACTCTGACCGGGTTTTGACCCCGGACGGAGATCGGACGCCGGGTGTAAGAGTGCAGGGGNAAAAAAAAAAAAAAAAAAAAAAAAAAAAAAAAAAAAAAATCACTCACCTTGAGATATAACCTCTAAGGTCTCAGTATAGTTACAATGGCTGCCCCACCATTCAAACCAAAAAGCATCACTGCTTCATTGCAGAAGTAGGCAGGGTATTGAAACTTAACCGCACCGACTCACAAAATATCCTACCACCAGTAATTATGCAAATTATAATTTTGCAGGTTTGATTTTTATTACACGATGTTATTCCTTCACTACCAAGAATATTTAATTTTGATGTTTATCAAATTTATTTTCACACATCCTTGATTATAAAACTTACGAATTATTATGTAATTAACATTCTGAACATTCTACAGAAACATAAGATAAAAAGAGTACATATTTCAATTTAAAACTTTTTCAGTTATCTTGTTATTGCTGTAACTTACTAATCTATGTAGTATTAAGGAGCTACTAGATGTTTGCTGGTCTGCTTACAACACCAACAAATAAAACTAAACCAATTTTATGGGTGGTACAGGGGAGCCTTGTGAGCCTGCACATGCCAACAACATACCAACACTACCCATAATAACTAGTATATAATAATTAGTCATTCTGGCCATTCTGGTTTGAAGTGTAGAACGACCACCAATAAGACTTGACCACAAGCCTCAGGTTTACATTACATACATCTTAACAATAAAAAAGTGAATAAGACTAAAGTTAAATTGGTATAACCCAAATAAAAATAAAAATCTAAATGAAAAAACGAAATTTAATGCAGTTTATTTTTAGTACTCAGCAGATCAATTATTATCATTTTAATATGGTTTTACATAACATAGTATAAAAACAATAGCTTCAGTTCTTCGCCATTGTGATTTCGTGAAGAAAATGTTAAGATAATTTTACAAAATTTTAGTGAAGAACATTTTATCTTCCTACTCGACCGAGTTTGGTATCAGTTCGAGGGTCAGCAGTAACAGTTTGGACAGCAACTAAAGCTTCATTAATTTTTGTTTGTAAATTTCTAAGATCCTGAACAAACAGTAACTTTAACACATCTGAGGGTTGATTAACTAAATTGACTTCAGTTTGTAGGGGTTCCGGATGCGGAGAAGTTTTCAGTACTTTGGCTAAGGCAGCAAGTCTTATTTTAGGATCTGGATGAGGACCAATGCTTGCTACTGTACAGACTCTGTTGACACCTGCTTTGAATGCTTGACTTGAGACTGAAAATAGATTTGGAATATTACCAAAGATCACCAAAGAAACGTGATGAGTATAGACATCAGGGCCTCAACGGAATTTTATTAAAGAATTGAAGTTGAAGTTTGGAATATTAAAAGCATTAGAAATAAAGAAGAATCAAGATAATCTAAGCTAACATATTAATAAAATTTTAGAACCATTAGTAACAAATTCAATTCTTGTTGGCAATTATTTAAACAAGTCTTAATTATTTAATTGTAATAACAAAATTAGTTTTTGATAGTTAGAAATTAAAATGTTTTTCTAAATTTTATTATGGATGTACTTACAGTCCAGATTGTCTAATGGATTAGAAGACACGACATTGGGAGCTTTCTTTTTCTCTTCAACTTTGGCATTTTTATATTTGTCAACTGTAAAATAAAATTAGACATTCTTATAAAATTTAGATGATTACTGATCATAGAGCATTTTGTAAACCCACATGGGTAAGCACCACCACCCTGCCTATTTATGACGCAGAGGAGAGCTTTGTGTTCTAGTCTGAAGGGTGGAATAACTGCTATGTGTTTTAATGGAGTCTTAGACTTCATGTCTCAAACATGCAGCATTCAAGTTGTTATCTCTGTATGCTCCCGTAACGACTTAATATCAATTGGGCAATGAGCTTGTTTAAATGTCTAAGTATTAAAAAAGAAAAATACGGTAGCAAGTAAAGAAATAATTTGACATGAAATATTTAAATAAAATTTTCTGTTTACCATTATCCGCGTATTCCAACCGCACCGCATACGACAATAGCCAATTGAGTTGTTCATTCAGCGTCCCTTCTGCCGCTGGACTCACCAAATCTTTCTGATACGTATTGTATGCCTCCTTCCAGAAATCGGAATCAATATTTCTCAACCCTTCTCGGTCCTCAATTTTGTAATGCCTTATTTTTTGATCTTCTAACCACAGCACTACACTTCTGTACTCCTTCTCATCTAAAAATTGCAGAGACTTGTTATTTACAATCTTCACTCACGAGTTTTAACGAATAGGTCGTCAAATTAAACAAAACCTTCGCAGTTAAAGAACTCTGGATTTGGATGACCTAGTGCACTTAATTTCAATTTAAATAAATTTGACATTGTTAAAAAACTGTAACAGTTTTTAGATAGCAAGTAGGAGCAAATTTCACAAAATTAACCAAATGCAATTCGACATGACGATAGCATAGATAGTAGACACAAGTGTATAATCTATGGTAGACACCAATATTTGACAATTGACGTTGGAACGCGATCTGAGATCGAAATATCGAATAATAAATTTTTTCAACAAAAACCATTTGATTTGTACCAAAATGAGTAGATCTAAGACATCAGATAATTGAAATTGTATTCGTTTTTTATTAGAACGCAACAAAAAATAATTCACACTTAAATTAGTGTAACACTCCGATCAACTGCTTCTTTTAGATGAGCGAAATAAATTCGTTCACCCTTAGAGTATACATAAGCAAGCTTATGTATACTCTAAGCGTTCACCTTTCTTTAGTGATTTTGTTCAACGTTTCACCTAAATCTTGTCTGCGCTGAATCCGTCTAGTAAGGCCTACAGGATACACAAAATAGTTATATGTACCTAGTCTTGCCATAAATATTGAGACAAAGAAAAAAAAAAAACTATTGCAAATAACATTTATTACTTTTACAGTGTGTTAGTTTAATACATAAATATAAAACAATTTAAAGTTTAAAAAGCTTATTCGAAGTGGTCTCCATTGGCTGCAATACAGTCCTTTAAACGTTGAGGCCAGTTATCAATAGAAGCACGCACTTTTTCCGTGGGAAAATTTTTCACTGCCAATCGTACGGATTGTTTTAAGGACTCCAAATTATCATGGCGTTTAGAGCAAGCCGTACTCTAAAACTGACCATAAAACATAATCCAGCGCATTAAGATCGGGACTAGACGACGGCCAGTCTTCAGCTCTGATGAAGTCCGAAACGTTCGTTTCCAACCAAGATTGCGTAGACCGAGCTTTATGACCTGGCGCCGAGTCTTGCTGGAAGGACCATTCTTGATTATTGAACATGGTGTTGTTAAGGGGCTTCACTACCTTCTCAAGAATGGTATCTTTATACACTTGTGCCGATGTTTTGATACCTTTTTCACAAAAGTATGGCTCAGTCACTCCTTCATAGCTAATACCCCACCAAACCATCACTGAAGTCGGATAGAGCCCACGTTGGACTCTGTCGACTAATTGGGAAGCTTCCTTAGAGCTTTGAGCATAAATACGGTCATTTTATTTGTTAAAATGTTGCTCAATTGTAAAAAAATTCTCATCCGTAAACAAAATGTTTCTATGACCTCCCTTTGCGTGCCGATTCAGTAGTTGTTTCGATTTTACCACCCTATTCTCTTTTAAATTATCAGTTAAGTAATGACCAGTACGTCTCATATAGGCTGCAAGTCCTAAGTCATCTTTTAAAATACGCGACATGGTTCTAGGTGGTAACTTCATCTCCCGAGATAATATATTTTGCTTTCGGACAGAATTTCTTCGAATTCTTTCCCTTGCTGCTTTGACCACCTTTTTCGTACGAACTGTACGTGGACGGCCAGATCTTTTTCTGTCAAACAGAGGAGGTCTCATTGCACCTATTAATAGGCCGGTACACAAACATTTTAGTAATACCAAGCGTATGGAGAGTTTTAAAAATTGCATTTGGCTCCATATCTACTTTGTGTAATGCAATCACAGCAATTCGGTTCTCTTTATCACCCCACTCCATTTTAATATTGCAAAATATTGTACAATGTATTGGCGCCAAAATGAGATCACTCAATGAGCAATCATATAAAAATGACAGATTCCAAATTCAAATGTAATATTTTATTTTTCATTGTAACAGTATTTATGGCCAGACTAAGTATATATACTTAGCTAAGTTAAATGGCCGGTTGATCAGGCTCGGTCAATATTACATGCATTATCGATGCTTTCGGTAGAGAGTAATTGTGTTTTTAATGGCCACAGCTCCTATGTCATTGATACAATTCGTCATCGGGCACAAATGTTTTATCGCCTTTGGTATTTTTTTGAATATACGAGTAGACAATTTAGTTTCACCATTAGATTGGTTGATTGGATATCAACCAATTTTGGTTTTAATTGTTGAGATGTCACAATTATTTTTCTGCATGGAAACAGTTTTGAACTCGTCGTGGTCTAAAGGATAAGACTTCCGGTGTATTCGTATCTAGCGATGTACTGCTTTCGAATCCCGCAAGCGGGTACCAATTTTTCTAATGAAATACGTACTTAACAAATGTTCACGATTGACTTCCACGGTGAAGGAATAACATCATGTCATGAAATTCAATATTTTAATTTGTGTAATTACAGATGGTTGGACCTCTTGAGTCTGCACGGAGAGTATAAAAAGGTAAGGCGGTATGATGAGATATATTCGCCTTTCCTGTTGGAAAAAGGAACTACTTCTCCTTAATTTTTTGGCTTGTCCTCAGGTAAAGCGCTTTATTTACAATCTATCGCGGCTGTACGGCAGCTCAAGGCCGCGGTGCTGGACGTAGCATACAGACAATCGTGCGCGCATCAAGCGTGATGAGAATAAATCGAACGAATTAAATGAGAGGGTTTTAATTTATTTAAAATGCCAGCTGTTTTATCAAAATGCCAAAAAATGGGAGTTCTTCCGATGTCAGCAGCAGCAGAAGAGAGGCAAAAAATAGCAAGAGGTTTTGGATCATTTTTTTATTATTTTAAACGTGCAGAATATATTCAAATAATTAATATAATTTTTTACGCACGCTATCAATCGTTGCAGCTTCCCCTAAAATGGGCCTAAAAATTGTAATACGTTCATTATTTTTTGTTTATTCATATAGTCTGCGCTTGAGACATTCCACAAACATGTGTGGAATTTATATCTTTCAATAAATCTTGAAAGTCTTTCACGATCCATTTTGACCTGCAGTCTCCTCTCGAAACAAGCTTTAAATGTTAAATCTGCTGTACAGCAAGTCTATACACGATCAAGCACGCACGACGCAGGATCGCTCTGACGTACTTCCACGTTATTCACTGTCTATTTGCACGACGTTCGCAGTGGTGGGGGCGCTCGCTGGATGCAAAATTGATCGTGCAAATCCAGCAAACAATTAATATTAATTATCGAGGTACGTTAAGCCTATTCATGGTAATTTGCATCGTAGATCGTGCATGGCCTTGGCGGGACGTACAGCAAGATGGAACGTGGATAGAACACTTAAGCAGGTGCATAGATTATACGCTTATACATACATTATACACTTAATATGTCAAGTTTATAAGCTATGGTATGGTGGATGGTTGACGTTACTTTAGAATAAAGTGTAAAATAACATAATTACATATCTCTGTATCTCTAAGCTACATTGTATACTTGTATATTGTATACTAAGCTAAAGTTGTGATTTTCGCGTACCGTATTATTTTTACGTTTATGTACACCGATATTCGCTTTGGTGAATTCTTTAACGATGTCTTTGTGGATAAAAGAAAACTGTGTATCATTTTTCCAACTATTTTGTATCAAAGTAATAAAGACCGGCCGAGTACCCCAACACATAGCATTCATAATGGATGGAAACAGACGTTACGCGAAAAAAAATAGTGTCGACAAGAGTACTGGTCATCATAAAGGTTTTGACAAGCTTTCTGAAACCTTAAAGGTGCAAAAAAATATTTAATTTATTTTATTGCTTAGTTAGTCTAAGTTTTTTTTTTTTTAATAAAATAGAATATTACTCAAGATTATTTTAGAATACTAAAAGGTTTGATAAATTTAAATTAGTTCACACATTCTGTTTTCAGTGGTGCCTTGATTTAGGAATACCTGAGGTAACTGTTTATGCATTCAGCATAGAAAACTTTAAGAGAAGCAAAGAAGAAGTTGATGCACTTATGGAATTGGCTCGAGAAAAATTCCAAAATCTCTTGGATGAAATGTAAATATAAATATTAATTTATTCATACATCATCAAGGGTACAGTGGTGGACTTCACGTCTAAGGAAAGCATTATCTGCTGGTCAATGAAGGATAGTAGGTTCCATTATTAAATTGAAATGTAATGAGATCAAATCGTATAGTTTGAACAACTAGAGGTCCCGCAGTAGTCGAAATTCGACTATAATTAATTGGAATTCTAAGTTTGTAGGTATTATGATTGTATTTTATACTTCTATAATCACAAATTTCGCCAAGGCTACACTATAAAAAAATATTAATAAAGACAAACAATATTTAATCTATTCTCAATTTGACCACAGACGTCAAAAACAAAAGTTTGACAATAAATAGCTTTTTTTTCTTTTTTTCCTACCTAAGCTGATAGCCTTAGGGGCTATTTCAGCGTAACCCTAACGTTTGTAGGTGAGCTCACGGGGCTCAAACCTGATGACGTTGCTAACACGAACCCTAGCAAGAGCCGTGCTTCGCAGAATCTACCACCGGAACGGAAACGCGACCCACTGAGAAGATCCGGCGAGAAACTCAGTGGGCTGTGTCTGAGAGTTAATTTACTCGTCGAGCCCTTCGTCGCAAGCGACGGGTTCGACGAGAACGGTGACCGGTGCTTGAAGTACCTAAAAGCACCGTTAGTGGATCAGGAGGATCCGAGATGACGTGTTTAGGGCGACGTCGACTGCTTTCCATTCTGTCCGCAGGATCGGGAATGTAGTTACCGGCGGCCACGATGAGAGGGTTCTCGTGTCGTGCCGCTTTATCGAAGTGGCGCATGGACGCCGACTGCAGATACTTACTGATGGACTCTAAGTCCAGGTCGTCATGGAGGTCGACGTTCCTGACGAACCACGGGGCTCCGACGGCTATCCTGCAAAAACGGGATTGAATAATTTGAAAGGATTTTAAGTGTATGCGGGCCGCGTGAGCGAACACTACACTTGCATAGGTCATGACGGGGCGTATGCAAGTTTTGTAGAGTGTCACCTTATTTCTAAGGGACATTTTACTTCGCCTACATATCATCGGGTAGAGACGTCCTAGGATGAAGGCGGCACGATCGCGTACCGTCTTGATGTGGGGGCGGAATGTCATCCTACTGTCGAGGGTGACGCCTAAATATTTGACCTTCGGGGCCCACGGTATGGGCTGGTCGTACATCGTGATTGGGCGAACGGCGGGGGCGGAGGTGTTGACGCGCCTAGTCGGGAGAGGGATGCTCAGCGTGGTGTTCGGAGGGCGACCCCTTTTGAAGAGCACCGCTGTGCTTTTCGTGGGGTTGATGTCGATGCGCCACTTCCGGAACCACTGTCCCATGGTGGTAGCTGCGGTCTGAAGTCGTCGATGAAGCAACGCCTTCTTCCTACACGAGTAGTAGATGGCGGTGTCATCGGCGAAGAGCGCCAGATGGGTCTCCGGAGACCGGGGTATATCATTGATATACAAACTAAATAGTAACGGGGAGAGGGCGGAGCCTTGCGGGACTCCGGCTGTGACGTGACGGGGCCGGGAACGCGTTCCCTCGACTCGATATCGGAACGAAATAGTATGCATGCGTGTGTGCGTCAAATACATGGTATGTAGTGTGTGTAATGTTTTCTTTATTGATTTAATGTATCTTTTATGCATTTTTAAAAAAAAAAATTAGCATTGTGCACTTCGTCTCTATACTCTATAAGTGTGGAAAATTTCATACTCCTCCGTCCGCGCAATTTTCGTAAAAAGGGATACAAAGTTTTTGCTTCACGTATTAATATATAGATGAGTGGTATTTTTAAAATAAATGAAATATTTCTTGGTTCTACTCGTTCTGTCTGATTATGTTTAATTTATCCAATTGAGTCAAAATCTTGAACAGCTTTTGGTAAAAAACTAATGAAATTATATGTTGTTTCAAAATATTTATGTATTTCCATCAGATGAAGATTAAATTGTTATTTGCGTTTTAGATAACGATTTTTACATAAGATAGTGTCAACTATGAAGGTGCCATTGGTTTTATCAGTAAGACACTCCGTGTACTTTTATTGAAGTTGTGGTAGCCTAATGCGTATTTGTGAGTCGTGTGCACCGGGTATGGTGGGATGGTGCTCTGCTTATGATGGTGCCGAGCGCGGTGTTCCACAGGGGTCGGTCCTTGGCCTCTCTTGTGGAACATCGGCTACAACTGGGTCCTGCGGGGCGCCCTTCGTGCTCCTCTCCCGAGTCTGAGGGTAGTTTGCTACGCGGACGATACTTTGGTCGTGGTCCGGGGCCCACCTGGTGTTAAGTGGTTACTGGAGCCCATAAACATCTACGACGTAAATGCGCCACCCACCTTGAGATATATGTATAGATATAGTTATAATATACAGAGTGGCCGGAACATTGATGTCCAAAAAAAAATTTAGGTCCCTCGTGTTGTGAGGTATCCGAATCACCCCCATGTATGTTCCGCGATTTTTGATAGTTTTCGAGTTATGAATTTTTTTCTAATTTATCGAGAATTTTCGACATGGCCCACTTAAAAAAAAATTAGGAGACTTTTCGAGACTTTTTTTTTTGCAACTAATTCTCTACAAGTTGTTCTTTTACACATAAAATAATCAGCTTCGTAACTTTTATAGAAGTTGCAAAGATTTTGGGTTAAAAGAAAAATGTACGGTTGGTGAATTAGACTTACATTTTCAACTTTAAATTAAAACTCTAAACAGGTGATTAAATAGTTTCTAAGTAACTTTAAAAAATGCGCTAGACTCTTAGCTTTCATAATCAATAAAAAAAAGTAGAGCTCAACGGGCTACTTTGGCTAAAATTGGCCTTCAAAGACAGCTAGGTGGAAAATTCTTAAATTTTTTTGGTCTTACAAAAAAATATATTTTGACAATTTTATCATTCTTAAGGTTAATTTGTTTGTTAACAAACCAAAATTAACTGCAGAAAAGCTAAGGTCTAAGCATTTGGAGGTTTTTTTTTTAGTTATGTTTAAATATGTACTCAACAAATGTTCACGATTGACTTCCACGGTGAAGGAATAACATCGTGTAATAAAAATCAAACCCGCAAAATTATAATTTGCGTAATTACTGGTGGTAGGACCTCTTGTGAGTCCGCGCGGATAGGTACCACCGCCCTGCTTATTTCTGCCGTGAAGCAGTAATGCGTTTCGGTTTGAAGGGTGTGGTAGCCGTTGTAACTATACTGAGACTTTAGAACTTGTATCTCAAGGTGGGTGGCGCGTCTACGTTGTAGATGTCTATGGGCTCCAGTAACCACTTAACATCAGGTGGGCTGTGAGCTCGTCCACCCATCTACGCAATAAAAAAAAAAAAGATCTGTTCTTGCGAGTCATGAGATGTAAAAACGAGCCGAGAGAATAAGAGAAAATTATAATTTTGCGGGTTTGATTTTTTATTACACGTTGTTATTACTTCACCGTGGAAGTCAATCGTGAACATTTGTTGAGTACGTACGAGTTTTCATTAGAAAAATTGGTACCCGCCCGGGAACACCGGTGCATCGCTCAACACGAATGCACCGGACGTCTATCCCTAAGGCCACGACGACTTCAAACCTACTGTGGAAGAGCAAACCGGTCAGCAGTGTATCACGTTCCGATCCGGCAGGCTGGTTCTGGCCCCGCTGAGTATCCTGGAACACCAGCGACATCGCCCGGGCGGTCCGGTAGGGCCTCCGTACCGCGGAGACAGGCGTCGTTGGTCGTCGACTATCGGCTCGACGACCCGTCGGTCGGGCGTCCTCGGGGTGGCGCCGCGTGTCTGGTTGTAGTGTTGACCGCGGGAACCCCCTACTCTGACCGGGTTCTGACCCCGGACGGAGATCAGACGTCGGGTATAAGAGTGCAGGGGAGTCGTTTAGTACGGTAGGGCCCTAAAATTCCTTGGGCCCGCACACTGTTCCGAACACCTTGCAGATCGTCAAGTCCCACATACCCCGGGCGCCCCCTAGGCGCGGGTACTTTCTAAGAGGTTCGGCCCCAGTACCGAAAAAAAAAGTTTAGAGCCCCGTGAACTCAACTACTCACTCGGCGAATCTAGTATAACCCCATATAGTTACTAGAATAGGTAGGAAGAAAAAAAGAAACTGCAATAATAGAAAATCGATGATACATGTTCACACTCTGATGATATTATACAATACCATTGTAATAAGACCCGCAACTTGAATTGTGTTATTTGATAGCATTTATAGCATTTATATTTGATAGTATTTATTGCACTAGCTAAGTAGAAAAATAATAATATATGTTGAGGATGTTAATTTTGTTAGTTATTTTAAGCTACAGGTAAAACTATAAAAGGAAAATTTGGAATCATCCAAACAATCATTGTAAAATGATTTTGCAATTAATAATGTTGAGTCGCCATCTGTATTTAGTTTGTCCGTAAAATAGCATTTTAAAAGTTGTAGATGTCTATGGGCTCCAGTAACTACTTAACATCAGGTGGGCTGTGAGCTCGTCCAGCAAGATTTGCATCAGCAAGAATTATGTGTATATATATATTTTAATTCATTTTACAATTGCTTTTCATTTTAAGTGATCAAATTGATGAGTGGGGTGTACGAGTACATGTGGCTGGGCGACTCTCATTGTTACCGGAGCACTTGAGGAGTTTAGTTTCAAAGGTCATGCTCGCAACCAAAGATAACAACAGGCTTTGTTTGAACATTGCTTATGCCTACACAGGTTAAGTTCAACTTTGATTATGTTAAATTATGGCCGTTTTAGTTTAGGCATATACATAATTGTAAGCTGTTTATGCACAGCAATAAATAATGCAGTTTTTCACATTATTACCTGGAAATGCAAATCAAGTCACACTAATTAAGACATTGCATTGACATAAAGAAAATGAATGATGGTTACTCAACAAAGTTAACCATTCCTTATTTTTAAAAATAATTGTAATATTTCCCCATTCACTACAATCTATTAAAGTTCTGACCACAATAACGAGGGTCTTGAACCTGTTGCAATGTCAGAACAAAGTAACAAAAAATGTTGTTATTCTCACATAACTCGATTGACCTTGTTTTTGGAAAACGTCATAACATTAATTTCATGCAAAACTTCAGAAAAACTCTCAAATTGCTTAATGTCAAAAACCAAACAATAATTTTTTTTTTTTTTTTTCAAAATGTTTCATTGTAGTTTGGTGAATATTGGTAATTTTACTTCAATATTGTTATTTACAGGTCGTGATGAAATAAGCAGAGCAGCTTCACGTATAATTGACGGAGTCAAAGAAAATAAAATTTCTCCAGAAAATATAGATGAAGAACTGATTTCTCAATCACTGGATCTTGGAGAGCCTGAATTGCTTGTTAGAACATCAGGAGAAGTTAGGCTATCCGATTTTATGCTTTGGCAGGTCATTACTTATTTTAAGTTTTATTTGCTGCAACCTTCGATGAACGGTGAATGGTCCGCCCTGAGTTAAACAATTCTGAAGTATAGACATACAATGCAATGGCTCACTTTCAGAAATGAAGGTGAAATCGCACTGGTGTTATAAACCAATCACATTTTGTGTTTGCAACAAAATGGTGTGGCAAACTTCCAGGGGCTTCCAGGGGATAATTCGTTACTTGGCTAATGTCATGTTTATTAAAACCAAAAGACTGAGTATAATTTATTACATTATAAATTTATAGTTCTAGGAGTCATGTTGAAAAAAAAACTCCTTTCCTCATGGCGAATTTAGGTATAAATTTAATAAGGTGTATAATGTAAATATGTCGTCATTAGTTAACCACTAGTAGGTACTTCGCAGCATGACATTTTCCTTATGTCTGAATATATTTTAAATTTTGTTTATGTACCTAAGTACATTGCATGTATTATGGTCAACTTTTTTACTCTCGTTCATGGTAGATGAGTGTATAACAAAGTCCACTGTGCGTGTGGACCAATAACAAGTAATGATGATAAATATTGATAATATAATTAATAACTAATGATAAATATTAGCAAAATCAGGGTTCCTTTTCAAACTTACTTTGAAAGAGATATCCTAGCACTGCAGAAATATAGGGGTAACTCTAGAAGGATATAGAGTACCTATTTGTTGAATTTTTTAGAAATTTACTGTGGGTGACTGCCCTGGTGGCGGGTTGATAGAAATAAGGAGTAGACTGTATCTCCCAAAAATTTCAACATTTTTATAAGAAAAAAATCATTTAATTCGCATGAAGTGGATTTTTTAATATTGTTCTTTTTTTTAGATTTCGAATACCGTTCTCTATTTCACGGATGTATTGTGGCCAGAATTCACGATTTGGAATCTATTGGCGGCCATTATACATTTTCAGAGAAATGCACCTCCAATAAAAGCGGAAGACACTAATGAAACGGCGCACGAAAAGGAGGAATTTTTGAAATATTTAGAGCAAAGAAGAGCTCAAGAACTAACAAAATATATTAGTTGATGTTCCGTATTAATACTATGAAGTATATAAAACGGAACGCTTCAACTATTTAATGTAAATACAATAGGCGTTAATCACATAGTGATTAATGCTACTTTGCATCTTAATGATAGTACGGTGTATTTTTCTAAAAAGGTTAACTTTACTTCCATATGTTGTTGTATAGCAGTTAAACCCAATGTGGGCCGAAATAATTTTGTTTTTTTGTATTCTATTACATAGTCAAACAAACAAAATTAAGAGACTATGTATGTTATGAATAAATAATATACCTAATATAAATAAATTATTATCAAACAGTTAATTTATAGTTACTTGCTTTTTGTATTTTGTTTTTATTCCTAAGATTTAGGTTTGGTTTTAATTAGCATAATAAATATAATAAAATATCGCATTTATGTGGTTGTGAAAAAGACAGTTTTATTGCTACATTTCAGTTATACATTACAAATTTTTATATTTATTGAAATGTTTTTAAACACACATAAGCTTGTACAGTAGTTTTTTTCATATATAAATAATTTAACAATTCAGTTTTACAATATCGATTATTTGTGACCGGTTACAACAAGTCTGGAAATTTTATTGCGATGTGATATCGACCGATTTCAGTATTTTTTGGATGTTACCAAATATGCATAAAATAATTACTACAATTGAGGCCTATAAAATCAAAGGCAGCTAAACGCCTTAATGTCGTGACATGGATTAACTAACAACGGCGCTATCTTGTTTAGTTAGTTGGACACGCTTTAGTGTTTTCATGTTATAACAAATACAGATAAATCTCTAACAAATTCAGTTCAAAAATCTTATTTTTACTCTGTACTAAGTACTAATAAACGAAGTTTTATCATTTAAAATTCAGATTTTTAGTAATATTCTCATTCTTTATAAATCTGCTTTAAAATAAAGAATATCGTAGCTATCCGAACAAGTTATTTCAGCTTCTCAAGCCGGGAGTGTTGCTAACACTGGCCCTAGCAAGAGCAGTACTTCGATGGATCGGGAGGATCCGTGATGACGTGTTTAGGGCCGATTTTTGTAGTTTACCTGAATATTTGACAGACTTGGATTTAGCTGCCTTTGATTTTATAGGCCTCAATTTTATGTCTAACACATACTTTAGCATTTATGAGATGTTGGAACGATTCGGTAGATAAAATCCTGTTGTAATTCTATGAAGTACTGTGATCCAAATCATCAGGATAGAATTTTAGGCGAAATACTTCCTGATAGCAATACAAGAGGGTAGAGCCTAGCCGTATAGACATTGATTATCTACGTCAGTAAAACAATATTTGCAGGTTTGGTTTCCTGAAGTTATTCCTGCGTCATGGAGGCTATTCGTGAACAAGTTTTTTTGCCCTTGTAGGCCAACGAGTATATTGCCCATTTGATGGTGAGCAGTTGCCGCCACTTAAAGACCCTGCCAGGGGCAGAGACAAGCCACTGTCCCACCACTGAGTGCGCTCCGTAAACTTCGTTCGAAGAAAGATATATCATAGCGCTCGGGAAACACCGTAGATTTATGTTTAATCCAAAGCCGAATACAGTGGTACCTCGATATACGAGTGTTTTGGGAGACGAGCCGTTCGAGCCAGCGATATTTTGCTTTGAGATGAAAGAAAGATTTGGGATACGAAGAATTGCACACTACATCGTCGAGTGCAGCGTCTAACAGTTTTAAAAAAAAAAAAAAATTGCTTAGATGGGTGGACGAGCTCACAACCCATCTGGTGTTAAGTGGTTACTGTAGCCCATAGACGTATATAACGTAAATGCGCCACCCACCTTGTGATATGAGTTCTAAGATCTCAGTATAGTTACAACGGCTACCCCACCCACCCTTCAAACCGAAACGCATTACTGCTTCACGACAGATATAGGCAGGGCGGTGGTACCTACCCGCGTGGACTCACAAGAGGTCCTACCACCAGTAATTACGCAAATTATAATTTTGTGGGTTTGATTTTTAATACACGATGTTCTTCACGGTGGAAGTCAATCGTGAACATTTGTCCAATACGTATTTCATTAGAAAAATTGGTACCCGCCTGGGAGTCGAACACCGTTGCATCGCTCAACACGAATGCACCGGACGGCTTATCCTTTAAGGCGAATTTACATTACGAAATTAGTGGCATGAAACTAATTTCGTGCCATTAGTTTTACCAACAGTTTCACGTGTAATTTAATACTTTCGTAATGCATGCATTAATTTCATGCATTCAAATTAGTTTCGTGCGCTGCGCGATTTTTTGGTGAAATTAGTGTCATGCAACTAATTTCATAGTGTAGACGCGACGTGAAACTAATATCGCGAACGGGCCTGCGCTGTGCGGACGTGTGTATTGTTAGTTCGGACGCGCTTCAAGCGTTGAAAATGGCAAACCAACGATGGAGTACAGAAAAAAAATAGATCTTAATGAATATCAGCGACAAGGGTGTCTCTGGGACTCGAAACACCTACAGTAAAAAATCAAAATTATCTTTACTCATTCGAAAATAGTTTTTATAACTCTCAGGATCATCATCTGCTAATTCAGACTAACTTCATTGCACCTAAATGCCTTCTTGTTGACCATCCTCGAATCTACCAACTTTTTTTTTCTTGATCGTCTTTTTTTAAGTTTATAGGTATATAAGCATTTCTTTAGCTACATTGAATATAGCAAAAATATAGCTTTGATGCTGAAGGCGCCATGGTTACTGCGTTACTGTGGATTTCGCGACACTAATTTTTTAATGAAATTACTTTCGCATATATCGAAACTACTTTCGTGAAATTGAGTTCAACATGCATGACACTAATTTCGTAATGTAAATTCGCCTTTAGGCCACGACGACTTCAAACGCTTATTATTATTATTTTATTATCTTAATTATATTATTATTATCTTAATTATTTTTTTAAACCCAATGATAAGAAACATTTATTTTCTAAATAGATCTAGATTTAGATTTAGATAGATCTAGATTTTTCAATAATTAATCCCTATTAATAATGATTCAAACACTTGATTATTTTCCTTTAATAGTATATTTCGAATAAGTTTTTGTTGGGTCATATGGCTCCCATCTCGATGCTGGAAAAATGTGCTTATTTCTCTCATACCAAGATCTGAAAATTAATATGAAATGTTATAGAAATCACTCCAAAAAAATTGAAATTAAGATGTGAAATATTAATAGTTGATAATATATACAAAAAACAATAATCTCCTCCATTAATTTTGAATTATTTACCATTAGGACTGACAGAAATTGATGAGAATATTTTCATGTCTTTCCCATAGACACAACCTCTGGATCTTCTCAATGAGTCGCGATTCCGATCCGGTTGTAGATTCAGCACTGCTCTTGCTAGGGCTAGTGTTAGCAATTCTCTCAGATTGAGCTCGTGAGCTCACCTACCAGTCCTAGCTTATTTCGAGTAGCCCCTTAAGCTATCAACGATTAGTTAAGGAAAAAAAAAGATGTATTACAAACCTTAGTAAAACTTTTCCGGCATGCGAGTCTTGCTTCTCTTGGGTGGCATCATTGACAAGTCTCACATCATCTGATGCATCAAATTGGAACAGTGGACCACTTTTACCTCTAGCCTGAAAAGCCGAAAATACAGGGAGTATTATTCACAGGGAGTTGGAAATCTAAATTGTATATCAACTACTCGGACAATTAATTCATGGTGTTTTTTCGTCTTACCACATAAGCTTTCAATTGACAATTAATTTCTATTTTTAGGGTAATGCTTTAAACTGTTCCTATCACCAAGCTTGAGCCAAAAGATCCTCAATTGAATGAAACAATGGATATTTTATGCTAAGTTTGAAATAAAAGTTTGCTAGCCTAAACAAACACCAACTAATTTTAGTTCACAATTCACTATCCATATAATATTTTAGTTGGGAAACAGCCTTTTATATAATTTAATTAACAGTAAGTAATCTCTCAAAATTTGTTTTACCTTTGTAACAATGAAGTCGTAGAATGTGTAGTGATGTGGTAATATAAGATCTTCCTTCACATACATTAGTTGATCAGCAGAGATTGTCTTCAATTCACTAAACTCTGGCCTCAGAGCGTCTAAGCACCGTTGTAGGAATTGGTATATGGAATTACCTAAAAATAAATGTGATGACAAGTTCGTTTTGTACATTATGTAGAAAACTTCACAATTATTAGGGATCATGGAATGTTGTTTCTCTAGGTATTTTCAGGTCTTTTATTGGAAACATATTGTGCTAATTTGCTTTTATAGATTGTTTTTGAAATGTTTTCATAGATGGGCACTAACTGCAAATATGATCTAAGGGGGCGTCCATAAATTACGTGAGGTGTTTAAGGGGGGGTGTTTATGGACGCCCCCTAAGTGGCTACCATAGATTTATAGATAAATAAAATGAGGGCCACCGCTTTGAATAGATAAGGTTATAAGGTTTATGTAATTACAAACCAGTCAGATGGTATTACCCTTTTACAGTGGACATAGTAATATATATCCATTATTTTATTTTTCCACTCCATTATTTTTTATAAAACTGAGTAAGAGAAAAAAGCTTTATGTGTATGTCAACAGTGTATTAGGTACACTACTATAGACTAGTGTTTTGTGTATCATGATAAAACTATCTTGTTATAATGGCTTACAATACCAACAGAAACATACATAAACCACTGAATAACAGTTATTATTATCTGATAAAGTTTCGAGAAAATATACAGAAAATAAGTTTTTCATTGATTTCAAAGCTGCAATAAATTAGACAGTTAAATGTTTTATGGCTTAACTTAATGCTGTGTAGACAATTTTTTTTTTTTACGTAATCGATTTTCATTTGTGAACATGTGTTAAGAAGATATTTCATTACAAAAAAAACTATTTGCCTACAGGATTTCAATACCGGCATAGTTGCTACTTTCAATATGACATTTTACCTTTTTTAAGTGTAACATTTCTTCTATGGCCAGATCCATCCCAATAGCTGAATGTAACTGTGATTGGTTCATCTTTGAGACTGGCCTGTGTCATTACCCATTCCAATCTGAGTTCTTCCCTTAATTTCAAATCCGCTTCTTCTCTTTCTCTGTCTGGTAGAAACGATGTATCCACATCAGGGTTCTTTTTTATCTTTTTTAGTATCTGTTGAATTAGAAAAAATATAATATTTGGTAAATTTTTTTAATTTCTGCAAATATTAAGTGCAAAATTGTTTAATTATTTGACTAAAACATTTTTTTTAGTGTAGTTTAATGACTAGACGGCTTGTGGCCTTCCTGGTGTTAAGTGGATACAAAGAATGTAAATAGTTTTCTCCTAATATTTGAGATTAAAGTATTACATTAAATATACCCATAGTGCCTTTAAAATAGAATGCATCATTGATTTGTTGTTGTTTTAGTTATGATTATGGTATCAATAATATGTGCACAATAATGTTTTGACACCATTAGGTAATACAGAAAGGAATTAGGGAAGATATTAGTAGAATTACAATGGTCAAAATGAGAAGGAAGCAAATGTACACAGGAGTTTGCAAAAGTGTTTAGCAAAAGTAAGTTGAAACCTATATATATTAAACCTATATATATAATATATTATTTTTATTTATTGCTTAGGTGTGTGGATGAGTTCATAGCCCATTGGGTGTCAAATGGTTACTGGAGCCTATAGACATCTACAACATAAATGCCACCACCCACCTTGAGATATGAATTCTAAGGTCTTAGTACAGTTGCAATGACTACTCAACCCTTTAAACCGAAACGCATTACAGCTTCACAACAAAAATAAACACAGCGGTGGTATCTACCTGTGCGGACTCATGAAACGTCCTACCACCAGTAATTACGCAAATTGTAATTTTGCGGCTTTCATTTTTATTACATGATGTTATTCCTATGTATGTTACGTTATGAACATTTGTTAAGTACATCATTAAAAATTAATCATAAAAATTGGTACCTGCCAGTGTGATTCAAATATCACTGCATCGCAAGATACAAATGCACCGGAAGTGTTATTCTTTATACCACAACTACTTCAAATGTTAACATGTTAAGTATATTAATTTAGTCAACTATTAATAACATAAATCAACATCATATTGTGTTATATTTAATGTGTTCAATTTATCAATAAATAGAGGTCCCGCAGTAGTCGAAATTCGACTATAATTAATTGGAATTGTAAGTTTGTACACTATTATGATTGTACTTTATACTTCTATAATCACAAATTTCACCAAGATTACATTATAAAAAATAAAGACAAACAATATTTAATCTATTCTCAATTTGACAACAGACGTCAAGAACCAAAGTTTGACAATAAATAGTATGCATGCGTGTCTGCGTCATGTGTACATGGTATGTAGTGTGTGTAATGCTTTCTTTATTGTTTTATTGTATCCTTTATGCATTATTTTAAAAAAATATTAGCATTGTGCACTTCTTCTCTATATTCTCTATAAGTGTGGAAAATTTCATACTCCTCCGTCCATGCAATTTTCTTAAAAACGGATACAAAGTTTTTGCTTCACGTATTAATATATAGATTATGAAGCACATGTTTGGTTAAGAACTATGGATTAATGAAGAAGACATTTCTTGCAATAATAGTATAGTATACATACTGGCTCCTCTTTTTCTTTCCAACTCTTTTCTGGTTTCTCTTCTTCAGTTTCTGCATCATCCTCTTCTTCTTCCTCATTCATATTAAATGAGAGTGCTTGAATCTTAAAACAAAAGGATGGCCAATTATTTTTTTAAATAATTTATAGTAATTGCAAATATTATGTTGTGCAGCATAAATAACTATTTTCAAATTAACCATTTTTTCAGAGAGTTTTTATCTATCAGTGTACTCCACATTTTGATAGCCTTCATGATTTGGTAAGTGGTGATTGAATATCACCACTCCCTTTAAAGCATGATTTTGAAGTCTTAAATATATTGAATTACAAATATGTTGAATTTTAATTCTCATTTAATTCAAATGTTAGGTAATTTAGGCAATTTTTAGTAACTTTGTCTTTTACTATTATTAAGTAGTAATTAAAATTTTAACAGCCATATTTCACTGTAATTAGGTATACTTAAAACATTGTATTTGTTTTATAAAATGATAAGAACATGAATATGTAACTTAGTGCAGCATACCTGCCTCTTTTGTTTATTCTTTTGAGCCTGTTTTGCTTCAATTTCCTTTTGCCTTTCCTTCTCTTTCTCAGCCTTTTTTTGGGCCAATTTTTTTTCTCTTTCCCTAACTATATGTTCTTGTTTTGCTTTCATTTCATCAAGAGTAACAAGACCAATAGTTGAACTTTTTAGCTGCTGCTCAACGGCGTCATAGTGTGTGGCAAACTTGTTCTCAATATTGTCGATTTTAAGATCTTCTTCTATCTTCTTTTTGCGTAATTCTATTTCTTGCTGTGCTTTTTCTCTTTTTTTCATCAGATGCATGGCTCTGCCAGCTTCAGAGGCAGCTCCTTTATAATGCGCCATGGTTCTCTTGATTAGATTTTTCACAGGTATTAGTAGTATAGTAGTTAGTAGTAAGGTATTCTTTAAATTCTTTAGTTTAACGCGTGTTAGATTTTTTCTCCAAACCTTATCAAAAATGCACTTGTGTGAAATATTTTTGACTTAACACTTATCACATCACACATACACCACTGATAATTTATAGGTACCTATTTATTAAGTGACAATTGACAGTAGTAGTGGTAGTAGTTTTATTTTCCAATTGGAAAGGCAAAGGTATCATACGATACAGCCTAATTTTTTATATTTTTTTATATGAAAAATGATTTTAATAAATGATATGAAGTTGATTAACATGAAACATGGCATGAAATAAAATGAAATGAACTGAAATGAATTGAAATTAAATCATATAAAATGAGATGAAATGTCATGGGATAAAATAAAATCTCAGTAAAATGGTGGTCATTTACTGAGACTTTTTCAGTGGACTTTTCGGAGGATCCCGACAAGTTACGTTCTGTGGCTTTGTTCATTTTCCCACATTTGTGCACTTTCACAGATACTAAACAGTCAATAAATCACCGTTATTACACATTGATACCCAAAGAAACACAAAATAGACAAAATAAAACAAGTAGTAGTAGTTTTATTATTCAAGTTGCAACAAGGCATCTACGCATATAATTTAAAGAAGATTCGACAACTTTCTCCAAATATTGTAGATGTCTTATTAAATATTAGTTTTATTAACTTATTTGTTTGTTAATTATAGTATATTTTGATTTGCAATTTTTTTTTATCAATGTAACATGTAATCTTACATTTTCCGAGTAATTGAAGAGTAAATTTTAAAATTAAAAATTGTATATAATAATAATAAAAAATAATCGATTTCGAGTTTTTTTCGATTATTTGCATTTTCTGAGAAGATTTACTATAGTAACTTTTTTTTTTCACCATCGGAAAGTAGAGATTTTAACGAATAGAAAACATACCAACTTTTTGAAAAAAGCTGATATTTTTACGGGTGAATTTTCGATTGAAAATTAGGGTGCTTATACGATATTAATTCAAAATAAGGTGAAAAAATAAATCTTTCTAATCAAATAAGTTACAGTGTATTTCGGACATAAAAAGTAAGTTTTCACCTTTCGTGAAAAAAGATTTTTGGAGTTTACTCCTTAAGAATCGATTTACATATATAGGCCCGGGGTATGAAAATTATGGGGACCAAAATCGTACTAGCATGTCACACGAAATGCGTTATGCGCCTGATTGGCTCCTGATTGCGTGATGCGTGCGCGCGCCAATCAGGAGCCAACGCGCGGCCGCGTTATCGCAGGTGACGCCGGACTGCTGCGCCGGCAGTCCGCCNACCCCCCCCCCCCCCTCCCCCATCCCCTTCCCGACCTCAGATCGCCCGTAAGTTATTTTTTCTTTCATTTTTATAATATTCCCCTCCTTTTCTAATGGGTTTCATCATACTATTTTTTTTTTTGGTTTTAAAAATTTTCGACCCTGGTCTATATGTGTTATTTAGTAATATAAATGACAAAATTATTATTTAATATAATTCATACTCAATATTATTAAATTATTGACGTTAAATATTTATTATTAATTATTAAATATTTAAAAAAAAGAAATAAATTTAATATATTATAATTTTTTTTTTTATAGCTTAGATGAGTGGACGAGCTCACAACCCACCTGGTGTTAAGTGGTTACTGGAGCCCATAGACATCTACAATGTAAATGCGCCACGCACCTTGAGATATAAATTCTAAGGTCTCAGTATAGTTATAGTATATAAAAATAAAGTATAACTGCTTACGCGCGTACATAAGTACACGCACCCTTTTTTTGTTCTTCATTAGTAAAGCAGTCTTTCGACGTGACTTTTGTACCGTTATACAGTTGTACTCAAAATATTTTATTTTTATTAAGTTAACTAATTTTCTTAACATTTACTTTCGCTCTACAACTGATTAAATACATTATTATTATTATTTTATTAATTTATTAAAGACATAAATACATTATTATTATTATTTTATTAATTTATTAAAGACATAAAAACCCGAACCGAACATTCACACATAGATAACTTGTTCACAGACCTACTGTCACTGTACCTACAACACAAGGTGCAAATGTCATTGTTTAGTCCGTTATTTTCTTAAAAAAAGGAAAAAGTGTATTGTCTATTCCAATCTTGAACTTCAATTTTGTCTTCGAGTTCTCTTTTCGATTTGATTGTAAATTGGACATTATTTTACCGTAGTCGACCACTAAAATTACTTGCTTATATATTGTAAATAATAAATAGAAATGGATGAATCAGTATTGTTTCCTTCACCGAATTGGTTTCAAGTATCTGGCCTAGCAATTTCGAAAGATGGTTGGCTCGTCTATAGCGGGCCGGGAAAAAGTCTTTGTATTGTAGAACCCCTCAAAAACTATAACAGTGTCATTGATTCAAAGCAGCCGTACTGTGTACATTTTTGGAATAGAGCTCATAATGACAAGTATGTATAAACTTTGAGATTTTAATATCATTTGTAGAAGAAATTCAGAACACTAAAAATTTTCAATTTTCATGATATATACAAGACATTCTGTCTGATAAGTGGCTACTCGAGTCCATACATATTACAAGAGGGGTGTGATGAATGCAGATCTAGATAGAAGAAATTATTAAAATAAAATAATCACATAATAATACATGAATGGTATGCATTTATAACATACCTTTTAATTGTAATTACTTACCTTATTCTGAATAATACAAATGCACAAAAGCTGTAAATATGGTAAGGTTATTGAATGACTAGCGACCCGCCCTCGCTTCGCTTCGGAAACATTAAAACACACATGAAACCAAAAAAATAAAATAAAAAAAATTAAAAAAAAGTAGCCTATGTTCATCAGGGACAATGTCGGCTTCTAATGGAAAAAGAATTTTTCAAATCGGTCCAGTAGTATCGGAGCCTATTCGAAACAAAGAAACAAACAAATCTTTCCACTTTATAATATTACTAGCGACTCGCCCTCGCTTCGCTTCGGAAACATTAAAACACACATGAAACCAAAAAAAAAAAATAAAAGTAGCCTATGTTCATCAGGGACAATGTCGGCTTCTAATGGAAAAAGAATTTTTCAAATCGGTCCAGTAGTTTCGGAGCCTATTCGAAACAAACAAACAAACAAATCTTTCCTCTTTATAGATCAACAAATCTATTGATTTCTTTAGTATATATAAAATTCAAACGAGCCAAGACCTTATTTATGACTATTTTTACAAAGATTCAGTACAATGAAATAGTGTACAGGCTACAAAAGAGCATAGGCTAGCCATAAAGAAATATAAGTGCCTTATGTTTAAAATACTATAGCACCATTCATTTTGTCATATAGGTTTCATAATGAATACAAGCGGATCTTAGCCTAATCAGTATTAAAAAGTCCATAAAAAATGAACCCACTGTAATCTGGACAATTTAATCTGGCACCCCTGGTAATCTGACATCTCTATTAATATTGAATATTTTTTGACAATCTTCATTAATATAGAGATAATGCATGATTGAACAGGTTACAACTCTTGTATTTGACACTTAGGTATTGTTTAGATTCTGATAGGCATAGGTGGATAGGCATGCACCTATTTCTGGACTTATACTGGCCATGAAAGCTTAAGTTTTTTAAGGAAATAATAAAAAAAGATGTTTTAGTGGCTAGCAAGGGATGGCTAGAATGTTTCAAAAGTTGTCATGGCACACATACAGTATTCTTTTTACGTTTTATCTATATATTAATACATGAAGCAAAAACTTTGTATCCCTTTTTACGAAAATTGTGAGGACGGAGGAATATGAAATCCACACTTATCGAGAATATAGAGAAGAAGTGCACAACGCTAATATTTTTTTAAATTAATGCATAAAAGATACATTAAATCGATAAAGAAAACATTACACACACTACGTACCATGTATTTGACGCACACACGCATGCATACTATTTATTGTCAACCTTTTGTTCTTGACGTCTGTTGTCAAATTGAGAATAGATTAAATATTATTTGTCTTTGTTAATATTTTTTATAGTGTAGTCTTGGCAAATTTGTGAAGAAGTATAAAATACAATCATAGTAATGTACAAACTTACAATTCCAATTAATTATAGTCGAATTTCGACTATTACGGGACCTCTAGTAGTAGTAATAATGTTAATTTTATAATAAAATGTAGAATTTCTATTGTGTTGTTTCATTTAGTAAATTCAACATACCTATTGAGGTATGATTTGCATTTCAAAATATAACATATAGAATCTTATCACTGGATCTCTTAATTTGTCAGATTACAAGGTACTCTTTTGTAAAAAAAAAAAACAGACTAAAGGGGGTCTTGGGCAGTACAGCAGACTACTTGGCAGATTATGGGGAGTCATTGTAATTGGATTCTTGTAATATTTTTATTTCACTTTTTATTACATATGAAGATGAAAAAAAAGCTTACTTTTTGAGTTTTATTGATAATAATTATGTGTTCAACAGAATTGTAAGTGTTGACCTATCACCAGAATGGCCAGAGAAGAGATGTATCCTAACAGGTGCTGCTGATGGAACAGTTAAGCAGTGGGTGATCACTAATATAGCCCAAGAATTCAAGATAAATTCAACACACAGCCATGAAGTGCATCATAATGAAAAAGAAGTAATTTAACTTAATTAATTTATTAATTTAAAGTAAATGATGATTTAAAATAACACATTGAACACTTTGCGAATCACTGGTGGGCCTAGCATACTGTACCATTTGGGCTAAGCCAAAATCAATTCAGTAAATTTTATCAACTTGAGATTTTCATTCAAAAACTTATATAATGCGATAATCTGCATGGAAGATACAAATTAGTGACTTTTACCATCTAGTTTTTAATATATCTTAAAACGTAATCTTGATAAAAACGACAAGTTTCTATTGGATTTGAAAACCGCGCCGTTCGATTCAGCCAAGGCTTACTTCTATACTCATTTTGATTGATAGCTGCAATCTGGGGCTTGTAGGAAGCGTTTACGTTGGAACCTTCACGCGGCTTACGGGTGACCCTCACGGCCCGAATGGTTCAGTAAGATAAGGCTCAGTGATGAGCACCGTGGCCTGAATGAAAATACTCGATTTTTCATATGGCATTCAACGTGTTATTTGTATCTGAATACATTACTTGACATGCATGTTGTTTGATAAATTAATTATTTGTGTAATTCTTATTGTTTTTTTAAAATAAAACGGTCATTTTCGGTTCATGGAATAACCGCTACTGAAATTAACTTGTATTTCTAAACCAGTTTTGAGTCCTGATTGTATTATTTCAAACAAGTACAACTGACATTTTATCTATTGGTCTAGAGCACCTACTACTTCAATTTGGAATAAAAATATTTTATGTGTTTTCCAGCCAGCAGTTTGTAAATTCTTTTTAAATTCCTACTAACAAACTTTAATAAGATGTAAGTCTTTTTTTTTAAATCCTGCCTATGCTGATAGCCTTGAGAGGCTATTTCAGCTTCACCCTAACGTGTGTAGGCTCAAACCGGAGTGTTGCTAACACTGTCCCTAGCAAGAGCAGTGCTTCGCAGAATCTACCTCCGGATCGGAAACGCGACCCACTGAGAAGATCCGGCGAGAAACTCAGTGGGCTGTGTCTATGGGTTAAGATGTTAGTCAGTTAAAATATGTTATAAATAATAAAATTATTATTTCAGGAAGTAACTGGTGTTGGGTATAGCAATGAACAATTTGCAATAACAGTTGGTTCTTTTGGAACTGTTGTTAAATGGGATCTGAAATCAAATGTAGTTAAAAATTACCAACACCTGTTGAAAAGTTTCAAGCCAGTATGTATGTCCTGTTCATCACATCTGCTGCTACATGTTGCTGTTGGTACTAAGCAAGGGGTTATATTTGTCTTGGATCTGAATGGTACCTGGTTATTATATTACTTGTAAATATTTTGTAATTAAAAAAATATCAATCTAGTATTTTAAATTTGCATAATTATTGACAATATAGTAAGTCATCGCAAAAGCGAATATGCCTAGTTTGTTACTAGCTTTCGGACTACTTTTGTGTTTTTAAGGCATTTGGTGTTTTGCTTTCAATATCTACAATAACTTCTTGGTACCAGATGCTTTGTCTAGTGTAATTATGGAAATAAAACTATTGGTACAACCTAAAAAAAAATCCACAGGTCAGGGAAAAACTATTTACAAAGTTCGAGGTCAAGATGATGAGATAATGACTGTAAGTTGGTGCCCACAGTATGAAGTTGTTATAAAAAAATTGTTGAAGGAATCGGATAAAAGACCCAGTGTATCTGAAAGACTACATAAGATAAGAAACGAACCAGAACCTGATGAAATTGAAGATTCAAATCCGAAGAGTAGTGAAAATTTAGAAGCGTCTGGCATGGTAAAGAGCCTTCCTGAGGATAGTTTTGATGAATCTGTCACTGTAGAAGATGATATGTTTGACATTTATAAAGATCACGAAGCTGATGAATTCGGACACAAAAAATATCAACCAGAAGAAATACGTGTAAAAATAAAACCAGATTTGAAACAAGAAGATTATTTAGCTGAATGTTTGAAATTGAAGGAACAAATTTTACGAAATAAAAATGAAACAGAAGAATCTATAGAGTCATTAGTTGAGGCCCTAGACAAAACTCACGTCAGTAATGATGAATCACATAATGATGTATTAGATGATAAAAACAAAGATGATCTAGTACAAGGCAGTGATCATGTGCATAAGCATCTTTTAGCTACAATTGGAAAATTGGGGTAAGAAACGTAAGCTCTATTGATATTACATGAAAGTGGCGGTAGCTTAGTCATGAATTCTCTTGGACACTGTCTTAAACAGTTGTTGACATGTAAAATATTAAGGAAACAGTTAACTATATAATATAATAATTAATTTTTAGTTAACTAAATAGTGACATTACGCTGACATATGTTAAATAAAATAATATTATTATAATATTTGAGTACTGTTGCAAATATTCATATATTTTCAGTGGAGTAAGAATATGGTCGAAAACCGGCAAGTTGATAGCAAGTTGTGCAGTGCCACAGAACAAGAACATGAAAATAAAATCACCCAGCTGGCCTTCATTATTATGGTATAAATCGAATATGCTACTCATCGGAGACAACAGAAGTCAGTTGCTGGAATGCAATCCATTGGTAATTGATTGGTGAGTAATTTTGTATAAATATAATGTAAAATCTTGATGTCATATGAGGTGAAGTCAGTTAATTGGATGTCACATTCCATGTATTGCAAATGTTGATACAAGATACAAGTTTCAGAACATGATTTGTAGTGCTCTCTTGTTGGGAATCAGAAACACAACTGAAACTTTATAAATAGAAGAATTTTTATTAGTAACTTGTTTCCAGCAAGAATAAATTAGACTGGAAAATAGTCCACAGTCTACATAAGCGCGGATTGTATTCTTTGACAACGAATGCTCCAAGAGTTCAAACAGAAGCTGACAAACACAAAATCTGGTCAGTGTGGTCTACGTCACAGGACAGAAATATCATAGAATATTGTGTCGAGAAACGGGAGAAAGTAGCTGTACATGCCACCTGTGGACGTTTTGTGTATTGCATACGGAGTTGTCCCTATGATGCGGGCAAGTAAGTAACTGTTAAATCTATATATTAATACGTGAAGCAAAAACTTTGTATCTCTTTTTACGAAAATTTCACAGAGTATGAAATTTTCCACACTTATAGAGAATATGGAGCAGAAGGGCACAATGCTAATGTTTTTTTTTAATAATGCATAAAAGATACATTAAATCAATAAAGAAAACATTACACACATTACCATGTATTTGACACGTCACATATACATAAATATACTCTTTGTTTATTGTCAATTGTCCAACTTTTTAGTGTTTAAAGTCTGGTCAAATTGAGAATAGATGAATATTGGTGGTCTTTATTATTATTTATGTATAGTGTAGTTTTGGCGAAATTTGTGATTATATTATACAAGTACAATAGTATTTGGCAATAGAACCACCATAATAATGGTTAGAAACAAAATTTCAATTGATTAAAGTCGAATTTCGACTTCTACGGGACCACTAGTAATATGTAAATTCACAAACTCAACAGAAGTAAAGATGTGAAGTTTTTACATCAATCCATAGAAAGTTAAACAAAACATTGTATAGAACAGTATAGCCTCAAAAGATATTTAAATGCTGGTAGGGTGTCTTACGTGCCTGCATGAGTAGGTACTATGGTGACCACTTAACATGAGGTTAATCCTGAGCTCCTATGTCCATGTACAGCAATGTTGATTTTTATTGTTCATTGTGGTAATCATTTATATACATATATGTATACAAATATATACATATATGAAGTCGTCGTAGCCTAAAGGATAAGACATCCGGTGCATTCCTGTTGAGTGATGCACCGGTGTTCGAATCTCAGGCGGGTACCAATTTTTCTAATGAAATACGTACTAAACAAATGTTCACGATTGACTTCCACCGTGAAGGAATAACATCGTGTAATAAAAATCAAACCCGCAAAATTATAATTTGCTTAATTACTGGTGGTAGGACCTCTTGTGAGTCCGCGCGGGTGGGTACCACCCTGCCTATTTCTGCTGTGAAGCAGTAATGCGTTTCGGTTTGAAGGGTGGGGCAGCCGTTGTAACTATATTGAGACCTTAGAACTTATATCTCAAGGTAGGTGGCCCAATTACGTGGTAGATGTCCATGGGCTCCAGTAACTACTTAACAACAGATGGGCTGTGAGCTCGTCCGCCCATCTAAGCATTAAAAAAATGTAGTATTGATTAGTTTAAGTATTTACCTATATTTCCTTCAGAATAGCAATAAGCGTTGGAGATGGTACAGTTCGCATCTGGGAAACGAATACACTGGATCATGATGATACTAAACTTGCTGCTGGCACCATTACTGCCTACTGGCAGAATGTTCAAGGAAGAGTTTTGACATTAGCTTGGCATCCGACAAAAGAAAATTGGCTAGCCTTCAGCACCGCCGAGTCCAGAGTATGTTTTTAAAAGTTTGTAAAAACGATACATATTTAACATGTGACGATTTAAGACGAATGCAGAAGATTCAACATTGTTAAGTAATAAGGGAACTATGTATGTAGTACATAGCACTACATACACACACATATCGACGCTTGAAAGGCAAACGTGACTAAGCGACAATAACTGCTTTGTACATAAATGATAGGCAATAACCATATTCGATGCGCAAAAAAAATATATTTCTAGGTCTATTAAAATCATTTCAATCCTACAGCTAGATTCGTCAAAATAGATTTTTTTTCAGGTATTTCAACTTTAAATTAGTCTACTGTAAAGTTCACGCATTGTCGCTTAGTCTCGTTTGCCTTTCAAGCGTCGATATACATATACAAACAAATACATAATGTAATATAATAATAATTTTGCTTCTTTACACATAAATAAGAATAAACAATTTACATATAAAACATACTTAAAATACCTATGAAACATAAATATAAAAATTTCTTTCCTAGCCGTGCTGATAGCCTTTAGAGGCTATTTCAGCTTCTCCTTAACGTGTAGATGAGCTCACGGGGCTTATACCGGGAGTGTTGCTAACACTGGCCCTAGCAAGGGCAGTGCTTCGCAGCTTTTTACTGATGGTAGGACCTCTTGTGAGTCCGCGCGGTTTGGTACCACCACCCTGCCTATTTCTGCCGTGAAGCAGTAATGTGTTTCGGTTTGAAGAATGGGGTAGCCGTTGTAACTATACTGAGATTTTAGAACTTATATATCAAGGTGGGTGGCACATTTACGTCGTAGATGTCTATGGGCTCCAGTAACCACTTAATACCAGGTGGGCTGTGAGCACGTCCACCCTTCTAAGTAATAAATAAAAATTAAAAAAGAATCTACCACCGGATCGGAAACGCGACCCACTGAAAAGATCCGGCGAGAAATTCAGTGGGGTACATACAATACAATGAGTGGTGTTCGTCGAATTATTTATATATTAATACGTGAAGCAAAAACTTTGTACCCCTTTTTACGAAAATTGCCCGGATGGAGGAGTATGAAATTTCCCACACTTATAGAGAATATAGAGAAGAAGTGCAGAACGCTATTTTTTTTAAATTATGCATAAAAAACACATTAAATCAATAAAAAAAAGCATTACACACACTACCATGTATTTGACACAACACATACATAACAATATACTCTTTAACTGTCAATTGGGAAACTTTTGTTATTGTTTGTCTGTGGTCGAATTGAGTATAGATTCATATTGTTTGTCTTTAATATTATTGATCTATAGTGCAGTTTTGTCTGTGGTCGAATTGAGAATAGATTCATATTGTTGTTGTTGTTTTGACGAATACTGTGATTTTATTAGTGTTCGACAAAAGAACCATAATAATGTTTAAACTTATAATTTCAATTAATTATAGTCGAGTTTTGACTAGTGCGGGGCCACTAGTTGCATTAAAGTGTTAACGCCTGTCAGGTGGGGATCCTGGATACGAGCGGTCGCGGCGCCCGCGCGCTGGTGCCGGGGCTGGCGGGCGGCGTGTACTCGCTGTGCTGGGGGCTGCGCTCGCACCTGTACGCCTGCGCCTCCGGACAACTCGTCGTGTACGACGCCGCCAGACCGGACCAACGTACGACCGACTTATCACTATAATTCAATATTCAACTACAACTCGACCAAGCTAAGTTTGCACCTCGCAATTGATTACGTAATCGATTACGTCACACTGCCGCTTAGGTACGGTCTGAAAAAAGGATTCGCTATGACTTTAAAAATGCCATCAAATGTTTGTTAGATTTTACTTTGTAGGTTGTTTTACATAGGTATATTAGAATATAGCGATATCAGGTTTTTGTATTAAGACCATACGGGCGGGCGTTCTTGCACTTTTTAAATTTGTACCCCAATTGCTCAGTAATAATTTTCCTTTATGTTTCTTTTTCATTATTATGTTTCTCCCTTCACTGTGTATCACCTTTCCTTTCATTTTTTTTGCCCACAACAATCCTCTCGAAGAAAAAAAAAATTAACGTTAAGCGTTCAGTAACAACAGTTCAACAAAAACTTAACAACAATAGTCCGATAATATAAATAAAATTCAACAAAAAGCCTAACAAGAACAGTTAAAAAAATTAAAATTCAACTGATAGGGAGATGAAAACTCGTATGACGCGTGTCGGCGACAAAGATGCTAACCGTACTGAAGCGAAGGGCGATTGCGGGAAGNAAAAAAAAATTAACGTTAAGCGTTCAGTAACAACAGTTCAACAAAAACTTAACAACAATAGTCCGATAATATAAATAAAATTCAACAAAAAGCCTAACAAGAACAGTTAAAAAAATTAAAATTCAACTGATAGGGAGATGAAAACTCGTATGACGCGTGTCGGCGACAAAGATGCTAACCGTACTGAAGCGAAGGGCGATTGCGGGAAGGTGAGCGGGGAAGCGGGCGGGGCGCCGCATTCCAACGAATCGCAAACTTAGCTTGGTCGAGTTGTAACTCACTGATGAGAGCGATTATTATAGTTAAAATTTCCATTTCACTTTCATCAAAGTCCTCCTCCTCCCCGTTGAAAATAACCATATTATTTACAATGTTGTTATTTTTATGGAATTTGTTTGAAACATGTAGTGTTCACAATTGATTACGCAAAATTTTACAAAAAATAAGGTCTTTATTGCGAGGATAGGTCTCGGACCCTCTAATATAGAGTTGTTACTGGAGTCCATAGACATCACAACGTGAATGCCGCCATCCGCCTGGAGCCATGAGTTCTAAATCAGACTTCTATAGTACAACACTTGCCTCAACCCCTAAGCCGGAATGCATTACTGCATCGCGACAGCAATAGCCAAGGTGGTGATATCTAACTAAAAATAGTTCATTAAAAAACAATACAGTATTAATAAAATCTAAGCTTCTACATCAGCTTTTGCTAAAGTGGGCGATAAGGCCCCCTTGTGGGCACTGCATGCCTAAATGGGGCAGTGAGAGACCCAGAAAAAAAAAAGGGGGCGTTGTATAGAAGCTTGGGAGGCGATTTGTTATTTCATCTATGAGGACTCTTAGACACCAACTGAACTCTCGCTATAGTGGTTTTTAAGTAGATGAAAAAATTAAGGTGCTAAAAAATAATTTATTTTCAAAGGGGGCAGTAGACAAGATAAGCTTGGGAACCCCTATTCTACATAAATCCTATACAAAATTTGAGCATTTGAAGTCCATAAAACAATCTAAACACAACTGTCAGCTTCTTCATGTGAATCAATTTACAGCCCCAGTACCAGTAGGAGTGGAGTTTGAAGGGCAAAAGTGGGAAATTAGTTCAATTAGCTGGAGTAGTCGCGGCTTCCTGGTGGGCAGTAACTCTGGTGGCGTTGCAGTACTCACTCACGAACTACCTCATACAGTCACGGCTGCTGTGTTTGCATTTAGGTATGTTCACATTCAGTGGTGGATTTACACTAGGGGCAGTCAGGGCAAAAGCCCAGGGCGGCAAATTTTTTAGGGCGGAAAATTTTTGAAAGTAACAATTTTTTTTTGTCTTATCAAGATTGCTCAATATAATTAATTAATTCTAATAATTAATAATATTCTTTTTAATTGACAATTCAAGAAATTCTATTCATCCATTATATGTGAATAATAAATTTGGCACTTTTGGTAAAAAATAATAATCAAAATGATTTAATCAATTTATTTCCTTGGAGATTTAAAATAATAATCGATTTTTCTATTTTCTGTGATTAAAGAAATTTAATTCGTTTTTTTTTTATGTAATATAATTATGAGTCACCCTTAGTCAAAATATATAATTTTTAGAGAAAAAAAACAAATGTTTGTTTATGTTTTTGGAATATATGACATATTATAAAGTTTCCATAATAAATTAGTTATTTTAATTTTGAAAAATAAAATATATAAAAATAAATAGCTTAGGTAAAATTCCAGTATTGGGGCGGATTTCTTTCCAGTGCACAGGAGCGGCATTAAGTTTAAATCCGGCCCTATTCACATTACCTTTTAACTAACAGTTAATGATTTATCTAGTTTGCAAGTAGTATACAAATGAATGAATGTATGAAATGAAAGATTGAATGACAGGGTTATAAATAAATAATAAATGTTTTGTATCTTTCAGTAAAATGATTCATTCAATAGATTGGCATCCTCAACAAACTTCTAATTCAAATGAAGAATCTCCTTTAAAAGATATGATTGCGGTTTGTTCATTGGACAATCAAAACACAATTATAATACTCGAGTATAGTGATAAAGGTATGTATTTGAATCTATCTTAAGATGTTTACTTACCATGAGCATTTATTTGGGAAATTCGTAGCCGAGTGAGATTACTTCCATAAATTGTTACAATTTCAGCATTATTTTAGTTCCAATATTTTCATTTTATTCCTATAGTATAGATAATAAATATTTTCATATTCATTCACTCAGATACAGATACAGAGCATTTTATTCATAAAGGATTTGTCTTTCCTATTTCTACAGTAAAATACTTATTTTTGATCTTCGATCATGTGTCAAGCTAGATTGCTATGGGATTGTTGTTACATCAATTGAAACGAAAACAACCAATAAAAACAGTATTTTCATTGCAGACTATTGCATGTGGGATGATGGAATGCCATCACCTCACATGTATAGTATACTATATAGAGAACTTACCTGTCATCCCACATGCACCTTGTATTGAGAACTTAAATTATATTACTTTCATCATTCACCCTTAGTTTGTACTGTGTAGTAATAGTAGCGTAGTTAGCAATAGTATTCTCACGAATTTCAATCTTCCTTATCTGTTGTCTAAGATTCTCAAAGAGGTTGACTTCAGACTATCGCATAATTAAACTAATTTTAATTTCAAAATATTGTAACTGGACTTAGTCTATTGGTAGGCAGCGGCTTGGCTCTGCCCCTGGCATTGCTGAAGTCCATGGTCGACGGTAATCACTCACCATCAGGTAGGCCGTATGCTCGTTTGCCATGCCAAGTCTGGAAGGGCAATAAAAAAAATTGTGTAAAAAGAATTGAATAATATTGTTACGCGCTGTGGTTTGGGATAAATAAAAATTCTACCGAAGTACATATCAAACCTCTATTTAACACTTTAATGAACATTCTAAAATTCTCAATTCCTTCTTTCCGCTTCGCTGCAGGTGATCCGTTCGCGGCTTCGCTTGGAGCAGTTCTTCCGATTACTAACTAACTGCGTGCTATCTCTGTAACCCTTTTATAGCCGATACGACATCCTAGAATTATCGAGAACATTCCTGACAAGTCGAGTAGTTTCGACATGCGTTTCCCCTATTTGACAATAGATGGCGTTGTACTTCTCGAGCATTCTCGATTTTACTAGTTCTTTTCCCGTCATCGTTCTCGTCGAACACGTCGCTTGCCACGAAGGGCTCGACGAGTAAATTAACCCTCAGACACAGCCCACTGAGTTTCTCGCCAGATTTTCTCAGTGGGTCGCGTTTCCGATCCGGTGGTAGATTCTGCGAAGCAGTGGAGGGTTCGTGTTAGCAACGTCGTCAGGTTTGAGCCCCGTGAGCTCACCTACTAGTTAAGGTTACGCTGATATAGCCTCTCAGCTTAGGTAGGAAAAAGTAATAATCTTTTAATGCTCGTTTCTACTATTCGACGACAGGTGGCGTTGCTCTTTAACGGCATAACAATATCTATAAAATATTTGCTAGGCGATCACGGACAGCTGACAACATGGAAAACGTTACGAGGCCACAAGGGAACCGTGTTCGAAGCGTCTTGGAACCCGCATCATGACGATCTGCTGCTGTCCACGTCTTCCGACGCCACAGTGCGGGTGAGCTATGTTGTTGTTTAATAACTTGAGCTCATAACTTCAGTGTTTTGATTCGTTTTTTATCGCATACATTATCGAATTCACGGGTCACGAATATTTGAAGTTGTCGTGGCTTAAAATATAAGATGCCTCGTATACTCGTATCGAGCGATGCGCCTATTCTGCGATGTTCAAATCCTACAGGCAGGTATAATTTTTTTAAATAAATATGTACTTTACACATGTTCCACAATAAAGGAAGAATCTTAATCATTAATAATAATAGTTCTAAGGCTATGTTTGTTACAGCTCTGCTATTTATTTTCACTTTACATTATTGTTACTCTACAGCTTTGTTGTTATATTTAATGCAATGGATTTAGAATATTTTTTTTTTTTTATACAATGATGCTCGTCTTCAATTTTTTTTTGTAAAACTTAAGTTAGTTATGATTTTGGATACGTTGTCAATAATACCATAGATTAATAGTATTATATTACGCATTGGGGTTCAGGATAAATAAAATTCCACAAAAGTAAAAACTGTATTCAACACACTTATATATAGAACTTATGTATAGAACACTTAAAACACTCAACAAACTGACTGCGTGCCATCTTTGCAACGCTTTTATAGCCGATACCACATCCCTAGAATTATCGAGAATATTCTACACATTTCGAGTAGTGTGTTTCCGCTATTAGATGGCGTTGTACTTCTCGAGCGTTCTAGGTGCTTTCGATATTCGTTCGACTATTCGACGATAGATGGCGTTACTCTTAGCGGCGTAACAATATGATTGTATTCCTGAGTGTGGGTGCTATAGCGTGTGGTTCGTCGCAGGTGTGGGCGGCGTCTAGTGGCGCCTGCGTGTCTGTGTTCGACGGGCACATGGCGCAGAGCGCGCTGGGCGCGGCGTGGAGCGCCTACCCGCAGCTCGCCACCAAGGCGCTGTCCGGGGGAGGAGACCACACGCTGAGGCTGTGGGACATGAACGACTTNAATATGATTGTATTCCTGAGTGTGGGTGCTATAGCGTGTGGTTCGTCGCAGGTGTGGGCGGCGTCTAGTGGCGCCTGCGTGTCTGTGTTCGACGGGCACATGGCGCAGAGCGCGCTGGGCGCGGCGTGGAGCGCCTACCCGCAGCTCGCCACCAAGGCGCTGTCCGGGGGAGGAGACCACACGCTGAGGCTGTGGGACATGAACGACTTCCCCGCCGAAGCATACGACGGTCAGTTCATCACGAATCAATATTAGATACACAGTAGATTGAGTGGAATAGAGACTTAGAGTTAGAATAGGGATAAATCTGGGATGTCACTATACTTTTGTTGAGTTGTTAGAGATTTAACATTGTTGAACTGAAAATGACTTTTATTACAATCTGGGATGTCACAATACTTTTGTTGAGTCGTTAGAGATTTAACTTTGTTAAACTGAAAATGACTTTAATTTAGTGTTTAAGAATATTAAATAGTTTAATTTAGTCAAGTTTTGTAACTCATTAAGGATATTAAAAAGTTAATTATCTAAAGCTAGGTACTCACCTAACAGTACCTAGGTACGTAGTGCCAGCCCTATCGAAAAACTCTATTGTCCCCGTACGTAACCCGATTCACCCCAAAGGCAAGGTGAATCGGGTCAAGCTAGTTTATTCAGTTTTTGTGTATATTTTGTAATTAACTATGTATAGTAACGCATCGATACTCTATACTAATATATAAATCTACAGTGGTTTTTACGGATGTTCCGTTATAACTACTGAACCTTGCATCCGATTGACTTGAAACTTGGTATCCATGTAGAAAATACATGTACTTAATGGCTAATATTTATATGAGCGTTGGACTCCCTCATAATAATGACAATAAATAATTATGTTAATTTTAAATGCGCAGCGAAGAGGGCGAGTATGGCTGGTCTAGTGTTATATAAAAATTTAAACCTCCGGCACCATTTTAATCTCAATTTTATTGGTATTACCCTAAGAAAAACGATTGAAAATTTGTGTTGAATTTGGAAAGAGTCCCGATTCTGCCTAATCTGCGGTAATTAAAGTTCTTAAAGCTCTGATATTAACGTGAAAATATTTTTTTAGAAAACAAATACGAACCTTTAAAGAAAGATAAAAATAAGAAAGAGAAAAAGGAAGTAAAAAAAGAAGATGAGACCGGCGGTAGTGAAGTGGCAACCCTGAATCTGGCAGCGCAAGAGAAAACGAAGTCGGCGAAAAGGTTTTTACTCCCGATATTGTGCAAACAAGCTTTGGGCTGTACGGACGGCTTAATAAGGAGAATGTTTGAAAAGTATGGACTGAAATCATCCACGAGTCCGTTCACTATCGAGAGAGTCCAGGCTAGTTCAGGCGAGAATATACAATGCGACGGAGTAGACAATGGTCTTAATAGCGAAATAATAGAAGAAAACAAGGGTAAAGACTACGGTGCCGATTTCATTAAAATATTCGGAACTATTCAGGAAGTTAACGAGGTCTTAGATAAGGAACGTAAGTGTAATTTAGTTAATTTATCGTGTTTTAATGATACCTTCATCTATCGGAAATATTATATTCTGTTTTTTTTAATTTTTTTATTGCATAGATAGGTGGACGAGCTCACAGCCCACCTGGTGTTAAGTGGTTGTCGGGGCCCATAGATCCACAACGTCAATGCTGTCACCTACCTTGAGATATGAGTTCTAAGGTCTCAGTATAGTTACAACGGCTGCCCCACCCTTCAAACCGAAACACATTACTACTGCTGCACGGCAGAAATAGGCAGGGTGGTGGTACTTATGTGTGCGGACTCACAAGAGGTCCTACCACCAGTAAAAGAATTCAATAATAAGGCTATAACTTTAAGGCACTGATGATAATGTAATAAATCTGTATTGATTTTAGAAACGCGTCATTTAGAATTGTCCAATATTGAATCATGGATGATGCTGTCGATATTCCGGGGGCACATCGACGCCACCATACAATACGCAAGCCAAAACGATTTGCTCTGTCCTTATCTACTTAGTCTGACGCCTTGCGTCTCGCTCAAGTAAGTATGGCGTAGTCAAGTTTTATTGAATACTCGCTCGAAAACTAGCCGGGGAAAGGTCAAGGTGGAATTTGAACTTTTATTGATATCATATCTCTTTGAGCTCGTTAAAGTACGGGGAGTTTTGTGTGGAAGTCGAGCAGCGCCATCTATACACGCGAGCAAAAGTTTGGAATCACTTACTTGAAATTGGTTCCGCGCGATCTTGCTTACTGAATAAATTTTTAATTATTATAAAAATCACATAATTTTAAAGGTTCAACTGTCAACTTTAAATTGATACCAAATTCATTCAAATCGAGCCAGTAGTTAAGGAGCTATTCCGGATTAAGTGAAGGAGGTAGGAAAACAAGGAAATATGGAAAAATAATGAATGAATAAAACAAAAATTAATAAATAAAAATTTTATTTAGCCTTATAATTAAATGTCAGTACTTTGTGTTCCCTTCCCTTGCCCTAATAGCTCTTCGAAGACTATTCTTCATAGACCTGATCAGCTTTTGAATTGATTCTTGTGGGATACCTTCCCACTTCTCAATCAACGCCGATTTCAGCTGATTCAGGCATGAAGGAACAGAAGTTCTGGAACGAACCCTTCTCTTCAGTTCATCCCACATGTGCTCAATAGGATTCAAGTCAGGGTTGAGCACAGGCCAGTCCAATGTGGCGATATCGACTTCTTCGAGGTGTTCAGTTGTTACACGGGCAGTGTGGCAACAAGTGTAACAGCCTGGCCACGGGACATTCGCCGATACGAATATTCGCGCGGTGCGAACGGCGAAGCGTCTAGCGACTAAAATAAGCGCATAGAAATGTACCTAACAAGCCACGCGCACCGGCGACCGGCGAAGCGACCGGCGAAATGTACCGAGCGAATCGCGCGATGCGGCGGGCGAGCAAAACAAATGCATGAATACGGACGGCGCGAGCCACGGAGTCGAGCGGTAGTCGCGGCGAATAGTGCAGTGATTAAATGAGTTTAGTTGTTTTCGCCGCGAAAAATTAACGCCGAAATTTTTATATTTTTTATTTATTTTTTATTTTATATTTTTAAAGTCGTCGTGGCCTAACGGACGTCCGGTGCAATCGTGTTGAGCGATGCACCGGTGTTCGAATATCAGGCGGGTACCAATTTTTGTAATGAAATACGTACTCAACAACACTCAACGTTCACGATTGATTTCCACGGTGAAGGAATAACATCGTGTGATAAAAATGAAATCTTCAAAATAATAATTTGCGTAATTACTGGTGGTAGGACCTCTTGTGAGTCTACACGGGTGGGTACTACCACCCTGCCTATTTCTGCCGTGAAGTAGTAATGCGTTTCGGTTTGAAGGGTGAGGCAGCCATTATAACTATACTTGAGACCTTAGAACTTATATCTCAAGGTGGGTGGCGCATTTACGTTGTGGATGTCTATGGGCTCCAGTAACCACTTAACACAAGGTGGGCTGTGAGCTCGTCCACCCATCTAAGCAATAAAAAAATAAAATAGCTGAAATACTAGCTAGACCAGCTATTTGGAAGTCTAGCCACCCAAAGTATTTCTCGTACTTCTTGTGGAATTCTCCATCTATAGGTATACTCCGATTCTTATTCAAATCATGTACTTCACAATCTTTTCCAAATAATAGGTCCTGAACCAAAAAACTATTAATTTGTAAGCAATATCGAGATAATTTCGATATAGATATTTCGCTGTCGGACTTCCTTACTAGTCGCGGCGGCGAACGTGAGTACCCGTGGCCTGCAAACGGTGGTGCGCGAATGGTCGCCTCGTCCACCGCTTCGCTGTTCGCACCGCCGATCCCCGTGGCCAGGCCGTTATCGTGCATAAGGCGGAAGTCATCACCGGTAGGTATATCCCGCATAGGGAACGACATGTTCCAGCAGAATATTGGAAATGTACCAGTCCGAAATTAGACCGCCTCCTCGTTCCCCGCCAGGCACGAAAACAAGCTCGGTTTTACCGTCGAAGGAAATGCCGGCCCACATCATACAAGAGCCGTCCTGTTTCAGCGAAACAGCAATGCGCAAATTGCTCCTCAGGCCGCCTGTAGACCCAACCTCTTCGGTCGCTACCGCGCAAACACATCCTGCTCTCGTCGGAGAACAGGATTTGCCTCCATTGCTCAACCTCTCAATTAAGATGGGTACGAGCAAATTGAAGGCGTGCTTGCCGGTGAGCTACCGTGAGTTTCGGGCCTGTGACAGGCCTTTTTGGAGTCAGATTCGCTTGCTTGAGTCGTTGACGAACTGTCCACTTGCTGGCTACTACCCTACGAACATCTCGGAGCTCCTGTTGGACGTCGACACCAGGTTAATGCCGATTTCGGAGAGAGGTTGACACGATAAAACGGCCATTCCTCTCCGATGTACACCGGCGCCGTCCAGATCTTGGTCTCGGGATAAAGTTTGCAGTCTCCTGAAAGCGCTTGCAAACTTTTGAAACAGAGGACTGGCTTATTTGGAGCCGACGAGCGACAACCCGCTGGCTGAGCTCTTCTTGCAATAGGGCTACGATTTGTGCTACTTCTGTAGGTGTTGTCTCAATTTTCGTACAAGGTAAAGGGTCGAAAGTAGCGGAGATATGTACCGGTCAACGTGTGAAAGTCTACTGATAAAGAAAATCCAATAACAGGTGCTTTTATAGGGGTCAATAGACCGCAACTCGCGACGTATCAGACAATAAGAAACAGGTCTTTTTCGTTATTCCTTCACTTAATCCAAGATAGATTCTTAAATACTGGCTTGATTTTAATGAATTTGGTATCAGTTTAAAGTTAAGAGTTCAACCTTTAAAATGATCTCATTTTTATGATTATCAAAAAAATATTTAGTACACAAGATCGCGCGGAACCAATTTCAAGTAAGTGATTCCAAACTTTTGCTCGCGAGTGTAGTATCGGACGGGAGAAAACAGCTTCGACTGACTATCTTCTTTTTGAAGTTATACTTCTTTAGGCGCGTTATGAAAAATTGATGAGAATAAAATTTTACGATGCGCGCTCACCCTGACACAAAATTAACAGAATTAAATTGCCCATTACATCGCTCATTACAATACGACCGACGTAACTTGGCGAGTCTGAATATAGCCGCAGGTGAACTTTCCGAACCGTACCGAGAATTACCGAATTTATACGACGTCAAGAAAAGGGATGTCCAATATGCGTGTTTGAGGATGTTGTTCAATCGATTTTTTTTCAAATTGATTAAAATAAAAAAAAAGCATTAAATTTATTAAAAATAAAGTATAACTTCTTACGCGCGTACATAAGTACACGCACCCTTTTTTATCACTATTGGCGTAAACTACATATTAAATGTGTTACAAGTACCTATTGTATGCGCGCGAGTTCATGTCCATCGGGACCAGAGGCGACGCGCGGGGGACAGCTCGCCCCACCTTCGCCCGCCTCCCCGCATTTGTCTGACGTCGAGTGTTGTCCTTGACGGTTGTGACGCGCGCTTATCGATATCGAAAATTTACACTAACGCTATTGTGTTATTTAACCATGACTACTCCGCTTCCAACAAGTTCAGATAGACAAAAACCTACGCAAAAAAGATACATACTGATTCCGACTTTGATCTGTCGGTTGTCTTTTCATTTGATAGTGATTGAATTGGAATTTAAAAAGTATTTTTCTCTATTAGAAATAAACAAGTAATTAATTGCTTATCACATTTATTTTATTTCATAAATTGCAAAATTACCTTAAAAGTTACATTAAATCAAATTGACAGCTGTTGACTAAATCGGTAGTTATTATCGACATTACCATAATTAACTAGGTCACAGCACTACTTCCTCAGGATGAACATGAACTCGCGCGCCTACAGTATGTGTGTAAAAAATACTAAAAAAATAACTTTGTATGTATTTTATTTCGTAGGTACTGGAAGGATGCCACACAATTATATTTAGCACAAATAGATCGACTGGTAGCGAAGACTGAAGGCCATAAACTATATGGTATGTCTCACAGTGAATTGTTATCTGTTTTAAGAAGAAAAAAAAACTAGAAAATAAAAGGATTTAATTTACGCTGTGGTAAATAGTCAGACGAGCTAAAATACGCATCTGTTAAGTGTTTGTCGGAACCGATGGGCGCCATCTTGAAAAATAGTATCGAAGTCGAAGATTAGGAATATAACTAAAAATAGGATTTTTGATCTGGCTATTGCGCTATGAGGTATCAATTCGTTTTCGGAGTCCTCTGCTTAAAGTAGCTTGGAAATCCCAACCGCATATGCAGGATTATTCGGTTTTATGACCCAACAAATAAATTTTCAAAAAAGTGGACAAAATATCGTTTTTTTTTATTTATTGCTTAGATGGGTGGACGAGCTCACAGCCCACCTGGTGTTAAGTGGTTACTGGAGCCCATAGACATTTACGACGTCAATGCGTCACCGACCTTGAGATATAAATTCTAAGGTCTCAAATATAGTCAAATCTGTCTATAGTTAATAGTATCTAAATAATTTAATCTATTAGTTTTATTGATACAGTGAGTTTGTTGCAGAAAATAAGTACTACGGCGGGCCGGTGTACCGCAAGGCGCTCACGCGGCTGAGCACGCACGACGTGCGGGGCGCCGTCGCGACACTCGCGGAAAACAAACTATACAAAGAAGCATACGTCCTTTGTCGTGTCAGGTATTCGTAGTCATTGCTCGCTCGCTACAGCAACGTAATACGTTTATGAAGTTGTACTTCTTTAGGCGCGTTATGAAAAATTGATGAGAGTGAAATCTTACGATGCGCGCGCACCGTGACACAAATTTAACAGAAATGAAATTGGCCACTAAATCGCTCATTACAATACGACCGACGTAATTTGGCGAGTCTGAATATAGCCGCAGGTGAACTTTCGCGCATGTACACTCGTAAAAAAAAGTGTTATTAGCATTCATTTTTTAACGTTAAATATTTATTATTAATTATTTAATATTTAAAAAAAAGAAATAAATTTAATAAAAATAGTCTTTTTTTTATTATTTTTTTTATTGCTTAGATGGGTGGACGAGCTCACAGCCCAACCTGGTGTTAAGTGGTTACTGGAGCCCATAGACATCCACAACGTAAATGCACCACCCACCTTGAGATATAAGTTCTAAGGTCTCAAATATAGTTACAACGGCTGCCCCACCCTTCACACCGAAACGCATTACTGCTTTTCGGCAGAAATAGGCAGGGTGGTGGTACCTACCCGCGCGGACTCTCAAGAGGTCCTACCACCAGTAATGACACAAATTATAATTTTGCGGGTTTCATTTTTATTACACGATGTTATTCCTTCACCGTGGAAGTCAATCGTGAACATTTGTTGAATACGTATTTAATTAGAAAAATTGGTACCCGCCTGAGATTCGAACACCGGTGCATTGCTCAACACGAATGCACCGGACGTCTTATCCGTTAGGCCAGGACGACTTCAAAACTTCTTACGCGCGTACATAAGTACACGCACCCTTTTTAAATATTATTAATTTTGTTATCATTCTGTTAATTTTGTGTCACGGTGAGCGCGCATCGTAAAATTTCACTTTCATCAATTTTTTATAACGCGCCTAAAGAAGTATAACTTTAATAAATTAAATTAATTATTATTATGGTTAACATAGTCTTTACTATAATAATTTTTTTTTTGCTTCGATTCGAATAGAACTTTCAATTTCTCAGAACATTTCCGATAGTTCTTGTTGTTTTGATATCCATTTTGATTTTTGATGGCAGACGGCGTTACTTCTCAATTATGATCAATTATTATTATTTTAGGTACATGGACAGCATTGCAACACAAATTCTACACCAATGGGCAAATTACTCCAACCTTTGCGGAAATTTTGAAATAGCCACAGTTTGGTAAGTGTAAAACTACATGAGTTTCAGTATTTCTATTGGCCTGGCACATAAATGAGTTCACGACACACCTGATCTTAAGTTAATGCCGTGTGTCTTGCATATTGGTGATACCATATGTTATGCCATTAGCTTTTATGCAGTGCACACAATTGTATAGTTTTAACGATAATGATACACACCGAAATTGTGAAATTAATACATTTAATGTGTTGTTAATGAAACAAAAAACCAAGTTCTTGCTCTGCAAAGCGTTATTTTTTATTATTATTTTATTAACTTATTTCTACACTTACAATTGTTATAATTAATTATTTTCGACCAGCAAAGAGAAACAACATTGAAAGCTATTGCTTCAATATTTAGATCTTTTTTTTAAATCTGCATGTTTTTTTTTCTAAGAAAACACGTTATCTTTTTGAATTTTCGAGGCCAGAGAGAAATTCCAATTATAGAATGAACATCTCTTCCACCATAGATAATACTATTATAATATTCGAAGCTAATGCGCGGGAAATTTAAATATAATGAAGGGCCAAAAGAGCTTCTTACATATATACATATAATAATTATAGTTTTTTTTTTACAGTTTTATTGCTTTAGGAGATTTATCCGAAGCAGCCACGGTGCTCGCGAAGTCAAAGAAACAAGAAAACTTGTGTTTAGCAGCGGAAATAGCTAAGGCAGCCGGTCGGGCCACTCTAGCTGATCACATCGAGAAAAAATCACAAAACACAATCCCGTCAACTTCAGATGAAACCGAAGAAATTTTGAAAGAGCTCCCCACTAAAATGGAATTGCTTTTAAAGCAAAACAATAATTCAGAAGATAAGGCAGTGAATTCGGAACATGAAGAGCCGGTTGGAAACTTAGTCGAGTAAAAATACAGGGATCGACGACTGTTGTGATTGATATTTGTTAATGTTGTATTGTGGAAGGATTTAAAAAATCCACACTTTTCGTTTTATGAGTTTTGTGAAGTATTTTTAACTGTGTACAACGTGCACAATAGGCTTAAGCGATCAATAATATCTTGTGCACGATCTCGATTACAACTAAAATATTGTTGAGGCTTGAAATGATGAAAATATTCGGGTTATGCGTGTTACAGTCAAACTTTTTGTTTTTAGTGCGTGAAACTGAATGCATGTGGTTTTTTTTTTTCGAAATAAGATTGTAAAGTTATGTTGTATGTTAAGAGTACAGTTTTTTGTCATCCATAAATAAAATAATAAAATACTATATTAAGACTTTAACCTAATATCTCAAGGTAGCTGGTGGCATTTGCATTCTACTGTTTGTGGGCTTGTTGAGACTCACGTCAGTGCGTTCTTGCATCAAATCTGCGTTAGGTAAATTAATATTAGTCCTGTAACTTTATAATTCGCGCAGTTGATTGTTAATCTCAATAAAGCTTTAATATAACTATGCGTACTGTGAATCCTTTTAGGTTTAAAGTCATCCATCACTCTCCATGTATTGGCATTTGTTACATTATATTTATGGTGATATTACAAATAAACAAAATTAACTTAATTTTACTTTTATTCTGAGTGATTAAAAAATAAAATAACCTAATCCCTAGTAGGACGCTTATTAAACCTGCATAAGTTGCCTGTTACTATCGCGAAGCAATCAACTTTGTTTCAGTTTGAAGGGTAGGAAGGACAGCAGATGTGTGAGTGAATGATAAAGATACTCTTAAGATAAGTAACAGTATTGACATGTTTCGCCGCCATGGTCATCAGATGGGATGTCTTCATCTTCATCTTTGAAGTCGTCGTGGCCTAAAGGATAAGACATCCGGTGCATTCGTATCTAGCGATGTAACGGTGTTCGAATCCCGCAGGCGGGTACCAATTTTTCTAATGAAATACATACTTAACAATTGTTCACGATTGACTTCCACGGTGAAGGAATAACATCGTGTAATAAAAATCAAACCCGCAAAATTATAATTTACGTAATTACTGGTGGTAGGAGCTCTTGTGAGTCCGCGCGGGTAGGTACCACCACCCTTCCTATTTCTGCCGTGAAGCAGTAATGCGTTTCGGTTTGAAGGGTGGGGCAGCCGTTGTAAATATACTGAGACCTTAGAACTTATATCTCAAGGTGTGTGGCGCATTTACGTTGTAGATGTCTATTGGTTCCAGTAACCACTTAGCACTAGGTGGGCTGTGAGCTCGTCCACACATCACGGCAATAAAAAAAAAATCTAAGCTGATTATAAAATTTGCTATTTTTATAACTAACTTATGTTAAGTTTCATAGAATAAAATCTTTATTCCTGCACATTTTCTTATTACACTGATCGGGATTCTATAAACGATTTAAAATAATACAAATAGTATTCAAATCAACCATGTTTAATTACAAATATAGGCACCACAAGAAAATAGTAATTAGAATCACATAATAATAGTTACAACACTTATTATTCAATTAAATTATTGCCATTACAATAATATAATTGTTCTTTTATTCGCTCGTTCGGTTGAATCTGTATTCATATAACAAAATATAACTATAATTAGGAAATTTTAAGTACTAATAATACTTTATATTGTACATTCTAGTTTTTCAATGAAAATGGCACAAATATCTGGTCCATGTGTGTACAAAACGTTTCTGTAAATAAATGCGCAAGGAATGTATGAAAATGTAAGATGTTTCAGACTATTTGCTTGAAAGAATTGCCATAAAATATATATTTTTATAGTCAGTTAAAAACGGCCTGGACTGGCCATTTATGAGACACAACAAACACAAAAATTAAATTATTATAATCAAAATCTAAATAAAATTTACATTTAAAACTAAATCACTCTTCAGATTAATTTCTCTAATTGTTATTGAGTATTAGTCAATATTTAGTAAAGGCTTTAAATTAGTTTGTCGTTAAACTTCTCAAAAGTTTAAATAGATTCAAACATCGGACGGATCCTCATTCTCTCTGTTGGCGCCTGTCTTGCCTCGTTTCTTGCATATCGTAATCAGTTTGGCATTCATCTTCTTTAGTTTTTGATTTTCCTTCATCACGTCAGTTATTTGTTGATTCTAAGAACAATTTAACTCAAATTTAACTTAAATCATTGAAGCCAATACTAAAAAGTTATATCAAATATATTACTGTAGTTTTAGCACAGTTTGTGCTTTACAAGTAAATCTAAATGTATAAGTTTTTTGTACCTGCACTATCGCACTGCCAGTGGCCACATACATAGTGGAATTCGATACAGGCGTATTACTCAAAGATTCTATTTGCTTCTCCAAGGCGACCTTCTGGTTGCTTAACTTGTCCACAATCTATAAATAATAAAACATTTACTTTTTGACTACTTATTTTGTTCTATAATAATAACCCTTAGAGCGCGAATCGTTAATAGACTCTCTATTAATGCGTAATGCATAAAGTACAGAGCGTCGAAATACCGACTATTGCGCAGTTTTTTTAGGGGTAGGTATCGGGACGGACGGGACTGTAGGGACGTGTCTTAGCGCGCGCATGTACAAGGATTTAATAAGTTAATAACATTTATAAATAACATTTTAAAACAATTTAGTATTGTTTTATTTGGTTAAAGTTTTTTTATTAGGTAATTTATTTGAAAAATCCTTTAGCAATTTCTGCAAAATATGTGAAAATAAGCCCAGCACTAAAATGGTTAACTAAGAACTTGATTCCGAAATTTTTAAGAGATGAATAATTAATATTTATTCTATTAAATGTATAGCTGTTGTTAATTTCATATCGTTATATTTATGCACATTGACGTGTATATTAGCAGTTTTGCAATTAGCGAGTCGTCCTCATGTCTCAAGACGAGCGATGTCATTCGTGTTATGATGTTTGTGCTCCGGAAATTATTTGGCAGCATGAACCTCTATCACTACATAGTATAAATAATAAAACAAAGTCGCTTTCTCTGTCCCTATATCCCTATGTATGCTTAAATCTTTAAAACTACGCAACGGATTTTGATGCGGTTTTTTTAATAGATAGAGTGATTGAAGAGGAAGGTTTATAATTATGTATAATAACATCCATTAAATAGTGGAGAAATCAATAATAAATTACAGTTTCCGAAGCGAAGCGAGGGCGGGTCGCTAGTATAGTCATCATCATCATTCTTTCCTATTACCCTCTGCTGGGGTGTAGGTAGTATAGTATGTAAAAAAAATTTAAAAGTGAGGTTTACCTTCTGAAGTCGTTGCATTTCACGGACATGAGATTCGTCGGTTGCGTTACCGGAGCCGCGGTCGCGTTCAACTTGATTATTCAGAAAATCTGTAATTGTCATGAAAGAAAAATCGAGATTAGTAATTTCATATTTAATCCTGAAATATTCAAAACGTGTCGTTTGCAAATTGCATTTAAAACTCACTAGTTTTCATTTTTGCACAAATTCCTTCTTGATATAAATTCAAAACTTAAATACGACAATGAGATTTTTTTATTATATCTCAGCATGATGCGAAATTTGCTTTCACAATCCTACATAATCAGTTTTTTTTATTTTTTATTTTTTTTTTCTTAGGTGGGTGACGAGCTCACAGCCCACCTGGTGTTAAGTGGTTACTGGAGCCCATAGACCAACGTAAATGCGCCACCCACCTTGAGATATAAGTTCTAAGATCTCAGTATAGTTACAACGGCTGCCCCACCCTTCAAACCGAAACGCATTACTGCTTCACGACAGAAATAGGCAGGGTGGTGGTACCTACCCGCGCGGACTCACAAGAGGTCCTACCACCAGTAAAAAGTAAAAGTAACCTTTGTTAGTCAATTTTCTCTATTGCATTGAACTGCAATTTCATTGAAGGGTGAACAAGTCCACAGGCCAATACTGATTTTACTGATTAGAGGTTACCAGATCTACAATAGGTAAGTACATCAGTACGCTAACAGTAACAGAAGGTGTGAATGGTATAACGGTCGATCAAGATATTGGCTTTGTGCGTTCATTGAACTTTTCAAGTAACATCTAAATTAGACACTGTCTTTAGTCATGGCTTTTGATTGTGGTGTGAGTTTAACCTACCGTCACCAATCTGAGTGGATGCATCCACAAGATCGACGTTGGAAGCTCGGTTCTGATCGTGTATGCTCCTTCGTTTCTTACGTACGGATTGCAGATGTACTATACTAGCGTCGGTTTGGAACTCTTGTAATTTCATCTAAAACAATCAGTTTATCATTATCTCTCTCGCACGCAAATCTATATATATAAAAGTAAGTCGTGTTATTATATCATTACACTATTTATAACTCAAGAACGGCTGAACTGATTTGGCTGAAAATTGGTGAGGAGGTAGCTTAGAACCAGGAGAAGGACATAGGATACTTTTTATTACGTTCCCGTGGGACGTGACCTTAAACGTGGTATAACAAAACGCAACTGATATGGAATAACAAAACGCAACTGACAGATAAATGGTGGATGGTGTGTAGTATAAGTAATACTAATTTGTGATGTATTGTTAATTAATAAATACCTACCCCCAAATTTGAGAAAAATTCATATTAACTTCACTCTTAATTATATTTATCTATTTAATAATATTAAGTTCATTTTTAACGCACAATATATTTATCTGATTAATATTACAATAAGATATTTGATTGTAAGTTCTAAAACATTGTTTGTTTACCTCTAGAGCGATTTTAGCCTCTTTAAGCCTCTTACATTGTTCTTCCCTTTGTTTAAGGTACTCTGCACACGTCTCGCATTCTTCGTCTAACTCCTTATATCTTTGTTTTAGTTCTTCAAGTTCTGCTTTACAATCCTTCAGCTCTTTCCTTTTCGCTTCGAATTCTCTGTTAAAAAAATATTTAATTAATATCTCGATGTGTTATTTGAATGAGTGAAATATTTTAATGTTCTTAAACTAAAAACTTTTTTAGCATCATTGTTGTTTGATAATACAAAACGAAAAGCTACCCTAAATAATACAATATATAATACATCTATAGGATTTAGCGTACGAGAGAATGAGATAAAATTATTCTGAATGTTTCTCTTATGATCTTAGATATGAAACTCGATTATTATTATCAACTATTACGATTATTTATACAACCGAGATTCTGAGCTAAACATAACGGCCATCCCACCTAATTTTATATTTATATTTTATAAGAAGTATATTATTATATTAAAACACGATTTTACTTGTCCTTTTTAGTATATTTCTCCATTGCTTTTTGCATTTTTGTGACAGTATTTTTCAGGTCTTGCTTCTTGTATCGCAGTTCTTCAATGGTTTTCATAAGCCTCTTGTTCTTTTCGACCTCCGCGTCGTACGACATTCGATCGACGACCACCGAATGTAGATTGGCCCAATCTAATACAATCAATTTATTGATATAATAATTAATACTAGAGGTCCCGCAGTAGTCGAAATTCGACTATAATTAATGGGAATTGTAAGTTTGTACACTATTATGATTGTATTTTCAACGCCAAGACTACACTATAGAAAAATATTAATAAAGACAAACAATATTTAATCTATTCTCAATTTAACCACAGATGGCAATAACAAAAGTTTGACAATAATAAATAGTATGCATAATGCATTCGTGTGTGCGTCAAATACATGATAGTGTGTGTAATGTTTTCTTCATTGATTTAAAGTATCTTTTTTGCATTATTTACCGCGCAATTTACGTAAAAAGGGATACAAAGTTTTTGCTTCACATATTAATATATAGATAAATCAACTTGTATTTCAATGAACATACACATTTATAAACATAAAACTGATGACCCACAATCAAAAGCTTGATAGAAAATTGAAAATTTGTATAAATCTACTGATATATTTTGGAATTAATAACCTGACTGTCTATAATTTGACTAAAGACATACTTTAAGCAGTTCCTTATATAGTTCATTGTAGAATTTAAATAACTTTTTAGGAGAGAAAAAAAAGTCGAGTTTGTTTCAATCGTTTTAAGCATTAACCCTGTTAAAAACTAGTTAAAGTTATTATTTTTAGAATGGCAGTTATTAAAAAAAAACGCTAAGAACTTAAGAACCACCAACTTGAAACACATCGTCTAAATCACAATTACCTCCTTTCAAACAAAATAATAGTTGTTGTTATTGATTTTACCTTCGTCTGTGTTGACGGCGACATCCGCGAATTTTGCTTGACGTTCAACAGGTCGTTGTGTACTAATTTGTTCTTTCAAATTTGATACTTGTTGCTGAAAAATGATACAGATATGTAAGAAAAACAAAAAAGATACAGATATGTAAATAATACAAAAAAGATACAGATATGTAAATAATACAAAAAAGATACAGATATGTAAATAAAACAAAAAGGATACAGATATGTGAATAGAACAAAAAAGGTTCTATTGTAACATCAGATCTCGATGTGATGCCTACAATGCGCCCAGCACCAAGGAGTGCAGTAAAATTTTTACTTGTACAATATAATCAAACTTTACCTCTAAACTCAATTTTTCCTTTTTCAAGCGAGCGCATTGCTCGTCTCTCTCTTGCAAGTACTCTGCGCAGGTTTCGCATTCGTCGTCCAATTCTTTGTACCTCTCCTTTAGATCGTCTAGTTCTTGTTGACATGACAATAGCCGCTCCTTAAGCTGAGACACTTCGCTGTCACTAATAACTGATATAGATCTCTTTGGGGAATCGTCAAGTTTTGGATTTTCTGAAAGTAAACAGATTTACGTTGTACTTATAATTATTATTTAATTAAAATATTTCCGTATGTATGTAGAGTCTCAATTTGATCTCGACACTCACTTTATTCAAGGATAATTGAAGACATGAGTGGGTTAAGTACCATTTTTAAGATTTTTGAATTTTTTCATTGAATGAAGGTGTTATGTGCCTATAAACCATATTAGACCTTAAAACTTCGGACTGAAAGGCTATTTTTAGAAATTGCATGTGATGAAGGAGTTATGTACGAAGAAAAAGTACAAGTAACAAAAGTTTTGTATATTGTATAATAATATCCTCTTTAGCTACCCGTGTCTTCAATTGTATTAATTAGTTATTATTAATTAAATTAATCATTAATAACCTTTTCATTTCGACTATTAGTATTTAGGTATTAGGTCTTGGTATAGGTATTGATATTACGTATAGTTATAGGTATTAGGTATAGGTTTTATGTTATGTTTATTGAGTCCTCACCGTGGGAAGTATCTCGGCTAGACCGCATTATACTCCGGTGGGAGTCGTGTATACTCTGTCGCCTCCGTCGCGAGGCATGCACGCTGCCGGGTCGGGACGAGTGCTCCTCTCCTACGTCGCTCTAAACAAGATTAGTAAACGAAGTTATTCCGGGTGCTTGAAAAGCGTGAGTCCGAGCTACCTTTATAATTAATTGACTATATCATATCTTTTTATTGATCGGTTTTAATTAATCAACAATTAATGTTAAGTCGTGTTAACTTGTGGCGGTACGTCATGGCGTGGCGAAATGTTGACACATGATGATGGTGATGAAGATTCACCATCATAGTGTCATGGTGAATAACAATTTTGGTGTAAAACAACACAGACACCTATTTAACATAAGTAGGATGCTCCTGTAGTAATAAAATAAATAAAAATAAAAAACTTACATTATCTGATTTTAATAAACTGTCACGTCTGAAACACAAAATTGACAGACATTAGTCACACATATACTGTAATAAAATTATTAATATTGTATCGACTCTAAGGGCTCTGAGAACATTCATGTGTGGAATAACACAACGTCTGGTCTTTAGCTAAAAAAATGTATGGAAAACAACACATTTGGTAAAATGTTTCATGCGCCATCTGTCGTAGGTTGATGATACTATAATTAAAATTTAGTTGTGGAGTCAAAAATAACTATAGTCGGATTTTTTATTAGACGAAGTCAACTGACGTTTACTGTGTTGTCAGTTTTTGATGAAATAAAAATAGTGTTGTGACAAAGTGAACGATTGAAAAAACTCCTGAATTAATGAAATTGCCTCGATTGTCTAGTGAATAGTTAGTGTGCCGAAATGCCGATATCATGCACGGGGTTCGAATTTTAGCCGTGCTTTGTACATACCAACGAGTTTTCGACGAAACATTATGTTCCTATGGTATCTACCTGTACTGAATACCGAGTGTTTTAAACATTAAGAAAAACATTGCGAGGAAGCTTGTAAGACTGTCCTGTTTCCAATGTATCATATAGTTGAAACTATAGATGTATAAAATATAACAATTATAGGTACATAAGTAATGAAAATAAAAAAAACTGATTGTAGTTACATACTACTAGTAACATATTATTATATTGGAGCACTTTAATACAATTTTATTGTAAAATATAAATAATATTCTTTTATAGTTTGAAATTAATAATTAATTCTTCACACTCATTGTTCATTTATGTGATTGAACGAGAACTGAACGCATCACTATTACTTTAAATATAGCAACATTATTTCACAAAGTGACATTAGCTACTGTCAGCTGGCTTCGTCTAATTAAAAATCCGATTTTATACAAAGTTTCAGCTCAATCGGATAACAGACGCGAATCCATAGATTGGGGACAGGTATCTTTTTTTTTTAGGAATTAGAGATAAAATTATTACCCTTTGAGTCGAATAGGTGTGCTTCTGTTTGAATCGTGTCCGTCTACATCCATGAAGAGATCGTCGGGTTGGCGACGCGACTCGAAAACAGCTTCCAAATTGCTTTCTGGAAATCGGAATGAGGTCCTTTAAAAGTGCTTTTTATTTTACTACCTATATCTTATCTTATCTTATCTTATATCTTTAAACAAGCAATTCTTGTATATATATAATCTGAATCTCGAAAACGGCTCCAACGATTTTTATAAAATTTAGTATACGGGGGAGTTCGGGGGTGATAAATCGATCTAGCTACGATTTATTTTCAGAAAATATTGTTTTATTCGTGTTTTCAATAATCAACTTTATCGTTAATCAACTTTATGACTCCTCCTGACATCTATTGGCGAATAATAATACTATTTTTCATAATTGAGAGCAACTAACTGCTTTAAAGACACAATAACACTAAAGCTATTTCAGCAGATGGCGTTGTTAAGGAACCCAAAGCCAACTAGTATATTTAATTTACAACAAAAGTATTGGGTCATCCCAGATTTGCCCCTATTCTAACTCTAGTCACTATTCCCCCCAATCTACTGTAATTTTGTTTTTGATTGTACCTCCCAGGTCACGGTTTTCGTCGCCAAACGTCCTCTTCGAGTCGTGCAGACTGCGGCGCCGGCTCCGGGACGACTTGGACGCGTCGTCTAGCGAAACTCTTGCTGTTTGTTCCGTTCGTATATCAGATTCCAGTTCGGCTATACGACCCTAGAACAAAGCACGCGCTTTTAAGGATTCTGTCAGACTATAGTCATGTCCGTTGCAGGGCCGGACAAACTTAATGCCGGTCCTGGGCACCGGAAAAAAAACCGCACCAATGCTGGAATTTTACTTAAAACTTATAGTTTATATATTTTATTTTTCAAAATTACTAATAACTAATTTATTGCAAGAACTTTATTATATTATATTCCAAAAACATTTTTTTTTCTTCTAACAATTATATAGTACATTGTGCACCAGGGGAGAAAAGTAGGACATTTCCTCCCGCGTGTAAAATAGCTGTTGAGTTTTTTTTTTTTTTTTTATATGAGCTAAGAGGCAAACGAACAAGACAGGTCACCTGATGGGTGAGATGATGATGAAGCGAGACTAATGAAAAGCAATTCATTTTTATCTATATAGATAGATTACCTCAACGAGATCTTTCTGTGTAGTCAATTGGTTCACCGCTTCTCTGCTTGACTCGAGATCCTTTACCGCCGCATCATAATCTCTCTTCAGAGCTTCATATTTGTTCGTTAGTTCGTTCAATTTAGTTTCTTTCTCTATGAATAGTTTATCGTCTTCCTGTTTCTGTTTTTGAAGTCTGTAAGGATTATAAGGATAAGGATTGCTTGTATTGCAACAAAGATAGGTGGTCTTTTTTTATAGTCCGAGCTGACCGAGCTGACGGCCTATCTGGTGTTAAATAGTTACCAGAGCCCGTGGACATCAACAGCGTACATACCATCATATATCTTGAGACATGACTTCTATAGTGCGGGCTTACAGGACGCCCTATTACCAGTAGTTGCGCAAATTAAAATGTTTGCGGGTTTGATTTTTATTAAAAGATGCTATTCCTACATCGTGAATTTGTGTTAGGTACGTATTTCAACAGAAAAATTGGTAGCTGCCTGCGGGATTCGAACACTGGCGCTGTCGCATGACTCGATACAAATGCACTGTCTTATCTATTGAGTTACATTGCCCTGTGGATATGAACAAATGTATTCCGACCACTGTTAGCTATGGGTGCAACAGTCACACAGTATGAAGAGGGGTTTGTCTCTCTTCCTCACAATATCTGCGGTCTAGATGAGTGGCAAAATCTAACCACGCAATGTATAACAAATTAAAATCAGCCAGCACGCAAATTAGTGGGTTCGCAAAGTCATCCTCTAGATCGGTGTTTCCCAACGTGGGGCCCACGCCCCACAAGGGGGCAATTTGATAATTAAGCGGGGCAATCGCACTAAATTAATATAGAAAATCTGTACTAAAATTATTTTGAATTTGAATTTCAGTTTTTTATTATATGTTTTGAAATATTACTTACTATGTTTTGATAACAATTTCGTGGTGATTTCTTCCTAAAACCTATTATTTATGTTTCTTAAGTGAACAAATAATTTTTTTAATGTTAAAAATTTATATGGAGGGGGGGGGCATAAAAATATTAGAAATGTTACAGTGGGGCATGGCGCAATAAAGGTTGGGAAACACTGCTCTAGATGCTTTCACTTCACATTGCAGTTTCAAGAACTTACTAGCATTATTAATGAACTATATATGTTTTTCTTAATAATATAATTAGGGTGGTTTGAGCTTCGAGACCGAATTTTTTCACTTACCTCATGATCATTCTGTTTTGGATTTCGGCAGTTTTCTCGTGTGTTTTGATGTTAATTTCGAGGCGAGAGCAATCGCGCGTTTTCTCCTCACACTGTTCCTTCAAAGCTAGATTTTGTTCCAACAATAATTTAGCTTCATCTTTTAAAGTTTCAACAACTACTGTATTCTCTTTGACAGTTTCATTTAACATCAATATATCGGCTTTCATCTTGTCCAGTTCGAAACCGTTTTGTTTTACTACTTGACACGACCTTTCCAATTCTGAAGCTTGAGTTTCTTTTTCTTTTGTTATAACATCATTGAGCGACTTCAGTGAGTTATTTTCTTCTTTTAAGCCGTTTATTGTAGAGACCAGCTCTGTTAATTTATTGTCTTTTTCAGATAGAGACAGCATTTTTTCTTTGTTTTTAGCTATCGCTATTTTAAGTGCATCGATTTCTTCGGATAATATTTTTATTAAATTCAAGTTAGCACTGTTTTCGTCTACTTTACTCTTGTACAGTTTCGGTAATTCTTCATGCAATGATTTTACTTCGTTGTGCGCCTCTTCGAGTGTACCGAAATTTAATTTTAGTTCAGATAATTCTTTTTCTTTTTCTTCTAACACTGTTTTCGCCGTACCAGTTTCCAATCTAAGTTTTTCCTTTTCGATTTCGTAATCCGTTCGCGAGAGTTCATACTGTGTTATGAGAGCATCAAACAGAATANACAGTTTCGGTAATTCTTCATGCAATGATTTTACTTCGTTGTGCGCCTCTTCGAGTGTACCGAAATTTAATTTTAGTTCAGATAATTCTTTTTCTTTTTCTTCTAACACTGTTTTCGCCGTACCAGTTTCCAATCTAAGTTTTTCCTTTTCGATTTCGTAATCCGTTCGCGAGAGTTCATACTGTGTTATGAGAGCATCAAACAGAATAGTAATTTTTTTATGCGCCGGTAAGTCCTGATCTAAGTCGCGTGGAATATCTACTTTTAATTTTGAAAGTTTCAAACATTCTTTGGTCAGTATTTCCTTTAATTCATTTTCTTTCTTAACAATATCTATTGTAACCGCTGAGCTGATTTCATGTATTCTTTCTTTCTGTATTCTCAAAATATTACAGGCGTTTTCTTTTTCAATTAATTGACTATTCAGTGATGACAATTTTTCGTTTACTGATTTTAGTTCCGAAGTGCACTCATTTAAATCTCCTTGTACTTTGGTGTATTTTTCCAAGATTTCATCTAAGTCTATTTGATATTTGTTTATTATGTTATCCATTAGAATTTCAAATACATCTAAGCTGGTAGTTCCGAATTCTGCATCCAGAACAGCAAGTAAGCTATCTTTGTATCTGTCTATTTGATCTTTGCTTTTTTTACTTTCATTATTTATTAATTGCTCGCTAAGGGAATTTAAATTTCTTTTGATTTCAGACATGACCTTGACGGCTTTAGTTTCAAATTCATTGTTTTCTCCAAGTTCTTTGTTTATTATTGAACATTTAGCACTAGTAGTCTCCAACTGGTTCAGTAAGTCATTTTTCGTTTCTTCATAATCCTTAAGCTTGTTCACTAGATTTTCAACTTCATTACCGTGACTCGTTAACAAATGATTATGCAGCATTTTCATAACATCAATTATTTTAATATTCTCTTTTAGATCGTGATCTTCCACTCCTACAATTTCTGTATAATAATTTAGGCACATCGTTTTATCCATTACATAAGACATGTCAACATTTTTTTCGTCAGCGATTTTAGACAGGTTTGCTGTTGATTGTGGTAAAAAGTTTGCATTTTCAATACTTTCATCTAAATCCATGGTCATATTAGGTTCGTGTAGTTCTAAATGGTTCTTTATTGACGTAAAATCTTCGCAGAGTTCTTTACAATCTTCTCTTCCCGCGTCCAATTCGCTTTGTAGTGTACAAATTTTATTGTATCGTGTTGAAGTATTAGAGTCACTAATACTTCGATTCAGTTTTGATAGAGTGTTGTCGTAACCGATATGTAAAGATTGTATTAAATTTTCTTTTAATTTACACTGAGCACATATATTTTTAGGTTCAATTTTATTTTCGGATTCATTAACAAGTTTTTCAAAATCAATACATTTTTGTGTAAGACATTCATTATTTTTCTTTAGATCGTCTACTTCTTTATTCAAATTATCGCTTTCGGTAACGTTTTCCATTATAAGATTGGAAAGTGTATCATTCTCTTCTTGCAGCTCATTAATTTTTTTACTTTTAGTTTTTAAAGAGTCTGTTAAGTTCTTGATTTCTTTATCTTTAGTGAGGTTTTCCATTTCTAAGGACTTAATTTGGGACATCAGTAGATCTCTCGTTTGTGTTTCCAATATTAAATTTTGATATTTACCCTCCAAAGCACTCTTTTGTTCTTTAATATCGAATAACTCTCCGGATAGCTTCTCAAGTTTCAGATTGGTTTCGTTCGAAGATTCTTTAAGACTCTGACACATTTTACAAGAAATTGTTATGGTTCCGGAATCCTGTAACTTTATTGGATTACTTTGTGTTTCTATAATGTTGTCATTTTTACTTTTAGCTCCATCTAATTGGTTACGTAATTTTTCGTTTTCCTCCTTCAAAATTTCTAATTTCTCAAACATAATTCGGTTATCATTATTTAATATTTCGATTTGAGAATTGACATCACTTGCTTCTATAGTTTGGTTGAAATTAGTTTGTATTGAGATTTCATTGATTAGGTTTTGGGTCAAATCTAAACATGTTTGGTCGCAGGCTACCAGGGTACTGTCAGCTGTTGTAAGACTAACATTTGTATCCAGCATTAATAAATCACCATCCAAAACGGATTCGTTTCTTGCAATCGTTGTATTTTTTTCTAAGACATCTGGCAAGGAAAATCTTTTCAAACTACCATTTTCTGATTCAACTAATGTAGGACAGTTTTTTAGGATTGCTAAGAGATCACACAATTGCTTTTTAAACGCTGGCAAATCTCTTTGACATACGTAGTGAAAGCGACCGTGGTGATGTTGTAAACTCTTAACCTGAGAATTGAGTAATTTATTCTCAGCATACGTTGTGGCGGTGAGTATCGACAAATTAGTTTTATGATTGAAAATCTTTTTTTGTAATTCATGAGCTGGTTCTATTAATTTTTGTAGTTCTAAACGAACTAATTCGTGTTCGTCCATTAGTTGTAGGTTAAAGGCTTGTAGCTGTTGTACCTTCTGCGTCAATTTGTCGTTTTTATCTTGTGCAGAAGTCAATTGGGAGGAAAACTCATCACAGTTGCTGCATTTCGTCGTCTCGTCTTTGTCACAAGTCGATATGTCTTTTTTGGTATCATTCGATTGAATGCTATCTAAAATCTTGCTACAGCATATTGTGACAAGGCTTTTTGGAGAATAGGCTGATTGCTCTAATGTATTTTCACTGTCTGTGTTCACGCTTATTTCATAAAAATTGTTTACACATTCTTCGTCCTCTTCAGAATCTAAGCTTTCTGCACTTTTTTCAGTTCTTTTATCATGAAGTTTTTTATTTTCCAGTTTTAATTCTTTTTGTTGTTGTTTCATCACGTCATCTAAATCCTTGAATTGGCTTTTCCATTCCATCACTTTAGTTTTCATATCTTCTATCTCGTCACTTTTTTGTTTCAATTCTTCTTTGACTTGTTTCAACAATGTGCTACTGTCTTTTAAATTTAGTGTTACTTCTTCATTACTACCTCGAACTGTTTGAATTTCAATAAGAAGTTCTTTATTTTCTGTATCTAATTGTGATAATCTTTCTTTTAAAATGATATTTTGTTCCGTTAGATCTGCAATCTGTTTCTTTGCTTCCCATAATAACTGCGCATTATCATTCTTCTGTGTCTCATTTATTTGCGTGTTTAAATACGTTATGTGATTAGTTATCTTGTCCAACGTTAGACTAATTCTTTCGTATGTGTTTTCACTCTCATCATCAAGTTCACAGGACAGCTGATTGGAAATTTTAAAATCTGATGCGATTTGAGAAACTTTATTGAACATATTTTCGATAAGCTTGTAACTGTTATTCTCAGTGTCATTTAGTTGCTCCATTAGATGGGTAAGTTGTTCTTGTTTCTCTTCTAACTCGCGTTCTGTTTTGTTGACTTTCTTAGACAAATCAGAGAGTAGTATGTTTTTCTCTTGCATAGTTTCATTAAATTCACGTCGATCACAGATTAACCTTTCATTCAACATACCAATTTCTTGTTTGAAATTTTCGTCCTTCTCTTTAATTTCTGACAGCTTCTCCTCGACGAGCATAGTTTTCATTTCTTCTAAATTTGTAATAAATTTGTCGCGGGCTAATATTTCTAACTCCAATTTTTCTAGTTCTGTTTTACGAGATAGTAATTCTTGTAATAGATTTTGATTTTCAATTTTTAATAAATCCACTTCTTCCTGAATGCAATTTTGTTTATCTACTGCAATATTTAACTGTTCAAAAAGCTTTTCGTTAGCAGTATTGTATTCACTTTTTACACTTTCAAGAGATTTTATAGAGTTCCTTAACTCATTAATGTCTGTTTCATTTTTGGTTATTAATTTATCTAACAAGGTCTTTATGGATATATTATCTTTTGTTATTGAATTTTTCTTTAAGTCTATTTCTAGTGCTACTTCTTCTAAAGACTCAAAACCGTTAGTCAACGTATTGATTACTTCTGTTATACTATCAATAATTTCTGGAACCACCATGACATCACCTGATAAAATTAAGAAAACATCTTGAAGTTTTTTAATGGTTAATTTGGCTTTATCTAAATATTCCATTCTGTCTTTATTGTTTTCTTGTAAAGATTCTATTATTATTTCTTTTGAACTAATGTTCTCTTGTAATGTTGTGATTTTCTTGGTCATGGCATCTATTTCATCTGCTAATATTATATTTTTTTCCAATAATTGTTCGACTTCTTTTTTTGATTCACCTTCACTTGTGTGCATTTGTATGTTTTCTCTTTTTAATGCTTCCAAGTCTGATGCACTATCTTCATATAATTTTTTCAAATCATTATGTTTAGTTTCTGCTATTGCTAATTTTTCGGTGAGTTCTTCCTCGACTATTTTACATTTCTCAATCTCTTCTTCCAACTGACGAATCATGCTATTAATTTCATCATTTTTTAGTTCTGCTACAGTTTTGTCTCCAACGCCAACATTTTGTTGTAAACCAGATTTTAATTGGCCAATTTCCTTATAGCATTCTTCAAGTCTAATTTTGAAAGCGTGTATTATGTTTCTAATGTTTTCGTTGTTGGCAAATAGTGTTGCTTCATTGTCAATCATGTTTTGCAAAAGATCGTCTTCTATGTTTAAATTTAATTGGGTCTCTTTACCGGTGAGTTTTATTTGTAACTCCTGTATAACACTGTTATAGGATTTAATGTCGTCGTTTGCAGTATCTAGACAAGATTTTTGGCTTTTTATAGTCGAATTTAATGTTTCTATGGCACNGTTTTCGTTGTTGGCAAATAGTGTTGCTTCATTGTCAATCATGTTTTGCAAAAGATCGTCTTCTATGTTTAAATTTAATTGGGTCTCTTTACCGGTGAGTTTTATTTGTAACTCCTGTATAACACTGTTATAGGATTTAATGTCGTCGTTTGCAGTATCTAGACAAGATTTTTGGCTTTTTATAGTCGAATTTAATGTTTCTATGGCACCTTTAAGCAAACCAATTTCTTCATCTTTATCTGTTAGATTTTCCTTGTAATTGTTTATCATGTCTTGTAATTCTTGACTAGATTTTTCTAAGAACGTGATCGTTTGATTTTGTGCACAGATATCCGCCTGTAATTCTATGATAGTTTGGTTTTTGACGACCAGTTGTGACTGTAAGTCTGAGACTAAATTTGGGGTTGAAGATTCATCTTCTTTATTTATACTGATTTCTGGACATTTTAAAATCGATTGCTCTTTGAGACTTTGATTTAGGGATATACCTTTAACGAAAAAAGAAATAGGCTTATTTGAATTAAAATTGCGTGTAAAATTAATATTATGTGCAGAGAATCTTAATGTTTTTTTTTTATTGCTTAGATGGGTGGACGAGCTCACAGCCCACCTGGTGTAAAGTGGTTACTGGAGCCCATGGACATCTACAACGTAAATGCGCCACCCACCTTGAGATATAAGTTCTAAGATCTCAGTATAGTTACAACGGCTGCCCCACCCTACAAACCGAAACGCATTACTGCTTCACGGCAGAAATAGGCAGGGTGGTGGTACCCACCCGCGCAGGCTCACAAGAGGTCCTACCACCAGTTTTTGCCTTACCTCCTGTATGTGATTTGGTTTTCAGTTCTTCTACTATCGAAAGCAATTCTTCTTCTCTTTGTTTCGCTTTTTTCTTGAAAGTGTCGTAACTAACTTCCCAGTCCGTCAGTTTGATGTCAACATCTTTGCAACGGGTTTCTAATTTTTCCTATGATAAAATGAACGTCTTTAGCTAACTATTTACAACTAGCGCGTGGGGAGATTGCGTTTGAGGCCTGAGATAAAAGGTCCAGGTATCGTCCCTACTTTCCGAGAACCAACTAAAATCTTGAGATGATTGTACTTATGCTTATCATACGTTTACCAGTAGAATCAATTGTTTTTGTTATTTAGGTTAACATTTACTAATAAATCCGTCAAAAAAACCGTTTAAAAAAAAAAACTGGTCCGTGTGCATAGCAGTTATGAATAGCAGATTAGCACCTGAATGTATTATTTATTATTCTGTTAAACCTTATTTAATCTCATACATACGGATGGAGGCGGTTTGGCTCTGGCCCTGGCATTAATGACGTCAACTCCCTACAATATATTATATACATATATAAATAAAATAAATGTTTATGCATTTGTTTACTTGTTCTGCGTTCGTGATCTGTGTGCTCCTACATATTTTTTCTTATAGAAATGAAACTTTCATTTATTTATTCGTACATATTTCGTTTGTTGATGGTTCATATCATTTATAAATTATTGTAATAATAATAAATGCAAACAAGGTACTTAGATAGTAAGTTTGGTATGGGAGAGTTCACAGGCGTACGTTCGTCTTGCGCGACCACCTATAGTTTATGAATATTTTATATTCAAATTCAGATGCTAACGGACTGTCATTTTAAACTAACAATCACGCCACGTTGACTGGTCCCGTGCTAAGTTCGTAAAGAACTCGTGTTACAGTTACCAGATAACGGAAATAAATGTAAGATTTTTATTATACACATACATATCGACGCTTCAAAAGGCAAACGAGACTAAGCGACAATGCGTGAATTTTACAGTAGACTAATTTAAATTTGAATTACTTGAAAAAAATTCAATTTTAACGAATCTAGCTGTAGGATTGAAATGATTTTAATAGACCTAGAAATATATTCTTTTTGCGCATCGAATATGGTTATTGCCTATCATTATGTATAAAGCAATTATTGTCGCTTAGTCACGTTTGCTTTTCAAGCGTCTATATATTTAATATAGATCCATTACCCTGGAAAAAACATTTTATATTTATCATACAAATATCTTCCCTTGGCGGGATTCGAACCCGCGACCCCCTTGTGTAGTGACCATGTCACTTACCACTACACCAGACGGCCGTTAATTTATGTAATTATAAACACACTGTCCCCATAGCAACTAATAATTATATGCATGTGTTAGCGGTAATTATATTGCAATGATGCTACGTCAGTCTCGGTATCGTCGGACTGTCGAAAGCAGGTTAGGTTGTAATCCCAATATACGTTAGTCACTTAACTAAACACGTGTCTTACTAATCCTTGCCCGATATAGAGACTCAACATACCTTTTCCGAAGTTACATGAACAATTGTGTCTTCTAATTTTTGGATTTTCTTCTTCATATATTCCATCTGTAGATCTTTTTCTTTACTCTGTTTATCGAAATTCTCCATCTCGTCTTGTAGCATCGTAATAGCATAAGTTTTTTCTTCCAATTTCTCCAACAATTCCGCCTAGAACATATAAATGGTGGTTGTTGTTTTATACGCTACAATAATTACACTAATCACAGTCAATTTAATTAAAATGTGTTACATCTCAAATTAGGCCACAGCACTCTTTGTGATACCTGCGGTCTTCAGTATCCCATAAACATCGTATGTGCTAAGATTTTATCTGTGCATTCTTAGTGAGAAAAGAATGTTCTAAAAAAATTTTCTTTATTGCTTATGTGTATGGACGAGCTCACAGCCCACCTGGTGTTAAGTGGTTACTGGAGCCCATAGACATCTACAACGTAAATGTGCCACCCACCTTGAGATATAAGTTCTAAGGTCTCAAGTATAGTTACAACGGTCGCCCCACCCTTCAAACCGAAACGCATTACTGCTTCACGGCAGAAATAGGCAAGGTGGTTGCACCTAGCCGTGCGGACTCACAAGAGGTCCCACCACCAGTTACTAATAGTAAGTAGTATTCAGGCTTAGCTGAGTGCTAGCTTAGTACTCTGCTAACAATTAATATATGTGTATTGTGAATGTGATGTTGTTTTGTTATAATTTACTTACAACTCTAGGAGGATAAATTTTCTCTCGTTCAGTTAACTCGACTATGTCTTTGAGATTCTTCTCGGCTCGTTTCGCTGTCTTCCTCAGTACACAAGGAGGCGTCTTCGATTTGTCTGTAGAGATTTGTAACAATAAGTCTTTGCGTTCCAATTATCAATCTTTGTTTTTGCAATCCCAACTCATTTTTAATACGCTTTTATTAGCTCCAGACGTATGTACGTTTGTAACGGAATTTTTGAGCATAATTTTGACCCCATTCAAAACGTCTGATAATTCGAAATTTTATATACTTATTAAGGACCGATGACAATTCAATATAAAAAAAAATTGAAAGAAAATAAAATTGAAAGAATTGAAATTCAACTAAAAAATGAAAAATAAATTTTAATAAATTTGAATTAAAAATAATGTAAGAAAAACATGATTTTATTGTAAAAAGCGTGGGGTATCGTATCATTAGTTATAAATATTTTATGAACAGATATGAGTAGATGGGTTATTTTGATAATATCCTAAAAAGCACCCCACGCTTTTTACAATAAAATAATTTTTTCTTACATTATTATTAATTCAAATTTATTAAAATTTATTTTCTATTTTTTAGTTGGATTTTCTATAAACGCGTATTTTGTTAGTTTTTTAAACTATTATTTATTTGAAAGGTATTTTAATATTAATCCATTCACACATAAACAAGGCACCACCTACATAATATATAAGATATCTAAATAGATAAACTCATTCATCAATGCAGAGTACCTAAGTCATTGAGGTTACAAAATTGGAGTAAAATTTGGAAAATTGCATAATTGTTCTTCTTTTATGTTGTAAGTTAGAATAACTAAAACAAAAACCATTCCTAGGAAAGGTAAAATAGGTGTTGAAAGTTTATATAAGAATTATATATCTGTGTGTGTATATGGCATGAAAAATACCAGTTCAAAGATAATAACAATGCGAAGAAACACTTCACCAAAAGCTGAGACTAAATGATTTTAACACTTACCATAGCATTCATGAATAGGTGAACAAGTTTGATTATTTGCTACTTCGTCATCGTCGCTATCTGAAAGCGATTTTAAGTTAAAAAGCATTTCTTTGTAATGAAAGTTGTTAAATGAAAAATGTTATTTTTAGTTTACTAGAAAATTAAGTGAAATTTTGTTGGGAAAAGTAAAAGAAAGAAAACGTTATTTCCTGATTTCCCTCTAATATTTATTGTCGCAAGAAATTTTTCTAAATGTTTTTTATTTTATTTATATTAATATAAAGATACGGCCAGATATGGATGAAGACGATGATTGAATAATAAAAGCTTGCTAGTACTTGAATAGTTGGATTATTTTCATTATGGTCCCTTATTGCGCAATATTTTTTTTAATAGTTAAAATGTAAATACAAAAAATGAATATACAGGTTTAAAGATATTGAAAAAAGTACGAGAGTTAGAAATAAGTATTTTTCCCATGAAAACCATCAGCAGAGACGGTTAAGCTTGTAGCTGAATAAAATTCAAAGAAGTACCGAATTTTTTTTTAATAGTTAAAATGTAAATACAAAAAATTTATATACAGGTTTAAAGATATTGAAAAAAGTATGAGAGTTAGAAATAAGTATTTTTCCCATGAAAACCATCAGCAGAGACAGTTAAGCTTGTAGCTGAATAAAATTCAAAGAAGTACCGAAAATTGTTTTTTATTACGATCATATACGAAATTGTGTGTTACGGAAAAATAGTTAAACTTTAATACTGCTGTGTATAGTGCAACATTTTTTATTTAGACAAACAAGTTTAATAACACAAACCACCACATACCACAATTAATAAGTTCGCAAAACTTTGATAAAAAAAAACAATATTGAGGTTCATAATTTAGTAATACATCCCAAACTCAATGTTTTTATTCTCAAAGTGTATGTAGCAATACATACCAAACTCAGTGGTTTTATTCTCAAAGTTTAGTAATACATACCGAGCTCGATGATTTCATCCTCAAAGTTGACTCTCTTGTCACCAGGGGGCGGGGTGACCATCCGTGAAGTTTCTTCAGGAACAGTGGATAAGGTTCCCGGACGTTGTAACGGAGCTAAGTCTGATGAACAACCGCCTAACGTCATCGGGCTACAACAAGGCAAAATATTTCAATTCCTAGCAAAAATTTTTTAAGTCGCAGTTGGTACCAAGTGGTTACCGGAGCTCATAGATGTCAAAACAAGAATGCTGTGGTACGTCTTGAGACATGAGTCAACTGTAATACAGTACTATAGTAGATAATACTCACCCACTTTTTGAGACCGGGCTGCTGCCGATATACATTATTAAGAACTGAACTATTGTACTAATTTATTTAGCACTAACCGTACTCGCACGCTTCGCTGGGCATTTAAAATTAACATTATTATTTATTGTCATTATTATTAGGGAGTCCAACACTCATATAAATATTAGCCTATCCATTAAGTACATGTATTTTCTAAATGGATACCAAGTTTCAAATCAATCGGATGCATGGTTCAGTAGTTATAACGGAACATCCGTAAAAACCACTGTAGATTTATATATTAGTATAGATATAGATTAAGGATGCGAACTAAGCACATAATTAGTTTTATATAAATTATAACGTACTTGTATTTCAAGACAGGAGTACAAAACCTCGGAATGCTAGTTGTGGATTCTTCGACCGAGTGCAAAGCCGATATTGTAATCCTGCGTTGAGGATGTTTGCGACGGGTGCTGATGATGTCTTCGGTAGAATGTCGCGTTACGCCACTTAATATTAGCCTCTGTAATCCCGCTATCTGTTTCTGGAGGTTGTAGTTGTCTTGCTGCAAAAGATTTAAGAGTAAATTTAAATCATGCTTCGAAGATTTCGTGGCGCGTGGTAAGGGAGAAATGTGGATTTTCAAGATCAAGCTAACCTCAGAGTGAAATTTTGTGTTTTATACTAGATATATAGAGTGGACACTAATTGCATTAATATAATCGATACTATCACTAGTATCTGTACTCACGAACGGTGTTCTGTCACCAAAAAAATTATTGAAATGAATTTTGAACTGTCAATCAACATGACCTCTGTTTGTAACAGTATTATGATCTAGAAGGATCGATCCAAAACTTTAAATGAGCACAGTAGGATTCACATTGGACAACATCCTTTGAATGGATGTATTATTTGTACTCTTTCTATAATATCCATATATTATAATTAATTAATTAATCCATATTAAATACAAATATTCATAATATCCAAACGGATATCCGCTACTAGTAATTATTGCTAATAGATCCCGAAAATATAAGAAATGAGGAGTGGTCTCCTTATGGGTGAGAAGGATCATGATCATGTAATGGCTCACTTAGTCATTATGGCATTAGAACTTATTGACAGGGGATCATGCTTAACATCACAAGCGGGCAGGGTACCGAAGAAAAAAAGAAGGGTACCGAAGACAAACAGTTAGGAGAGATGAAATGAGATTTTATGTACGTTTTTAATTTTTATATTCCTATCAAAATTTGACGACGTCGAAAACTCTTGGTTTATTAAATGATATCAAAGTCTAATAACAGCGAATCTCTACTTACTGAAGATGAGATACAATAGTACTTGAGATACAATAGTAAACAATATACTTTTATTTCACCTACTTATCTGCCAGTAAACCCCAGTGGCTAGTCTGGCTTTACCTTGGTTGGCAGGCGATCTCAAGGGTCTCAGTCTGAGAAAATTTCTAACATCTGCCCTAGCAAGAGCAGCGCTTCTCTGAACCTTCCAGCGGATCGGAATCGCGACCCACTGAGAAGATCCGGCGAGAAGCTCAGTGGACAACACTATACGAAATATATTTACCTCAAGATGTTTCTTGCATTCAAGTTCAGTTTGGAGGGCCCCAAGTTTCTTAGTTAACTGCTGGATCATTGTAGCGTTACTCTGTACTTCATTCAAAATAGGTTCGTTCTTTATAAATTTCGCACGGTTTCCGAATCTGAAAAAAAAACATTCAGTTCACAAATGCCTTTTACTACAATGAATAAATTACTTCATTTAATACAAAGAAACCCGCGAATGATAAAAGATCTAACTTAGCGTATAGGATGTTTAAAAATAAATAACTTGAAAATTGTGGGTATTCTTGTGCCTCTTGAAGCAGTCTCTAAGGTAGTGATTTTTATTTGTTAAACGGTATCAATGAATGTTGTCGACGGTGAAAGGAAATTATGTTTTTTTTTATTGTTTAGATAGATGGACGAGCTCACTACCCACCTGGTGTTAAGTGGTTACTGGAGCCTACACCTACAATGTAAATGTCGCCACCCACCATGAGATATGAGTTATAAGGTCTCAGAATAGTTACAACGGCTGCCCCACCCTTCAAACCGAAACGCATTACTGCTTCATGGCAGAAATAGGTAGGGTGATGGTACCCTACCCGTGCGGACTCACAAGACATCTTACCATCAGTAATTACGCAAATTATAATTTTGTGGGTTTGACTTTATTAGACGGTGTTATTCCTTCACCGTGGAAGTCAATCGTAAACTTTTGTTAAGTACGTATTTCATTAGAAAAATTGGTACCCGCCTGCGGTATTAGAATGGGGATGCGGAATGATCTCAAACAACTCTTTTTGTTCTTCCTCGCTGACGGGAGTATCTCTCTAGCTATCATGCATCCATCCGAGCTCTTTTAATTGTTTAAAAAGGTCCATAAATCAGTTTTTCTACGATAATATGTTATCAATGATATAAATAAGTTTTGGCTAAGATACCCTTTAGTAACTGCCTCTTAGTTTAAGTTTAATAAAATAAGGAGTGGGAAAAAAGAGATATATGTGTATCGTTTTGTTTGTGGCCTACAGAGTAACTGTACGGTTGTACTACAGCAGGGGTTGCCAAACTTATGTTGTTTACTGCCCACTTTGAGAATAAATTAATTTTTAGCGCCCCCATTTTTTCACCTACTTTAAAACCACTATAGCGAGAGCTCAGTCGGTGTCTAAGAGTCCTCCTAGATGAAATTACAAATCGCTTCCCAAACTTCTACACAACGACACTTTTTTCTGGGTTCCTTACCACCCCCCTTTGGGCCTACAGCGCCCACAAGGGGGCGTTATCGCCGACTTTGGGAAAGGCTGAATTACAGGGCTTACTGTAAGGTAGAAATTGTTTCTTCTAGAGCAGCTGGTGTAACTGCACATATGATACTTGTTTTAGCATTCCCACCGAGTGAGTTCTGTAGTATTCTTGTTAATTTGCTGTCACGATAGTTGTTGAACCTGTAACCAAATTGCTTGCTTACTTAATTTTTCTTAGAATTCATGGAAATTTATGTAAATGAAATCTAATGAAAATATGTTAGTTAGTGAAAAATATACTCGTAGCATCAATTGAGACTTTTTCAGTTTAAAGTCGGACCCATAGTTGTACAATGTCAATTGTCCCGCGATTTGATGTCAATACGGGAAACGGACACTATAGACTGGTGCTGCACAGGAAAAGTTAAAAGGTAACGTACATTACGTTACCTGTACAAAGTTATACCACCACTTTCAATAAAATGACTAACTTATTGAATTCTTCATTTTGGCCATCCTACTAATGACAAAACAATATGACCTAAAAATAATACTTTTCCTTTTCTGAGTCACTTTGTTGTAATGCAAGGTATAACTTTTATTAATTAATTAGACATATTTCAAATGTGACTTTCGACCATTAAGGTTCAGTATTTTCAGGCATCAAAAAATATGAAATATCTTAGTACTGTTTGTAGGTAGTGGTTAACTCAGAGCCGGCAACGCGTCCTGGTTTTAAGCACTACCACTGGACGGCACTTCTATTTTAATTATATTAGTTTTCTGTGGTATTAGTCTAACAATAATCACTAATTTTGAACAGGAAAATAATACTTTTTCTGTAGCGTTAATATTACTGAGGTGTTTAAGTAATAGTTACTGACTCACTTAATGGGAATAGAAGTTTCACCTGCTATTGTCAATAGTAACAATTAAATAGTGTTTATGGAGAAATACAGAGTGTCTCAATAATACTGGCTAGTGTTGTGGCTAAAAACACCATACTAATTGTTTTATGATATGCAGTTGAATTACATTTATAGGAGAGTTTAAAAAAATTATAACTTTATATAAATAAATAACATACTGCCCAGGATTCTCAGCAAGTTTTTTGATGACCAAAGCAAGGGCAGACAGCGATTTATTAATATGGGTTCCCTCTTTGAATCGTAAGCCCTTAGCACCTGTTTGTCCTGCACGTTCAGAGCCCGCAAGATCAACTAGATTCAGCTGTGATACGTTAACACTACCAACCTCCTCTTTACCTTCAACATGTTCTTTAGATTCAATGGTCTGTGAAAAAAATATTGTAGTATTAGAATTTACAGTACTGGGATTTATTATTGTAGGCTGCTTAACTTGGAATGGACTTCCAAGTATTATTATTCAGTTCTAAGCATTGGGCAGGATGTATGTTTATCTACTTTACTTTACTATATGTAGCAAAATAATGCCTACGTATTTCGGAATCTGGGTTGTGATGACGTATTTTCACAGTGTGTGGGACTTGACGATCTGCAGGTGTTGGGAGATGACCGCGGGGCCAAGCAAAACTTAGGGCCCTACCGCACTAAGCGACTCTCCTGCACTCTTACACCCGACGTCCGATCTCCGTCCGGGGTCAGAACCCGGTCAGAGTAGGGGGGTTTCCGCGGTCAACACTATATGTCCTGGTGAAACTGGAAAGGCCCCCGGGCCACCAGTAATCCTTTAATCCTAAAAAAAAAAACATGAGACGCCAACCCGAGGACGCCCGACCGACGGGTCGTAGAGGCGATAGCCGACGACCAACGACGCCTGTCTCCGCGGTACGGCGGTTCTACCAGGCTGCCCGGGCGATGCCGCTGGTGTTCCGGGATACCCGCTGGGCCAGAACCAGCCTGCCGGGTCGGAACGCGGTACGCCGCCGACCAGGTTGCTCTTCCACAGTATGTTCGGCGATGACAGCGACGACGACAATGCGGGCCGCCGACGCGTCGTCCTCCTGGTGCCAGCGCGTTAGAGTGTCGGTAGCGTGCGGTGCAGCTTCAACTCCCTCAGGCTGCCCCGTGACCATCACCGGGAGGATACTGCCTCCCCACAGGGGCCGGAGCTGAACAAACGCCCTCCTCCGACCCCCGGCTCGGCGACGGCGGCACGGCACCGAGAAGAAAGAAGAGCTCTCGCTCTCCTATTCCACCGCCTCCTGCGAGATGGTGGACTCGCAGAAGTAGACCATCGCCTGCTAGGACTCGTCGCCGCCGAGCATCGTAGCCACGACGGTCGGAAGCGACAAGTCTGGTCCTATTTTTGCAACGAGGATGCGGCGCTGCTCCGTGAAAGCGGGGCAGTACGCGAGCATGTGCTCCGCCGTGTCCTCGTTACGCAACTGCAATGGTGGCACTTCGGCGCCGGCTCTCTCCGGGCGACGAGGTCCAGATAACGGCCGATACAGCCGTGTCCGTGAGCACCTGCGTCGCCCGGAAGGTGAGACGTCCTCGGTCGCGATTCACCCAGTCCAAGAGGACCGGGCGAATCGCCTCGACGGTCCGTCGCCCAAAGGAGGGGTCCGCCAGGCGGCAAGACCACGCTTCGATCTTTCGCGTCCGAACTTTCGCCGCGCCGGGATGCGGCTCCCCCCTGGAGCGGATCGCAACGCCACGCGTAATCCGCAGCAAGCGTCTCCACTTCCAGGTCCCAGGGAGTCTAGACTACAACCTAGCTTAAGAGCGCTTTTACGTACGCTTTTTTGTACGAAATTCTGCGGCACTAACTTGCTTAAGGCTAACATGTTCTGCTATACCACATTATAAGCTTAATTAGAAATTAATTCACAAAAAGGTTACGTTTTGTTAAGGATTTATTTTAGGTATAGATTTTAGATAGAATTTCTTCAGTAGTGCATTAAGTACTAAATGTTGACTTACTATTTGAAAGATAGAATGTGATCTGCTACTTTTCTCATTCATATTTGTTGACCCTGTTTGCCGATTTGCTTCACCCTAAAACAAAGATTCTACTATTTATCTGTTAAGTTAATTTTACTTTGTATCATTGTTAGCCTAAGATGCTAATCTAAATACGGGCGGACGGGTAGGTGAGATCACAAGGCTCAACCTGTGAGAACTTTCTAATACTAGCCCTAGCAAGAGCCTCCTTTTTTTTTACTTATATCTTCGAATCGAAATCATGACCCATTGAGAACATCAGATCAGAAACTCAGTAGGTTTTGTCTATGGGCTAGACTGCACGTTGAAGTATTTAATGAGTTCAATGTTATGTTATTAGAGGTGACCACGTTAAAGTTATCTTGTCGCCTCACATTCGAATGCTGTAGGGTATATATACTCTATATGGGATATATATGACGTTATTGTCAAAATTTATGCAAAGCAAATTCATCTGTAAAATTGTGAGCTTCCCAAGAAAGATCAGTGGCAGATGAGAAACCATCAAACATATAGTGTTAATGAAATACAATAATTGATTAAAATATAACTTAGTGAGTAATTGAAATATTGAATCTTTTGTTTACCTGTTTTATAATTTCCAGTACTTCTTCAGGCGAGGAAGTGACTTTCTCAGTTGCATCCACTTTAATACCTTGTAAAGTGTCATGGATCTTTATGTTGTCTTTTTCAATGTTAAGAAGATCTTTTACAGTTTCATTATAGATTTCTATGTAAGATACTCTGAAATATTTAATCATTATTTTTATTTACATCACCAGATAAACTTAATATCTTCTGACCTAGGAATAAATATCAAATAATATTAAGCTTCTTTTGTAACATGACTAAAACCAATATCATATTACGACATGCAAAAAACAACCTTGAAATCTGGATCCAGTATCCAAAATTCAATAATCTAAACTAATACCAATTACAAACAGTGTACTTTTTTTATTGCTTCAATGGGTGGACTAGCTCACGACCCACCTGGTGTTAAGTGGTTACCAGAGCCCATTGAAATCTACAATGTAAAGGCCACCATCCACTTTGAGACATGAGTTATGACATAATGGCTGTGCAGCCCTTCTGACCAAAACGCATTACTGCTTCACGGCAGAAACCTATTTCCGGTATTCTGGGTGGTACCTACCCGTGCGGACTCACAAGATGTCCTTACTTACCTTATCACTTAAATCACACACAAAACTTTGTCTGTGTAGTTTAAGCTAGTAGCTCATGTTATGGTACCATGGTGATGGTGTATTGTTTTTTAAATATCATTTCAGTTATCTAATAAAATTATTTGAGAAACATTTATTAAGAGTACCCAAGCAATATATCATACTTTTAAGTGTAGAGCAAACTATTAAGCATAGTTATCGTTTTTTTAGTAACTCAGACCTTATAAAGCATGCTTAATAGGAGTGTGGGCAGCATTTTAAATTACATAATTACCTTACTAAAAAGTCACGGTCAGGTATATTCTTGATAATTTCAAATAGGTTTAAAACAGCTAATGTTATTATACCCGGCGAGCTCTCGGTTCCTGCCATAGTGTAAGTCTTCCCGGAGGAGGTCTGCCCGTATGCAAAGATAGTACCATTGAATCCAGCAACTGCTGCTTCAACAATAGGCTTTGCAATATCATTGTAAACTTCACTGGTTTTTGTACTTTCATCATAAACTTTGTCTAAAACATTATAAATTCAGCTAAACTCGACTAATTCCAAGTCATTTTGTATAACATTACCATTGAAATTGTAAAATACGATGCAGTGAAATTGAGTATTTTTTGTTTCTTACCAAATGTAAATGAAGATCCGAACTCTTTGCCATTCTGATCTAGTTGATATAGGGAATTATTTTTAATGCGCCACTGGTAAGGGAGTTTCTCTTCAATTTCCCTTGTAATCAAAGGCCGAACTTTGACAACCACTTTGATATTATCACTCATTATAAAGCTACTATATTGTTCTTTAGATTAAAATTTTAATTAATTCACATCTCAACACGCTCATTATTCTAACATTTAAGGAATAATCTAGGTTTCGGTAGTCTTTCAATGTTGAGGAATTTAACACAACTAACGTCTTTCAACTTTGAGAAAATACCCGCTAATTGTGCTAATGTCAACAGTCAGACGTCAGATTCTAACCGACAATAATTCAAACAAAATCGATTAGTGCATTAAGTAGGTACATACGTAGGTACATACCTATTTGTAAAATAAACTTATTGTCATAGATAATTGACTATTTAATTTATAAAGTTGTAAACTACCGACCGACATCTTTGCTGAGTCATATTTACAAATTATTTACCATTTCATTATTTCTTTACATTTCTTAAATTTCTTATTTTACATTTCTTATTAAACTTTTGTGGTGGGTGACTTGAATTCGAGATGAGTTGCTCGATTTACCACCCCCTCGGTGTGACGCCCGCTTTGCACGCCCTCTTACGGCGGCCCCGTTGCTAGAGCTCTTGTAAACAAATTTTCAAGTTGAGCCCGTAAGCTCACCCACCCGCCCGGGCATAGCTGGAATAGCCCCCTAGGCTACCAGCGAATAGGTACGTAGGGAAAAAAAGAATCTGAAAAAGTAATCTGCGAAAAGTATCCTCCTCAAAACAGTGTTAAAAACAAAACATAACAAAAAGGCTTAATGAATAGATTTTGGTAGTGGTTTGGAACAAGTTTCCCAATTCAGTATTCCTATTACAAAAAAGCGGTACTCATTATAGAAGATATCTTCCAAGAAAACGCGGATCGAACTAAAGTTCGTAATTGTAGCTTAAAAACCACATAATATCTGTGCACAGCTGTACGAAATATCTAAATTAAATAGGAACAAGATTTCCGGGGTAAGCCTTAGTAAATTCCATAATTTTGCTGAAAAGTTGTTGAATTTTGTATCTTTTATTCCTATCTTATTTTATTAAATTTTGTGCCATACTAAGTTTTAGATTATCTTAGTTAATTCGTTTGATTTTTGAAAAATGCATACATATTATAGAAAAATTAAACCAGATATCCTTTGCCTACTTAGTAGGAAAAAAAACAAGAAGACAACGACAAGTGACAAAAACAGTTCTGAAACCTAGACCGACATAGATTATAGCCAACATATGTGGGTGTTTTTTTAAGGTTATGTTGTTTAATTTTTTGTGTGATACATGTGTTAGAATTCATACTGACCAAACATTTTTCTCGTCACTGATTGTGAATTTACACTAATAGTTAAAATGCAGCACGATGACGTAAGTTCCATACTACAGTATATGTCTCTGTGCTGTGCTAAATAATTAACGATTGATATTTTACAGGTTGTGTGGGCCATTATAAATAAAACACACTGTTCGCATAAAGTAACGTAAGAATTACCATATTATACTGTTTATTCGTGATTTATGAATTTATTTATTTGAAAATAAGTTTAAATTTTAACTCGATTACGTTTTAGTACAAAGACTCAGCAGTTTTGTCGGAATGAGTACAACTTGACCGGTCTATGTAGTAGATCTTCATGTCCACTTGCCAACAGCAAATATGCTACAATAAGAGAAGAAAATGGCATTATTTATTTGTATATGAAGACAGCTGAGAGGTTAGTAAAGTGTTATTTTTAAATAGTTTTTGAAAACTATTATTAGAACATTGCCATCCACTTTGTAACTTTTTTAAATTTTAAAGTTTCATATAATATTCAATTTAATTTCAAAGTGAAGCTTAAAGTCTTAAGAGAAAATTGGGTTAATTTTGATTTTGCATTAAAAAAATTTTTACTCTGTGTTGGTGTCAGTAAGAAAACACTATACTAAAAATGTTTGTATAATACACAGTAGTTTGTATAATACGTGTCATAATACCTAAATTGTAATTATGTAATAGCTCGATATAAACTGAAAACCAGATTATTTTCCTAAGTAATTCTAATCTTAGCCACCCCATATTTCCTGAAAACATGTCCATAGAAGCAATTTTTGTAATAAATAATATTGTAAACAATATATAAACCTTAAGATTTTTTTCAATATTACTACTTTAAGCTTAAAATTTTCTGAAACTGAAAATATGAATTTTCAAAACTGGTCCACTGCATAGAATACATATCGACGCTTGAAAGGCAAATGTGATTAAGCGACAATAACTGCTTTGTACATAAATGATACGCAATAACCATATTCAATGCGCAAATAATATATATTTCTAGGTCTATTAAAATCATTTCAATCCTACAGCTACTAGTTAGATTGTACTACAGCTAGATTCGTTAAAATTTTTTTTTTTCAGGTATTTCAAGTTTAAATTAGTCTACTGTAAAGTTCACGCATTGTCGCTTAGTCACGTTTGCCTTTCAAGCGTCGATATATTATTGTTTGGGTCATTCTAACAGTACGTACAGATGTCATTTAATTACTAAATTAAATTACTTCTTTAAATTTTTTCAGAATAATGTTCCCAGCAAAACAATGGGAGAAAGTGAAACTGTCCAGAAACTTTGAGAAGGCAATACATCAAATAAATGAAAACTTATTGTACTGGCCTGCATTTATTAAAGCTAAATGCAAACAAAGATTTGTGAAGATAACACAGTATTTGATACGTATGAGAAAACTCAAATTGAGGAGAGTGTAAGTCACCTTTTTATTCTATGTTATAAATTGTAAACAGTAAATAAACATATAAACCCTGTACACTAATCTGAATGGGAATAAACACACACAATACATTTTGTAAGAGATAGCTACAATATTATGTTGTGGATATCAAAACAACGCATACTGAATATTACCAATAAATTGATATATTGGTTTATTAAGGGACAATAGAAATAAAGAGTTACACACTAACACAGAAATAAGAGTTACAGTTAAGTGGACATCAATTATTATTTAAAAAAACACGTGTGGCACTCGGGGACTGCTGCAGTAAAGCTTTTGCATAGCATTTTTATCAACTTATGCAATTATATAATTAAACAATAATAATGTAATATTAACACCTTAAGTGTGGAAGTGGGTTAGTATGTCTCCTCTGTATCTCTGTGGGCTGAAAAAGACTAAGACATCTTTGTTGTTTTGAAGTTGTCACTGCAATTAGATTTCGTGTAGAGAAGTGATGAATATGATATGATCTAGGAGAAGGATCTTCTAGGATGTCCTAATAAAACAGATTGCCTGCCGTGAAAGTATTAATAATCATTTTTGTAAAATATGCTAAATCACTGTAAAATCAATTAATTTTTATTCATTTTCGATTCAAACCTGAATCAAAATGTGTGATATCATAAGTGACTAAATCTGTAATTTGTAATCAATGATAATTAATGTTTATTAGTCTAAAATGACATCATATGTATCAAGTTCACATTCTGTTGAGTTTTGCACCAGAACTTCTTGATGTAGGATGATATCTGATGATGATATATATTCTGATAATAATCTAGTTATACTGAATTCCAGGAAAGAATTAGTACCAATACAGCGTAAGATAGAAAGACGGGAGAGAAGAAGAGAAGAGAAGGCTTTAGTTGCTGCCAGAATAGATAATGCAATAGAAAAGCAATTGCTAGAGAGATTAAAAAAAGGCACTGTAAGTGTATTTTTTTTAGGTATCTATACAAGACATGTCACAGTTTCAAGTGGAAACTGCAATTAGTATATTTACATAAAATTTTATTAAAATCCTAGAGATATTAAATAGTATTAATAATTAATTGAGACTTTTTGATAAAGGTTTTATTTGTGGACCTTTGTGAATTGTTAAAATAATTACATCATTTCATAATTTGAAGCATAATTCAGAATAAGTGAGATTAAATAAAATATAATAAAAATAAAATAGTGAATTAAATATATATATAATATATTGGTATATATATGGTTTAATTCATTTTATATATATATATATATTAAATTCTCATGGTTTAATTCATGTAGTAACTCTGAACTCTGTACAGGTACAAGAAAGATTATTGGTTAGTCAATATCTCTGTTAAATATTTTAATATGCATATTTTAGCTTTTGATGTAAATGTGAAATGATTTTAATTTAATTTGTCATTTTTAATATATAATTAAGAGCTTTCTATTAGTTCTATGATATATTAAATTATTTCAGTACAATGACATCTACAACTTCCCACAAATGGCATTTGATGCTGCACTAAAAGCAGAAGAGATATCTGATGAAAGCGAATCTGAAAAGGAAGATGAAGATGAAGTGGAGAGAGAAATTGAACCAGAGTTGGAAAGGGAACTGGAGAAGGCAGTCGAACAAACTGATGAGTTTGTTGAGGCTGACAGTGATATCGACAGTGCTGAGGTATGCAGAATAAGCTGATATGAGTTATTGCATTATCCAATACAATCCAATCTAAAAAGTTTTAGAGTTGCATAGAGTAGAGTAGAGGCTTTCAACCTTTTTTGGCCAATAAACCTTGGAATGGCAACATCTCATTATTTTTTACATGTCTCCCCTTTTAGTTTATTATATCATTACATAAAAATATATTACCTGGTAATTGTACAAAATTGTAAAAAAATCCTTAGTGAAAGATTTACTGCGTTACTGTGACAGGTTCTGATAAATGTATTTTTTTACAAAATTCCACTGTTATAGTTTAAAAAACGAATGTTTGTATTGCATTATTTTGTAGAATCTTTTTTTTTTTTTGATATCGTGGAATTCCTGGGTCTCATACCAATTCTGTGTATTTACATCATCAATCATTGTGAATCTGATTTTTTTCCAAACATGTCTTGAATTCTTAGAAAATTCTATAAATTCTTCTTTATCAAATTCCAGGAGAGTGATTCTGGAAGGAAAGAAAATGTTGATGTCAACAGTGATTTTGAGTCTGAAACTTCTGATATCGAGGTAAAAAAATTTTTATTTAACTCGTTTGAAAATAAGTAACTAATGAAAACAAACGAAACGAATAATTAATAAAAATAAAGGACATTGATAAATGTGTATTTCCATTCGCAGGACGTGGCGGAATCGGTACTGAGAAAGAAAAAGCCTCGCGTTGAAATTGAATATGAAACGGAGTCCGTCGCTAGCGTTTCTAAAAAGAAATTAAAGCATTGACAGAAATAAATTTGTTTTTTTATTATGGCAATTTTTTTAATAAAAATAGATAAGTCCGTTTTCCAGAGGTTAGTCCAAGTTCAGAAGTGCTCCGGTAACACAATTTGTAGGCAAAAGCAATAAATACCTAATAGTGCTTGTGTACCGATATCTCTTCATCAATAAACAGACATTATCCGCCTTTTGAGTAGATCACATGTAGCTCATCTGGAGACACGAAATCTTAGTTTTTTTTTTATGTAGATATGACGAGTATGTGTTAGACGATTTAAGTTATTCAATACACATATTATTATTATTCATATTAACTAGCTTTCCACTCACAGCTTTACCTGTTTGCATTATTACTTATATCGCGTTAGTGGATATCCGTGGTCAGCGGTGGAATGAGGGTTGCCTTCCTTTTCCAGGAGTAAAATTATTTACATACAAAATTTCGTCAAAACCTTATTATTATGAAAATGTGACAAATAGAGTTTAACTTTAGCATCTAATCTGGAGGTGAATTCAAAAAGTCTTTCACTGACTTGTTTTTTTTTTTTTGTAACAGTCGATTTAATGAGTCTTGCTTTTGCTCAAAAATATTTTTTGTTTTATATCTGAAACTGTATGAAAACCTAATTACTAGTTAGTCCAGGGGAAGGCGCAACGTTCGCGTGAGTGAACAAATGAATAGACCTAAGAAATCATTCTAAAAATCTATTTTATGTTCTACTAGCGACCCGCCCTCGCTTCGCTTCGGAAACATTAAATTTCATTATTGATAGCTGAGTCCCGCGATGTAACCCGCGGCCTAAGTTACTCCTTATATCATCAGCTATCTATCAGTGAAAGTCCCGTCAAAATCGGTCCAGCCCTTCCGGAGATTAGCCGGAACAAACAGACAGACAGACGCAAAAATTGTAAAAAATGTTATTTTGGTGTATGTACCGTATTTCAATATTACAAACAGACACACCAATTTTATTTATATGTATAGATGTACAGATTAGGCTTCTTAATTACCCCTTTATTATTTTTCATTAGTTTACGTACAAACACCGAATTCAGTTATAAGAATAGATAGGTACATAGGTTTAAATTGATATTAAACATCAGTAAACTCGGAAAATAAAACTCCGAAATAGAATCTGAAAAGAGTCTTCTCTTACCTTTAGTATAAATATCGTGTAACATTCGTTAGTTATATTCAGTGTTGTAGAAGCAATGTTGCGTGATTTGATTCAGAGCTTACACGTATATCGTAGAGAATGTGCGGGCGTGCGCGACTCCCGACAAACACCAGTTATTGCGGCCATAACTTGTGTTATGACGCCATTTTGTACGCTCCAAACAATATTGTTTACTATTAGAAGCGTTGTGTACATGCCTATTTGTGGATGTTTTGACATAGCTGAATTTATTTTTAGTTCGCAAAATAACGTTTTGAATTTAATAATATGTAACGATATTAGAGTATAGGCATGCATACTAAGTAGAAATGAGCTAAAAGAACTTCCTAACTTTGAAGTTGTCGTGGGATCCCATAGGCGAGTACCAATTTTTCTAATGAAATACGTACCTACTTAACAAATGCTCACGATTGACTTCCATAGTGAAGGAATAACATCGTGTAATAAAAATCAAAACCCGCACATTTATAATTTGCGTAATTACTGGTGGTAGGAACTCTTGTGAGTCCGCACGGGTGGGTACGACCACCCTGCCTATTTCTGTCGTGAAGCAGTAATTCGTTTCGGTTTGAAGGGTGGGGCAGCCGTTGTAACTATACTGAGATTTTAGAACTTATATCTCAAGGTAGGTGGCGGCATTTACGTTGTAATGTTTATGGGCTCCAGTAACCCTTCAAACCGAAACGCATTATTGCTTCACAGCAGAAATAGGCAGGGTGGTGGTACCTATCCGTGCGGACTCACAAGTGTTCCTACCACCAGTTTGTATGAATCCATCGATTTATTGAATTACATTTGTAATATTTTATTTTAATGCATGTACCTACAAAATTTTATATTAATATATTCTCATTACGAATGCATTTCACGTTTCGATTGAAAGTAGGCAAACACGTTTTCAGAATCGAGTCTTCGCTTCGTTATCAAAGTTAATTAAACGCTTCTCAATGAAACTTGACGAATATTCACGTTTAATTATTTCAGCATTGTTCACTAATTAATATAGTCACAGAAACGATAATGAAGCCGAAATTGGACATTGAACGAAATCATCGTGCTCCGAATATAATATTGCAAACTCTTCCGATGCCCGATTGAAGGGAATTCAATTATTTCCGACTGCCATTCATTGGATATTTAATCAGTATATAAATTAAATGTTGGTAAAACTTTACTAACATACAAATTATGTACTTTTAATTTTAAATCGAAGAGATATATATACCTATACAGGTAACTCTCATATAACACGGTAGATATGTTCCTACAAAGTCCCGTGTTGTGCGAAACCGTGTTTTATGAGACTAGAAGCCAGTAGGTACAAAAACAAGAGTATTTTTTTTGAATGAAACATTTCAACTATGCCTCTATGTATATTTTTACTTATTACACATAAAAATAATCAGTAGGTAATTTCGGCTGTTCCCATTATACATATTGTGTATTCATAGTGCTTAATGTGATTTTCTGAATAATTTTAAACAAAAATCTCGTTATCGCGTTGTAGAAGTACTGTATTATTAGAGAGTTTCATACCCGACCTTTTGGACCGAATGGTAAACAGTCGACGTTGCCCTAAACACGTCATTACGGATCCTCCCGATCCATCAACGGTGCTTTTAGGTACCTCAAGCACCGGTCACCGTCCTTGCCGAACCCGTTGCTTGCGATGAAGGGCTCGACGAGGAAATCAACCCACAGAAACAGTCCACTGAGTTTCTCGCCGGATTTTCAGTGGGTCGCGTTTCGAATCCACTGGTAGATTCTGCGAAGCACTTCTCTTGCTTGGGCCAGTGTTAGCAACACTTCCGGGTTGAGCCCCGTGAGCTCACCTACACGTTAGGGTAAAGCTTCTCAAGGCTATTAGCATAGATAAGAAAAAAAAAAGAGAGTTTTGGGGTATGTTCCTTGTCGGTGGAACCGTGTTGTCAAATACAGTGTTATAGTAGAGCTAGTACCTGTACTTATAGAGTCCAGTTATTTTCAATTAGAAATACTAATGCTAATAATACTAATGCAAAGTCTATAAATGAGGTTCTTAAAACGTTCTTTAGAGCAGGCAAGAGTTTGGTGTAGATTTTAATGCGTAATATTAATAACAATTGTGGTCCGAGCGCGGTAACTCGATTAGGTTTACGTAACAGAAATATTTCGTAAATAAACGTTTGATTGGCTATTCATTTCATCAGCTCTTGTTAAACTTTATCCGAACTTTTAGCTGAAGCAATCGTCAATTCTCTTTGTGGTACCTAATTTCAAATAACTTATTTCATTGTGAAGTTCGAGATACCTACATTTTTTAATGGAAACATTTAACCACAAACATTTTTTTTCCTACCTAAGTTGATGGTCTGGAGAGACCATATCAGCGTAATCTTAACTAGTAGGTGAGCTCACGGGGTTCAAACCTGACGATATTGCTAACACGAACTGTAGCAAGAGCCGTGCTTCGCAGAATCTACCACCGGATCGGATCCGGCGAGAAATTCAGTGGGCTGTGTCTGTGGGTTAATTTACTCGCCGAGCCCTTCGCCGTAAGCGACGGGTTCGACGAGAACGATGACCGGTCCTTGGGGTACCTAACAGTACCGTTAGTGGATTGGGAGGATCCGAAATGACGTGTTTTGGGCGACATCGACTGTTTACCATTTGGTCCGCATGGTCGGCTATGTAATTTCCGGCGGCCACGATGAGAGGATCGTCGTACCGCTTTATCGAAGAAGTTGAATAATGTTGAGTATAGTTCCTTTGCTAGGGCTAGTGTTAGCAAGTTCTCTCAGAACTAACTCTTTGCGCGTATTTGGGATAGCCTTTTTAGCTACCACCAACGATTAGGTAGAAAAAAAGAGTTTCAATACAGTTCATGTTTTTTAAGAACAGATGTAACAGATTCCGTGTAAAAAGTTCGCATTGACGACTATTAAAAAACCTTATAATTTTTGTTTTATAAATAGGACTAAGTATACAATAACAGATTCAAAGTTGTATTTCACTTTAGTTATTCGAAAAGTTCACGGAAAATTTTCTTCAAATTTGATGCGACGTGTGTTATCCGGTAAATAAATTTGTTCTTAAATAGGACTGAGAAGGAGAATGAGTCCAATAGTTTATTAGTTTCGAGTGAACTAATACATCAGTCGAGGGTGCCAGTCGAGAAGTACTACGGGAACAGGAAATTACATTTTTAATCTTCTTGCCAATGTTCACTCGTACGTTTGCAAACTTTTACTTCGGAAACTTAATTAATTTTCACTAAAACGCGGGACTAGTACTTCAAAAAGTATGTTTTCAGAGAAGTTTAGGAATTTCTATTTTTAATTTGAAACTATTAATGATAGTTCTTCTCTATATGTCCCACACGTATGCGGCTATAGATCTACTTGGATCGATTATTTCCTTCTTTTTTTTTTTTATTGCTTACATGTGTGGACGAGCTCACAGCCCACCTGGTGTTAAGTGGTTACTGGAGCCCATAGACATCTACAACGTAAACTCGCCACCCACCTCGAGATATAAGTTCTAAGGTCTCCGTATAGTTACAACGGCTACCCCACCCTTCGAACCGAAACGCATTACTGCTTCACGGCGGAAATAGGCGGGGTGGTGGTACCTACCCGTGCGGACTCCCAAGAGGTCCTACCACCAGTGATAAAACCTTCACCACCACCAGTTCCTTCATTTATTTATTTTTATTTATGGACCTATTGATCTTTCCTTCGATTTTGCTCTGACATGGCATCATGACATTGAAGGTTTCTTGCAATATATCCAAATAACTTAATACTTTTACTGGTGGCAGGACCTCTTGTGAGTCCGCGTGGATAGGTACCACCACCCTGCCTATTTCTGCC